AAAGCGTCTGTGTAAAAGCGTCTGTGTGTAAAAGCTTTTGTCTGTAAAAGCTTCTGTGGGTAAAAGCTTTGTGTGTAAAAGCGTCTGTGTAAAAGCAACTGTGTGTAAAAGCGTCTGTGTGTAAAACTGTCTGTAAGTAAAAGCGCCTGTGTGTAAAAGTGATTGTGTGTAAAAGCGCTTGTGTGTAAAAGCGTCTGTGTGTAAAAGCGTCTGTGTGTAAAAGTGTTTCTGTGTAAAAGTGTTTGTGTGTAAAACCGTCTGTGTGTAAAAGCGTTTGTGTGTAAAAGCTTCTGTGTGTAAAAGCGTCTGTGTGTAAAAGCTTCTGTGTGTAAAAGCGTCTGTGTGTAAAAGTGTTTGTGTGTAAAAGTGTTTTTGTGTAAAAGTGTCTGTGTGTAAAAGCGTCTATGTGTAAAAGCTTCTGTGTGTAAAAGCTTTTGTGTGTAAAAGCGTCTGCGTGTGCTTCTGTGTGTAAAAGCTCCTGGGTGTAAAAGGGTCTGTGTTAAAAGTGTCTGTGTGTAAAAGCGTCTGTGTGTAAAAGTGTCTGTGTGTAAAAGCGTCTGTGTAAAAGCGTCTGTGTGTCAAAGCGTTTGTGTGTAAAAGCTTCTGTGGGTAAAAGCTTTGTGTGTAAAAGCGTCTGTGTAAAAGCAACTGTGTGTAAAAGCGTCTGTGTTAAAACTGTCTGTATGTAAAAGCGCCTGTGTGTAAAAATGTCTGTGTGTAAAGTGCCTTGTGTGTAAAGGCATCTGTGTGTAAAAGTGTCTGTGTGTAAAGTGCCTGTCTGTAAAAGCTTCTCTGTGTAAGGGGTTCTCTGTGTAAAAGATTGCTCTGTGTAAAAGCTTCTGTGTGTAAAAGTGTTTGCGATGCAAACTATTGTCTTGTACTTATGCTATATTGTCTTGGTACTCCTCTTCTCGACTGCCTATGTCTTTAATATATTGTTTTGAATACGGTGTCTCCATACTGACAAGAGAAGACCCTCCTCTACGCTCTCGGGCCATTCGTCGTCTAGTTTTTATTTCTCGTTTGCAATTTGGGTCAGTGGCTGTCAAACACGACAGCAGCATTGCTGCTTTTGCAATGGCAGATGGCTTCGATCCAAGTGGCTTGTCTTGGGCTTGAAATGGGGCTCACAGTTCCGTATGTCATGTCATCACCCAGAGCTGGGAACTTGGTTGCGCACGCCATGGGGTGTTGACTGCACGGTTCTAGCCACAGCGGATTGACAAGCGTCTGAGCAAACAATGAAATCACAAAGCCCATTCACATGCAACGAAAACCTTCCAAACATCAAATGACAAATGCGGGCTCTGGAGCAGTCAGACACTGGCTTCAGGAGTGCGGTGGCTGTTCGGCTGCTTCGGCTCAGCATGTCCACGCAGCGAGGGGGGCTGTTTCGGCCCTGCGTCAGACTCGGCTCCTGCTTGCGAAGTGTTTTCAAATTTTGACTTTTCAAGTGAGGCGGCCTTAGCGGTAGCTGTTTCAGCCAAGCCCTTGCAGCATCAGGCAAGCTGCTTCCGGCTGTCAAAGCTGCTTTGGCTTGTTTTGCCGCTGTTCCGACTTCTCACTTTGAAGCTGCCTTACATACTTAGTCAGTTTTTGTACATAGCAGGTCGTGATGGACTTTTTGCAAAAATAGGAATTGGCTGGGGTGGGTTGAAGCGTCAGGGTAAAGACTTTGGGTTTCTGGTCGCTACATGGAATCTACCAATGGATTGAATCTAAGAAACGATTACCCGCAAATATTGGGAGATCCAAGGAAAGCTTTGATTTGGAGACAGGCTTGGCTACTTAATATGTGTTTTTGTCCTCTTGTTAGGAGCATCAAAAAAAACAACGGACCTCGAATCAACGGGTGGGAATGTCCTCTCCTTAGGAGCTTCGGGGTTGTCCTTGAACCTCCTAAGGGGAGGACGACAAGGGGACGAAACTGAAATACTCTTAAATATGAGTTTTTCAAAGGCATTGTCGTCCTCTCCTTAGGAGCCTCGGGGTCGTCCTTGAACCTCCTAAGGACAGGACGAATCGTCCTCTCCTTAGGAGCATGCCTGAGATCCGCTTCGCTTCAGGAGCCTCGGCTCAAGCACTTCACGGAAGCTTGTGGCTGAAAACTGACCACGCCATCTCTACGCCAAAGAGGCGGCAGCTGTCTCAGCTACTGTAGCTGTAGCTGCTTCGGCCACTTAGCTGCTTCGGCTTTTGGTGGCTGCTTTGGCCACAAGTATGCCACTGCGGCATCGACCAATGTCAGATCAGGCCACACATAGACTGCGGCGGGGTGCTGTCTTCAAAGTCGGATGTGAGATGCAAAAAAATGACAAGTGGAAAAGTGGATAAACATGCGTTGCGGCAGCTGCAGACACCCTGTAGACTCAGTTCAGCAAACAGCAATTGATTTACAACAGGTGCTACGAAGATTAAAATTAAAAAAGCTCACACATTTCAATTTCATGCGTTTCCTTCTGCAGCTGTTTCAGCTCAAGAACGCTGACTCAGAATCAGCCAGCTGTGCACTCTGTAGTGCTAAGGACCCTTAAATCAAGCAAGCTGAAAGAGATCTGCGCTTAGTCCAAATACAGATAGTTGGAACTTTGCGGCTCGAAAAGCTGTTTCAGAAGCACCGCAAGTTGAAATGCAGCAAGTGGGGATCTCGTTGGCCGCCCATGTTGCATATATGTTGCATATTGCGAAAGAGGGGCCACAGATGACTTTGCCAAAGCTGAAGTCGGCTTGGTATTCCAACTGTGGCTGTTTCAGCCAAGGTCTGTGTCGGATTTGTTGGATGGTGGCTGGTTCGGCCATCAACAGGTCTGTTTCAGTTTTTAAACAAATTGCCTCAATCAAAGCGCAAAAAAAAAGATATTTGAAAAACTCGTCTGCTAGCGGGGGAAAAAGCGTGGCCACGTCTCAAAGTTGGTGTTGAGCACTGTGTCGCATATCTTTGTCGCGACTAAGTTGCAGTCTTAAGTTTGTGTTGGTCCATTCTACTTCAAGGTTGTTTATTGTGAAGCCCCTCTTGTTATGTTGCGGCAAAGTTCAAGGAAGAAAGACGCGAAAGATATTTGCTATTCTCGTTTGCACCTCTTCCTTTTTGTTGGATTTCTCGTTGACGGCCCCAAATACAAAAATACAGCTAAATATAAGCAAGACGAAACCTCGTGTTTTTCCGTGTAACGTGGCTGCAGCCGGCGATGAGGGTCGTTCTGGCGTTTCAAGTTGCTTTGGACGCGGTTGTGTTATAGGGTGTTTTGGAATCCGTGGTTGCAGATCGCAGTGGAATGGCTGCATGATTGTTGTCATCTTCTGTTGCCATGTGCATAGATACAAGCAGGTTTGCCACGTGGTGCTGGAAAACGAAGTGTAATGGCTGCAGCAAGGTTCCTCGCTGCTGCGGCTGCTTACGTAGTAGTATTGTCTATGCGCAGCTGAAAGTCTTGAATCGTATTGGAGTGGCTGCATCAAGGTTGTTAGTGATCTGTCAGCAGATTCTCTCTATTTTGGCGCTTTTCATTTTTCTTTTTTAAAATCCTGTTAGAAAGTGCTTCAAAATCGTCGTTTTTCTGCTTTGCCGCCGAGATTCGGTATTGGAGCTGCAATTTCTGACGCCGTTGCGCGTAGTTCTATTGTGTTTTGCAACTCAGTCTCTGCAGATCGCATTATAATTGCTGCATCAAGGTTCCTCGCTGCTGCGGCTGTTTGCGTAATACTATTGTCTCTTGCAGCTGAGAGTCTTGAATCGTATTGGAGTGGCTGCATCGAGGTTTCGCTAGTGATCTGTCAGCAGATTTTCTCTATTTTGGCGCTGGCGATTTTCTTTTTAAAATTCCTTTTAAAAAGTGCTTCAAAATCGTTCTTTTTTCGCTTTGGCGCCGAGACCCGGTTTTGGAGCTGCAATTTGTTCTGCCATTATGTAGGAGAAAGCCTCTCTGCGTAAAAGCTTGCTATGTGTAAAAGCTTGCTGTGTGTAAAAGCTTTCTCTGTGTAAAGCTTGCTGTATGTAAAAGCTTTCTGTGTGTAATTAAAAGCTTCTCTGTGTAAAAGTTTGCTCTGTGTAAAAGTTTGCTGTGTGTAAAAGCTTATCTGTGTAAAAACTTGCGGTGTGTAAAAGTTTGTTGTGTGTAAACGAGGTCACCACAAAGGTAGGAAGAGCTGAGATGAGATGAGTTGTGATGAAGTGTGAAGTGTAGAACATGAAGAATGCAGCGTGAAGGTGAAGTGCATGAAGTGTGGAGTGTGAAGTGCGAAGTGTGAAGTGTGAAGAGCGCAGTGTGAAGTCTGAAGAAAGGTTCGCCGATCGCGCAGGTGGACAACAACACGGCAACAGCTTCGCACAAAGCACGCACGCACGGGCCTGGCTGGCGCACGGCGCATGCAAGTTCTATAGATGAGAAAGGTCTTATAGTATAACCCTAAGGCAACTTCCGCCCCGCCTCGTGCGGGTACTACTGGTGCAGGATATACATATTCAGATACCGACCCACGCTAAAGAGTGTAGGTAGATGTGAATCATGTATCAGACGGGATCAGACTGCCAAGTGCTGCCATGCCCAACATGATGAAACCATGCAAACTGGCCTGCAAAAGGGCCCGGGCCTGGCGAAGAATCTAATTCAGACTGGGTTAATCTTTCTTCCGCCCAGCAGAATGAACCAATCGAACTCAAATACGCGTCTGGAAAAATCCACCGGAAGGATGTAAGTCACAATATTCTTGGATTGTCACATTCATGGCATGGACCTAAAGCGCAAGGATCGAATCCATTCTTACACACAGGTTCTGGTCAATCCCATGGGAAAAAATATATTTGCTTGCTTAGACGACCAGATGTTGATCCTGGTTGGTTTTGTTCCTTGTGATTCTACAAAAGCCCTGTTTTTTGATGCTGAAACAAGGTTAAATCATCTTAAATCCACATTTTCTGTTGGTTCACCACCATTAATTAACCAACCATTTTTCAGTGGTTAAATCCCCTTTTTTCCGTGGCCCACCGGCTCTTCGGGAAGGCGGCCATGGTGGCCCGGGCCTGCGAAGACTTGGAACCCTTGCGGGTGGCCATTGAAAAAGCGCGCGAGGCCTCGGAGGGTTTGTCGAATTTCACCAACAAAGTTGGGGATAAAATGAAGATATCAATGGCGTTGAGTAGGTTGTACCAATTTCACACAATTGTTGGGGTTCACTGGGGTTTAACTATCTGAAAAAATCATTTGGTCATTGATGTCACTGCCAAAAGTGATGGATGAGGATTGAGGCAAGGACAATTGGGGATTTGAACCGTGAAGGCCCTCGTTAAGTTAGGGTATCCAGTTCGCCTTCAAAAACTAGTGTGTGCTAAGGCTAAGAACTTAACAAACGGTTTAAAATGGCTAAGGACCATTCTCTTGAGTTTCAAGCGGCCATCAATTCATATCAATTCCGCACTTAGCAACTATCATCCCATAGTTACCTGGATTTGGCATCATTGGCCTGTTCGATCTTGGCATCCGCGACAGCGCGGCCAGGTTCAGCTGGACACCAATGAGATTGACAAAGCCACCCTCATCCTTCATGACTTGGAGGTGGGATTGGTCACGGTGCAGATTGAGCAAATCAAGTCTTGTAAAATGTCAGGAGATCATGTTTGTCAAAAGGGGATGGGACGAAATCTACAAAATACCATCAGTTTTATTGAGAATAAGCATTGATGCAGCACTATACCAGCTGGTTTTCGATGAATTTTCCCATTTACGGACTAGATTTGTGCTGTGAAAACTTCGAGGATTCCAAGAACGTACGGATTTCCCATACATTTCCGTTGAACATCAAGAATGTCATGGATTTTCCCATTTTTTTTCCCCTTGAACATGATATTTTCCCATTTTTCCAAGCAGAATGTTGGATTCAACGGACTTCCTTCCCGGTCAGTTGAAGACTCAGCCGCTGACCTTCACGGATCTGCCCCAGACGGAGATGCAACAACTGCAGGTGGGCGGAGTCATGGGGACTTGGGAAATTGGGGGAATGACTTGTCCCAAACATTTCATGGGAACATAGATGGGGATATATATATATATGTATATATATGTGTATATATATATATATTCATATAAAATCACATAAATGCAGATGGAAAAACATCATCTACCTGAATTGTAGATGTTTGCTGTGTACCTTCGTTCATGTTTGTTACTGTTGGGAGATGATGATCCAACTGGGAGGTGATTTTCAGCTGATGTTGGCCAGATTTCTATTGCCGTTGCCTTCATCCTTGTGAGATCCAGACATAGATTGTTTTATGTCATGAGTTTTGCCGAGTCAAATGCTGCCAAGTGCTCAGCTACTGAATTGGAATGCAAGTTCATATCGCCATGTTTGGTTCGTGATCTGCCTCAATGGATTTCAAACCACGTGTTTTTTCCTGGAATCCATGGTTTTAGCACCCATTTTCTTCAGGTTTCCCGCAATATTTCCTAGGAATCCATCGACTCCGCATGGGACTTCTGTGTCTTCTTTAGGCGAAAAGAAGTCGTGATGAGATCCTGGAAGATTTGAAGCGGATCATGAAGCTGAGGTCGAAGGAGATTTTGGGCTCGTCCTTTTCGACAGCTCCATCGACAGCTCCACAAGCTCCATCCCAACTCCCTGACATATCTGCCTTGCAGGACGGTTTCAAGGCAGAGGTCCTGGCGGAGTTTCACTTTCAGAATTTCATGTCAGGTGACCCCAGGATCTGGCAGGAAAAGTGACTGGGTTTTTTGATGTCTTGTGTGAGGAAGGACCGAGCAACAGAGGGGTTTTATCAGCAACCACATAATTATGGGGATAATTATAATGGGATAATCCCCATAATTATCACATATAATGGGATATAATTATCCCATATGGGATTGGACAGGAATCCAATATGGGAAAATTATAATGACCTCACAACTGCTCCAGCACAAATGATGGTCAGGGGAATCACCCAGAATTGGCTTGTTGCAGATGGGAGGACTATAGTTTATAGATGTTTATAGTAACCTGGTGAAACCCTGGAAGATGGAGATCGATGGTGAGCAAAAAGGTAATGCAGCAAAATTGGGTGATCACCCACAATCGCCTGGATTTGTGGTACTTTATGATGGGTTTAAATGTAACATAGAAGCTTTCATTGCCCAAGAATTGAGATGATTTGATAGACAGCCATGGTTCCGACAAAGCAAAATTGGTTGGGCCATCACAGAATTGGGCGGGATCATTTGTAGAAACCCTTTATTATTGTGGATCTCATGGATGTCCGCTTTCCATAGCTTTCCCTTGAACCAATCCACTGGTTGCTATTTGAGTTCACCCAGGCCAGCATCCACAATGAAGAAACTATGAACATCTATGAACAAACTATGATCTCTGGTTGGTGGTTTGCAACATTTTTTATTTTCCATAATATACCCCAACTGACGAACTCATATTTTTCAGAGGGGTAGGTCAACCACCAACCAGATCTTCATATATTAATTGCGTACCTCCTAATCCAATCTAATCCAGAGCCATATGGCCCATACCCACCATTCCTGACCATGGGATCGATAGAAGTCCTGCGGCTGAGGTTTTGTCAGAAGCAAGGCTTCAGCCCTGAGAAGGTGCGAGCCATCAAGGGTCACCATTTTTATGGGTTGGAATTCCAACCATCCCCAAATGGTATATAATTGTTTATTATTGGGTTTCCCACATGTACTGCGGAAATTACAGGACGCCATGCCTTTCTTACTTTTAAACATCCAATCCCAAAATTGTATAATTGTCCAATTCTGGGACTTCGAACCCAGATTTTATATTATTATATGGCGATATATGGAGTTGTTTTTGGATGGATGATTTGTTTTAACTGTCCACTCATTTGGTGAAATCGGCTGTTTGTGTGCTTGATTGTGGTACTCGATTCTCCTTGGGACGAGGACGCCAGGAATGCCAATAGGGTCGAGCACAAGACCCTGACGAATTCTTGTCATAAACGGTTTGAAAATGGGGTAGTCCCCAAACTCCAGAGGATTACTGTAATTGTTTTTCACAATCAAATCGCAACTTCGGGTAATACATTTCTCATACCAATCTTGGCATTGTTGGATGCTTAATAGATTACACATCCCCATCAGATTTTTTTTTGATATATTTGATACCACCGCAATATTTTTACTTGGCTAGAATTCCATCATATCCCCATGATATCCCCACTATTCCACATCATGGTTGGTCTTATCCCCCCATGGGCAGCACCTTTGTCAAGCCAGGCTTCTGCGTTCTTGTCGTTGATGCGGCAGTTGCATAGCGACACGGTGGGGACCGGAAGATGTCGGACCAGTTGAGAAGACGGTGGTTTCTTTATAGATCTTGATAATCTTGATACAGAATGCCGTTCACCTGAAGTTGCTAGATATCTCTAGATATGCCAGTGTTTCATAGTGTTTCTATGTGCATATGCACGAATGATATATATATATATATGTAATCGCATATATAAAATACACATCTGTATTTGCTCAGTTTCTGACCAACCGAGTTTGTCACCTCCCATGATTGAAATGGATGGAACCCATGGTAGGCCCGAACAGCTGGGGTAGTGAACTTCCCGGCATGGCATCATCGTTGTACCAGGTGCCAGCAAGAAAGGCAGATGTCAACGAGGCAAGTTGCACAGTAACTGTACTGGCTGTCTACAATTGTGGAACTTCTCTGCGGCATTGTTATATATCACTATATATCGGTATATATACGGTATATAGGTGTATATATATATATATATATATACACACCCTCAAACTGGCTATTGTATTGGGCAAACTGATGATAAACCGCCGGATTGTGGAGTACCTTCACGGCCACCCAAGTGGCTTTTTCCGAGGGAATCTCGTTGAAGGGATGGCTGGGTCTTTCAACTTTCAGCTTACATAGTTACTCAAAGCGCAGTCAGAGAGACCTTGGGTCACTGTGGAACTTTGACTTGGTTCAATTGATCATTTCCTGTACCACCTTCAATGAAGTCCCGCCAACGGAGGAAGTTTGGACACTGTCAATACGAAACAATGAAACCAACCAAAGATTTGGCTTTGTTGTGGAAGCAGCGCTGTAGGTGGGCAGCCGGGCACAAACGGCTTTTACCGACCTATATAGCATATAGTCGTCGCAGATTGGTTTTCTTTTAAAGCAAGACGTTATTTAAGAGAGACATACAGTACATACAGTGAATCTCAAACTATCAATGTTTATCGATCAAACATGATCAAACCGTTACAAATATGCATATCTGTGCAGTTGGGTTTATGTTGGTCTCACCTTTCTCGACTTGAACTGGTGTGTGGTTTCAATCATTTTTTATTTTCCACATTTTTCCATAATATATGGGATAATCCTTCCCATTGACTTTCATATTTTTCAAGATGGTTAAAACCACCAACCTGTGAAGATATGGGTATGGATCAATACCTATTAACACCATTTTTAGGGGGATTAACATCCATTTACCAGATATTTTGATGTGAACTACAGGGGTACAAGGTTTTGACACACTGCCATAGATCCCAGTCATTCCTTGCCACGAAAAAGGCCTCAGCTTTGTTGGAGGAGCTGCTGGCGAGGCATAGCCGGCAACTGCCGCCTTTCAGTGCGGGCCTGAAGGGTGGTTCTGGGGATGAATCGCTTGAATGATGTTAGTTCTGTGATTTCATTGAATATGTACATATACACTGTATATGTATTACATATTACTATTATATAATATATATATATATGTATATATATATATTTGGCTCATAGTTTTTTCCCTTGCAGTGCTCCATCAGAGTTCTTTGGCCAATCTATTTCTGGATTCCCAGAGTTCGTCAAGGTCATCTAGTCATTGCTGCTGAAGTTGGCCAAAGAGATAAGGCCAAAAAATAGGTTGAGCAGTGGCTGCTAAATCCCTGTTGGTTGAATATGTAGGGTGATACTATAATCGTTACTAGCCAATATATTCGGGAATATCCCAACAAACATATTTGGATTACACTATCCAATAAGTGGTTATACTATCCATTTATGGGGTTATTTGGGGATTATCCCAACAAGTGGTAAAATCAATGCCATGCCATCGACAAACAGATCTCCAGCTGCAGCAAAGTCGCTCCAAGGCGTTGGGATCTTCTCCAAAGAGGAGGTCTCTGTGGCGGCTCGGCCACAATGGCGAAAGCGACTGCGGGGAGGTTGATACCTTAATGTACTTGTACTGCAAATCTTTTTTCTCCAACAACGCAGCCACCTCCAAGCTAAGAAACTGGGCGAAGACGGCGTAGGCGAATGCCATTTAATTTGAATGCAAGCATCACTCAATCAAAAGAACTCATGTAAAGGTGGCACAAAATTGAGCGGATTATTTTTTGCAGCAAATCTGGAGGCACACCCCATCAAGAAAGCGAGGATATGATCTGTACTGCAAATCTTTTGCCATAAATGGATGTAGATGGTGGATAGTGGTGGTATATTTACTAAGTGTTTTTTTTGTTGCAGGGCAGTTCAAATTATTGGCGATGAAAAAGAGCTACATTTGTCACGCACCCGCCAATGTTTGCCCATTCAAGTGCGGAAATTTGCCCAAATTACATGGGAAGCCAGTGCCTTTCTGGGATTGGACAACGTTTGCAAATGCACAGAAATGCCAAGGATCAGGTATTTGAAGCGCTGGGTATTCTTTTATACCTCCAAGTTCACTGTCTTTCTATCTCTGAAAGTTTGATTAAACACTAGTTTTGATTTCATGGGCTTCATTGCAATTTCTTAAGTTTGTACGTCCTCAATCAGGGTGACTTGGTATTTCCATATGTTCACATTTCAGATTGTCTATCCCTTCCACAATAAACCTCCGGTTGCAGATGATTTACATCATCATTAACCCATGTCTGCTCATGGTGTATGCTTGGGTTTACCATCAGTCAACAATTGCCCTTGAATTGCCATCCCCATTGACTACACTTCAGTAATTTCAGTTAGCTGCGGAAAATCACCGTTTTAATTTGATAGGTAAGTCATCCATTGTTCTGGGCCATCCTTAACATAGCTGTGTTATGCTGTGTTAGAGTTGAGGGTATTGTTAGTTGGGTAGCACCCAATCTCCGCCCAGATGCGCGACTTCGTTACAAGGCGTGTCGTGGGTGTAGGCTATGATCTGCAAAATCTCTATGTGTCCCAGCATAGATGGTTTAGGCTAAAGTTGAAGGCAGCACAGGCAGCAAACTCATGTGGTTAAAACCAGCCAACTAAATGTTTAGGACTTACCAGACAACAAAGATCTTGGCTTTGCTTTTCAGCGCTGAAAGTGTTTCCCGACAGTGATATCTTGGAAGTAGCCTCTTAGAGTGCTGAGAGTGCTTCTGGTGCAGGTCGTTTCTACGGCATTTCAAGATGTATCAATTTATGTACCAGCAGCAACAGGACAGCGGCGTAACTTGGGGTCAAACTTTGACACTTGAACATGTCATAGTCGTCATCGTCATCTCACATCCATGGTGTGGTTCATAATCGGATGACGTTTTAAATATTGCTGAATTCAGTGGGTGTCCTTTGGTCGTTGCTTCAGAAACTCTCCCAACATGGCCCTGTCAAAGCTCGACTCATGGGAGCCAAAACCTGACCAGCTTTCAGCCGTAACAAGTCGTTTTCCATCCGACAAGAGGGTAGTTCATACCCGATATGTTGCAACATAAATATACAACAATATACACATATTTTACATATAGACATATCAGTATGATGATACCATTTATCATCATTTATCCATATTTATCCATCATATATCATCATATAATGATATGACATATCATGACATAGCATTAAATACATTGTGGTCATGTACATGTATACCTATGTCATCCTATATCTAGAATCTATATCTTGCCATGACCACCTGCAGACTTGGCAGGACATCAGTGTGAGCTCGGTGTCAAAGACTGTGATTCCGAAGGTGCCCGGGCATAGAACAAATGCACTTTCTTCCGGTAGATTTGATCGATTCATTGCTGCTTCGAAAACTATAGTAGTTGTTTGGAAGGTTCAGAAAGTTGTTTATGATTGAAACCAGTTGATATTTTTCATTTCGTGTCCCATTTTGAGGATTCCAGACACTGACTGCATCAGGATACTTCAGATATTTCCAAATGAGAAAAGTGATCAAAACCTTCCGTCAATCCACGAATCCACTATACTGCTTGGTTAAGGATTCCCAGTCCATGGATGAAAATAGAATCCCTAACATAACCAATATATCAAGGGTACTAGACTTAGAAATACTTAGAATATACTAGACTACAATCCACAAAAAGATACTAAAAGCATCAACCAACCAGTGTTTATCAGTTATATCCCAGATTTTTGCTGATGACCCCCCTTTCAAAATGATGATTATATAAATCCCCAAGCGGGAGCTCCTTTCAGGTGTTGGAACCCAGCGCCTTGCATCGAGACTTCGAAGTGGATCCCAAGGTACGAGACCAGAGATACGTCGCTGGTTGGTGGTTTGGAACATTTTTCCAGAGGAATTTCATCATCCCAACTGACTAGTGTAATATTTTTCAGAGGGGTTGGATACCCTATGGTAATGACTAACATAGCTATTGAACATGATCATAGAAATAGTTGATTTACCATGATTTACCTATTATAAATGGTGATTTTCCAGTTCGCTATGTTAGTTTACCAGAGGGTACGTGTCTGGTTTGAATATGTTTGAATCACCTCTGGGGGTACCAATTGGAATGGGATACCACGATCTTGGCCGCGCTAGGACCTGGGCGATGCCATTGGCATGGCCCTGAACCTTGTGGCAGGGAGGCCTAGGATGCTACCTGTGGGAGGCACTTGATGTTGAACGTCATAAGTTTGACGAGAGTTCCTTTTTTTGTTTGGATGGTGAAACGATGCTACAAATCCTACATCAACATAATCAGAAATCTACTCATCAACATACAGCAATCAAAGGTCCAATATGGTCCCATCATCAAGAAGTCATCATTTGGTGGTCAAGTTGAGCTTTAAAATGCATCAGCAATAACCAGCAATTGACCGGCTCTTTCCACGCTCAAAGGAAGCTGGTGCATTCATTCAAAGATTGTGGACCAATTGTGTGCCATCCAACAAATTGAATAGTTAAGGATAGTTAAGTGTGCATAGTTAAGTGTGCTGTGACCTCCCAAAAAAACATACTGTAGTAATCATTGAACACCTCGAAGATGGAACATCATCTAAAAATCGATAGTATTGAAGACCTCTAAGAAATTTACCAACAGTTTCCCTGGGGTGTCTGAAGTTTTGATAACCCCACCATTGCCCGGTTCCCGTTCCTGAGGTGCCTGGCACCGGTGTAGGTGAGGAAGACAAGGTGGCTGAGATGGTCAGTTAGCTCAGTGGGGCGATGGGAGAATTTCAGCGTGAAAGTTATGGCAGTTATGGGGCTACATAACCAACATCAACCAACCTTAGCCAACCATGTTATAATTGTTATGGGACTATCTTTGGGGACATAATTCGTAAATATTCATAATGAGATTCTAATTCACCAACTTGATGGGTATGATTTGGGTTTGCAAAGAAATGGAGAGCGAATTGCGAGGAACTGTTGTTGTGCTGCAACAAGAACCCAGCGGAATGACTTGGAAGTGGCTAGATGTGGCTAGGAAAAACGTGTGAATTTCCCCGTCCACCCTAGCCCAGTAGCCCCATGGTGTTCCTCCCAGGAAGAATCTCGCACGCGTCGATCTGCTGCGATGGAGGCGATTGAGGCCAGCAGCATCCTCCTTTTTGGGCTGATCTAGGATGGGACCATGGGGAAGCTGGCTGAAGTCATCCTAAATCCTTCCAATTTTTCCGGACTTTGAAATCAGCCCATAGAAATTACAACTTGTAGGATCTTCCATATGAAAGTTTGTGCAAGGGTACATTGAAGCTTTGAAGTTTGCAGCTTGAGCCTCAAAGGAATTGATATCCAGCAACATGGGTATAATCTGGGTATAATCTGGGCATAATCTGGGTTTAAGTTCGACAAAACCAATGAATTTCAGATAGCTAGATGCAATGTGGCCATCAATGGCCATCAACTGGTTGGGCCAGGCTCAGGTGATGCAGGTCATGGACGAAGTCGTCAAGGTGCCGAATTCGCTGATCGTTTGTTGTTGATGTTTCTCCCCTTGTTTTTTTCTCTGAAATCCATAGATTCTCATCGTTTTCAGGTGTTTTTTTTCAGGGGTCTTTGAATTTCAAGCAATCATAAACAATCATAAACAATCATATGTGTGCAATATCTTAATCATATTTCTGCAATATCTTCCCAGAATCTTCTCATATTCATGGGATTAACATGGATTTTTACAGATCACACCCAGATGGGATGATCAATTCAGGACCGGCTCGGAGATCTGGAATCGCGGATGTCCACCTTGCCGTGAAGCCGTGGGGACGCCGTGGCAATGGCCCGGCCCAAGAGTTGTAATGTGGGACTTAGCCAAAGAAAAATGGTGACTTAACAATGAATCAACATGAATCAACATGAATCCACCAACATCTGGATTTGACAATGAGTCAAAAAATGTATCTGACTTAATCTACAGTCTCTACAGTAACTAATCAAAGCACATGGGAATATATCCCCAATTTTCCTGGGGGATTTAATCAATCGAAAACGGGATTCTATATCAGAAGTAAAACAACAGAACGGGGGCAATTTATCATTCCAAGTGAAGTAACTATTCCCAGTCTCATAAACCCTGGATATCTCCTAGTAAACTTAGTTGATGTTGTTAGCTTACTAAGATAACCATGGGGCATCACTTCGAAGATGTAATGTGGCCGCCCCAGCCCCAAAAAGTTGTTCGAATTTTCAAATTCCGCCAACATGATTCAGATTTGTGTCTCACCGTGTCACCATGTACAACACGTGCATGTGAAGCGATCAAGGCAGCAACGCGGTTGGAAAGCTGCCGCAATGGCCAGTGGCCGCTGCGGTGAAACAGCAAAAAAGTCGCAAAGCCTGTAACAGCCTGTGTGGAACAAACTGAGCTTTTTTTTGTTGTGGGGCCTGTGATATCAAATTGTTCTACTTTTTCTAACAGCTTCCTCAGAAAAGCTGAAACAAGACACTTGCCGGTTGTTTGGAAACTTTCCATTCCCCTCCATGAGCAGCAGGTAGTTCTAGGGGAGCAGCAAGTGAATCGCTGCTTGGCACTAGATTCACTTGGTCTCTGATTTTGATCTTTAAGGTTTGGAAGGACCCATGCGCATCGATATGACGGGCTTCATGTTGGTTGCATACATTGGCAAACATGGCCAAGTATTTGATCCCTAAACATCCTAAGACCCACATAGACCCACCATTTCAGCTGTTTTTTCCCTGGCATTGTCAGTTTGAAACCAGGGTGTGTATCAACATCACCAGCGCGAGCAGCTTCTTGGGACTGTGGCGTTTGGCTCAGGCTGCCAATGGCAGAGACAGCCTTCTGATGGATGAAACTACTACATGGCATAGTATGGCACAACAAGACACCAAGTTTTTTTGGGGGGGGATTGACACAACTTTTCCACCAGATTTTTGAGCAGCGCTGACTGTCAATGTTGGGAGCTATGGATCAAACTGCCTGGCCAATAAATGATGACTGTCTCAGCCTAACTTAGACCAGTCCCAGCTTGAAGACCAGACTGCCACACTACTCCCAGCTTTCAAGGAGTTACAGAAGTCAGTGTCTTTGACATGCGGACTTTCCCACTTTTGTTTTGATCTTTTGTCATTTGGATATCGACCACCCCGAACGTGGGTTCAATGTCCATTCCATTGAAAGATACATCCGTTCATTTTGAGGATGTTTGCTGCCCCATAGTCATACTACTACCATGGCTTGCTTAGTAAAGTACCCCGCTTTGCATCACAGCTTAGCATCAGCTCGGCACTTGAGAGCCGCTGTGGTGGCACTGCTGCTGTGACAGGCTCTTCACCTCCAAGATTAGCAAGAGAAGAACTGGTGATGTTTGATCTTTTTTTTGGCCTGTGTCTACCATTTTGCATTTACGTTTGGGGAATTTTGGAGATCCGATTGGGCTGAAAATCAGCCAGAAACAGCACACCCCATTCCTCTGTATTGATGAAGCCAATATAATACAACGTAATACAACCCTGGTTTGCAGGTTGTGAGTCAATCTATGTATTTATATTTTATATGACACTAATCATTCCACAGGGAGCCCTCATGGCATATCCAGTTAGAATATCTGAATGGGATCGATAATGCAGAAATCATACCTGCTGCTGCCTTTCAGCCGAATCAGTATGTATCATGCTATCTGAGCTGGGGAAATTTGATGGTGGAGGAACCATCCCAAAATGGGCTGTGAATTTGGGATGACAAAGACTCTGGCTTTGGACCCAGTCATGGATCAGGATGTCTCAAGGGCAGAGTAGCCCGGCAGATTTCGCCCTCAAGAAGCAGTATATTAGAAGCAACCAAATGGCTTGCCACATGGAATATCCAGGAATATCCACGAATATCCAATAAGATCGATATCAAAAAGTGCTTGTCAGGTGGTGACCAATGGAGCGGTTGAAAGCCGGTGGAGGACCCAGCATAAACATGCGGATTTCACCATCCAAAACTGGGATTTAACCAGCAAGAATTGGGAATGTGTAATGGATTCAACCAATAGAAGTGGATAGTGGGGAGTTTACCAGCAAAAAAAGGTGATTTGACCGCAAGCAATGAGGATTTAACCAATACAATAACCCATTTGCTTATAAAATCTTATAAATAGCGACAGGTGGAATCTATAGTTTGGGTCATCGTGTCATTCTGATCCATTATAACCCCATTACCCCATGAGAGGGTCATCCCATTTACATGGGGATGGGGAAGCAATGCCCATGGCTTGATCATCACTGGATTCCTCCCGGATCTGTGTCACATGCTCGACATGGCAATACTTCAGGTATTTCAGATTTTTTATTGGTGAACGCGTGATCACACTCCACTATGGGTTGTGTCAGTTTGACTCCTTCTCGTAAACATTTGAGGGGTGCGCAAAAATTAAACCAAGAACTACCTAATGCAGCGCGGCAGAGGGTATTTGATCACTAGAGGTGTATATCCATTGTGAATATCAGCATAACTTGAAGAATTCACTAAGAAGTGGTTTCCAGATGTTCCTCTAGAGGGATCCCTTGCCATAGCCAATTCATCTAAGCGGGCCGTGCTGAGGCTATGAAAAGCTGAAAGGTGAAATCAATCATGTGGCATGGGCCCTGATGCCGAGAGACTGATCCTCTGATCTGTTCATATCTTTTCAAACCTGAGGGTTTTTGAATTTCCAGCATGCGACTGCCACCGAACTCTGAGAGATAATCAAAGATATAGATAGATATAGTATGATATAGTAGCTAACATCAGGGGAGCTACACTATGGGCTCCAGCTGTGGAAACTCCAAGGTGGCCGCTCCTGTGATGCAGAAACTGATGCCTGTTCACAACTCAGCCGATGCCATGTTTGCCATCGCTGTATCACCAGAATACTGTGGCTCCGTCTATTCATCGACTTCATTGGACGTAGTCTTGACAGCTGATTGACGTTGCGAGGTCAAAGCAAGAATGCCCTAAATCAATGAGGGATGTTGTTTCTCAGCAATGCTCATGCCAATTGAATCCAATTGATAATTGCAAGTCCGGGTGATTTGTTCCCCTTTGCCGCGTTTATGTTTTTCCCGGTACATCTTGTTTGCCAACACTATTTTCCAACATCATCCAACATCTATTTACCAGAACCAGTTGCCTTGTTGCCATAGATGTTTCACATTGTTTCACAATAGCTCCATCATACTATGGTATATATTCATATATATTCATATATATTCATATATATTCATATATATTCATATATATTCATATATATATATATTCATATATATTCATATATATTCATATATATTCATATATATTCATATATATTCATATATATTCATATATATTCATATATATTCATATATATTCATATATATTCATATATATTCATATATATTCATATATATCATCATCATCATCATCATCATCATCATCATCATCATCATCATCATCATCATCATCATCATCATCATCATCATCATCATACATCATCCAACTGTGATGAAACTTGTGGCCCTTTGGTACTCCCATGTTCCAATTGTTCCAATCCAACCGCCAAGGTCCATGGACGGCAGTATGGTATCGGGAGTGTCTTGGTAAAACCTCTGAGGTGAGATAGAAAGATGGGGATGTATGGATGTGGATGGGGATATCACCTGTCTTACTTGCGAATTCTTACCAAGAACAATTAATTACCAATGGTTATATGGGGATGGGTCAGGCAATTTGATTCCTATGCAGGGATGAACATATTCATGACTATTTTGATGTTCGCCAAATTACAAGGATTTTTACCCACGATCATTTGACCCTGAGTTCTATTTGGAGGGAGTACTTTTTAGTCAACTTTAGGTGATGTTTGGGGTTGGGAATCTTGGATAGGACCCCCCTCAAAACGCTCAAAAGTCCTGTCCAAATGGTCAAAAATGCAGAGCAGGGTTCAGTATCGGGCAAAAAACGATAAGGCTCAAAATCATTGGACCTCCCCAAGTGGAATGAACTAATACATGCCAGTTTTGTGGGTCCAGAACCTCATGTTTGACCCATACCCATTTACCAATCCATGATGTGAATCACCCCACTGTCCCGAAGCTCTCCGAAAAAGGTCGCGTCGTGGCCGAGAATCGCCAGATCAGCGAGGGAGGATTCGCCTTTGTCTACCTGGTGAGCTGACTGGATCGGATGCGAGAAATGGGTGATTTTTACAGTTCGAGGTGTGAAAGCATCGCAATTGAAAAACCCACCCACCAGATAAATGGAGGTGTTTTTATTGGAAAAGCATCTATAAATGGAGGACTTTCCGTTGCCACTGTTGGGTACCAAAGGCTATGTTCATGATTGTTGGTAGAGGGACCTACCCCAAAATCACAGATGTTTCAAGTTGGAGAATGAAGATCCCTTGATGCCTTTGACATTCTGCAATCTTGGTAGTTATGTCATATCGTAGATGTCGATCAAGTATCTTATTTTCCCGGTTATTGACCCAGTGACTAGATGAACCCACTATCGTTGGTGGCAACCCTGCAGGTACACGATGTCAAAACCAACGAGGACTGAATTCAATGTGAGCGGTGGCATCAACAGCTATGGCTATGGGAGAAATATCGAATCATCAACGGCTTGTGTGTACGGAATTTGCATGTTTTATACCTATATGTGTATATGTAAACCATGTAAACTATATCTATTGCATTTGTGATCACTAATACCAAGATATACGAAGATGCACACCTATAGAACCCGCAGAATTTTAGCCGTGACCTCCACCTCTGCCTGAGGGGCATCTTCCTTGAAGCCCAGTTCTTCCATGTTGGTGATATCATGAGGGATTCAGCCATCAATTGGGGGATATTGGAGGGGCAACCAGAAGATGAAATCTAGAAACCATGTTTGGTGAATCGTTAGTTGTCGGTCATACAATCAGTCATACAACTGGTTTCATATATTTTCATATATTTTCATATGGTATTTTATGAGAATGTGAACCAATCCAAGTGATATAATCTCAACCAATCCATTCCGGGAATCCCCATCCAGAAATGACCGAAGTTCACCCAGGAGCTGGTTCTGAAGAAGATGCGATGCCAGGACCACGTGGATCCCATGTGGTGGAAAATGATGTTGATTGGGGATTTTGAACTGACTCATTGTGAAATACTATTAAATACTGTAATATATATATATATTATAATATATGTGAATCTGGGCCTCTACCAAGCAGTATGATGAGAATGACGAGATGACAGACATAGACGCAGCTGTGGAGATTGTGGTGAATTCCTTGACACCTGGGATATCCTGGGATCTTTGATGATCTTTGTGCACAGCTGGGCTTGATCTTTGGGTTTGATCATGGTTTGATCTTTGAATGATTGGTGTGAAAAGTTGATATATATATAGTTAAGTTGATCTCCTGAAGACCATGGCTGGAGTTGAGGACAAAGCCTCAATCGCAATGGCGAAGCGGGAGATTCAACTGTTCCCTGCCTGAATGTTGTCAATTGGTCGATGATGTGTTGTTCGAAAGTTTGAAACTGGCAACCGGAGTGAGAATCGTGTCAACACCTTGCGCCATACAGATGTAATTGATATGTTATGTCTCTTGTCTTCAGAGAAACTGCTAAACATCTGGATTTTTTCCTGGAATTACATTGGCTATCATCCTCCATAGATCCCCCAATCTCATGCAAAAACATCGGATACAATACCCAAATCCCATAAAGAACCGATGAAATTCAAGCTTTGCAGACCTTGCTGAGGTTGGAACAGCTGCCTCCTCATCCCAACCTGGTTCAGTGCCCTATGAATCTCATTCATGATGTGCAAATCAACAGTTTTCAAACTTCTCTCACTCATTCATACAGGTTGGTTGATAGGGGTTACAGTAGTTATGGTAGTGAATCACAATGATCCACAAGCCAGTTAGTTTCCCCCTTTTTAGCCACAGTGCTTTTTGGTCATTGCTCATGAGGTGATCAAAAACCCATGACTCTAAAATACTCTAATTTTGCTTGAAAATTAGAGCCTTCTCCACTAGCAAACGTGAAATATGAAGAGTCACATATTCTGATGACCTGAATCCGTCTGGATCTATCTCAGTCTAGTGGTTCCTTCATGTTGGCATACCGGTGACCAGTATATACAGTTACTTATTATCAGTTGTTTCTTTGATCCACAGCAGTGCGGAGGTACTTCGGCAGTATCTTCTTGTCAGAAGGTAAGTGCAAAGAGGTGGGATGCCCGGCTTCAGTGGCATCTGCACAATTTGAAAAACGGTCCTTCGTTCAATATTGGTCCTAAGATGAAACACCCACCATAAAATAAAGGACCCCAAATGATTGGAGCCAATGCTAATCAGAATCTCCTGGTTGGGATTTGATACAGTAATGTACTTTACCGGGGGAAGAGATGAGCTTGCGCATTGAGAATTTGGTTGAATACATAGACATGCACAGTTTTTTTTTGGGAACAACAATTTTGAATGATTTGCGACATTATTTTGCAAGGCTGGATAATCACAACCAATTTGGACGAGTTTTGTCAATCATCATTAGCACAATGTTCGTATCATCCTTATTGTCATCGACACAATCTGGATTCTCCCGAAGGTAATCCATATTTCCTGGTTCCCCGGAAAAAATCCTGCTGAAACGCAGGTCCCAGTCGCGCCAACATTGGGGATTCAACCAACTCCCAAAGGTAACCACCCCAACAATTACCGTTGATACATCCGCATATTCTGAACGTATCTGAACATATCTGAACCATCAGTCATTGGGGTCACCCAGTTCCTGAGAAAACCCTCAGGTGGCCATGCTCTTTGAGTTTTGCCCTGGCGGGCACCTTTTGAACCTCTTGGACAAGGCAGAGGTGCAGCTGGGACGACTGCGAACGGGGGTTCACCATTAGGGCCTTTAGGGTGAAATGTTGGTGAAAACATGGTTGAATCATGGTTGCAGTAACACGTAAAATCTGAAATAAAGCTGGTTTTATGCGGAAGATATAAAGAGAATGACGATTCTGTGAATTTGGTTAGGTATACACCTCCAGTTGGTGGCATTATATGATGTCCCTTGATATCCCGATGCATTTTCAGCTGCCTCTGCTGCCATTCGTTGAAGGGAAGGACCACCCTGCGATCAGCAAAGAGTTGATGAAGGAAAGGTGTGCCATGTCCCATTGAACTCAGTGATGGCTGGGTTAAAACATGATTGGATTATCCCGCTCTTCACACTCCAAGGATCCCAACGGCCATTTTATAGGCATTTCCCATTTTCCAACACATCCAAATGCAGCTCAAGATGCGAACTCAAAACCCTTGCAATGACCCAAGAGAGGCAGGACCGAGCCCCACTGTTTTGATCCTCCAAAACTGCAGGGACGTTTGTCGGAGCGGGTCATTTTGGAGACCATGACGCAAATCGTGGCAGCCGGGATCCCCGCTGCAGCGTTAGCCTGCGTTCCCTGGTTGGAAAACACCCAAAAACAACCGGGAAACAGATTCAGAACTGGGAAAAAACATGAGGCAACATTTTCTGGAACATTTGAAGGGCTTCCTACATCCTTGAAGACCAGGGTTGTGATGTGAAACAGTTTTTTGTCAATTTGACGTTGGAACATGATTTTATATACTTTATTTGTGTGTCTTTTGGATGGGTTGAGACTACCAGTCAGATTTCAAGTTGATGGAGACCGCGCCAAATCGCCTTGAAAGGTCCTTTCTTTTCCATTCCCTCCCTAATATGACGACCCCAAATGACAGAGGGTACTGTAATTGCCCCAAAATCTCTTGTTTGAAAAACCACATGTTCACCCTAAGAGTTGCCATTTTGGGATATCTTGTGGCATTTTGATATTTTGCATTTCCCGACAAACCCATGCCCATATCATATTGCTGATTCCTTGTACCATCTAGTGAGCCAATTCCCCTTATATCCCCATGATGATGGTCACCGAGGGAGTGGCTGTGCTCCATAGCTTCTCTCCACCGGTGCAGCATCGGGACTTGAAGGCAGACATCTTTGCTGGCAGGACAAGGGACTACAGTTTTTTGCCATTTCAGTGTTAACATGTTTTAACATGTATTAACAGACCGTTTTTGGGTACCCAAATTTTGGCCCATACCCAGACGGTCCCTTCAATCCCTTTGAGTTTCGCACTGGATCCCAAGCTTCGAGGGTTGGCCAGGTGGAAAACGTGCTCTTGGGTGCCGATGGGCACTGGAAGTGCCAGCCGCAGGATGGTCTCGATGATCGGCATGTGCGACATGGCATGTGCATGGGCTACCTCCTGCAATATCCTGCACAAACCATGCCAAAACAACATACTTGTACTATAGAGATATACTAAGATCTTGTTCATGAAGAGAATAATATAGAATAAGTATCTAGTTACCCTGTCCTCAAAAGTAGCAATCCAACCTGTAAGCAGCTGAAAAACGCTGCCTGGGCTTTAAAATGACCCAAAAAGCCGCTAAAGCCCCCAGATAATGGCCATCAAGAGATTTAGGGTATCCCACGGTATCCCCAAAAACCATTTCCGAGGCTATTGGACTTTGGATCCTGGAGTGATGAGCGCCGGGAAACCCGTTGGACTTGTCCTTTCAGGTAATCAGGTACGATCCAATAGAGTGCCCGAAGGGGGAACCACGGCAATGAACAAAATCCAGCTGCCCAGAGCTTGGCATCCCGAAGTGTGTAGCATTCTTGATGCACCATCAATAGGAGGCATTATCAACACCGGCATAGTGATCCTTACTTTCCGTTCCCACTTAATTCATAACGGCTGAACCACCCCTGGATATTCCACAGTACGTTGCCGTCAATAAGGGCTCATGTGTCAGGCTTGGAACCAGGAGCTCTGGACAAGCACGCCTTATCACAACTGGAGGACATCCAAGCGGCTGCTGGTTCAACAATGTTTACATTTTGCTTTTCTATGAGGCTGCCACGTTTCTGAAAGGCAGATGAACGCGGCATGATGAGGCATGTAACACATGTACATGCAAGTTCCGTCTTCTTGTCATAATTGGGTTTGTCCCAAATTGGAGGATACACCTTTTTTGGTCCGTTTTGACTTCCGGAAGATCCGGGAAGATGATGATCAACCACCACAGGGATTTTGGGGTGTCTCATTCTTGTAGAAACCCAATGGTCGTTTTGGAGCAACATGTCGGTTGAAAGCCCCGACTTTCTCAGAGTTGTGTCGCTAATTCATGGTTTGCAACGGCTAAAGCCTTGATTTCTGAGTTCAACACTTGGATGGTGCACCGTAGCAGCACCATGGTGCACCTGACAACCTCCACGTGTCAAGCTTCTGTGATTTTTGTCAGGAACAAATTGAGAAATACACCACCATGATGTACAGGCCATGAATCTGGGAAGCTGTCTTGTCCATGACAGTGTGGATACCAAACGAATGGAATAGACCAACCAGTTTTCCTTTTTTCCTGTCTCAAATGGTGCGGAATCTATCGAAAGCTGGAAAATCCGACTTTTTTTCATGGTCACTCATGGTCACATCATTTTGGGGCAGAACAATCCGGGATTAGATAACAGCTACATAAAGGGGAGGACTTGGGCTACAGTACAGATTGCCAGCCAGGGGTCGTTTTGTACGAAGAATGGAGTTGTGCCAACCATTGCCAACCTTTTTGTAGTTGCAGGTCGGATGCATTGTGTCTTGTACCTATCAGAATCCTCTGCACAACTCCTGCCCCCTTATCTGAACCCCGATGTAGAACATGTAAAGGATTCCAAGCATGTAAATATTTCCAACACCGATCGAGACTACTTGGCCCAAGCGGATAGGATTGCCTGCAGGTTCTATCAGTGAAACTTGTAGAGGTGAAGGCAATGCACAGAATGCTTCAACACTGGTTCTATGTGTAGACATGTCCACTCTTTCATCTCCACATTGCTTTACTGGCAAACTATAAACAGTCCAGTCCTTTGCAAGCAATTGTAATCTGGTTTGGTCAAACTTATGTGTACTTTGCCAATTTTTGGCCAGTCATAACATAGTGTACCACCCAGAAACACACCCATGAGTCATGATGCTCCGAGACATCCCCATCTTCAGACGCTTCAGAAACCGAAAACGAGACCAGGCCGCCTGAAATGGTGGATTTCTACTTGGAGCTGCATCCTCAGAGTAATTCGACGCCCCAAATCCCATGGTTGATCAGCATTGTTCTCCCCATTTTATACATCAAAATACGTCAAGATATGGCATTTTTTGGTGCACCTCTCAGAGAAAGCCTGATAAGTTGCTGATCCTGGAAAATTCTGTGTATCCGATCACTTGGGGTCGAAATTCTCGTGGAATGGGATTCCTCCACCATACCCAACCCTCAGCCAAAGTGTGCTGGGCTTTGCCTCCCAGATACATCCAGATACCAAAACTGTGATAACTGTGAAATGCCAAGTTAAACTTTGAATCTTTGACATATCTTTGACTAGCTGCTGGATCAGAATTTAACCGTGTTGGTGTTCCCAAATGGATTCGGGAAGATGGCATGGATTATCCAAATCATGTCTCCCAAACATCCAAATATATGCCAATATATGCCAATCATGTAATAATATGTCTATATTATAAACGATTATTAATGATTATTATACATAGTTATATTATATATTATATGGTATATACATCAGAATGATTTTTTCGCGCGGCTGTCAACAGCCCGTGGAGTCACCGCCCTGCTTGAAACCTGGCAGCCAGGTTTCCGATCTGTCAGAAGGTGGACATTTGGATGATCGGATGCATTCTGTATACCTTGATGTTTTACAGGCCAGCTGTCCAGGGTTGTCGGTGGCAGATGGTGGCAGAGGTTTCTGTTGCCACACATGGGACCACTATGGACCACTCACATCTACCATATCAGAGATTCTGATCGTCTTTCAACTGACAAACTGACAGAAACACCTGGATGTTGGTTTATGCATCCAGCCTATCCGTCCATTTGTTGCCTAGATCTATCTTTACCAACTTAAATGGACGTGCTTTGCGAACCAACAATTCAGATGGATGGGAGGCTGGATGAGAAGATGGGCAGCATACCCTTCAGTGAACTAACATAACTATGGACAATCACCATTTATAATAGGTAAATCATGGTAAATCATCATCAGAAAAATGACAATGTTATGCCATTTTCCATAGCTCTGTTCGTTTACCAGAGCATAGATCCCATTGTAAGCCACTATAATATAAGACATGTTCCCATTAAAATCCTATCAATTGCTGTAAATCCCATTAAATCCATGGTAGATAGAGATGGGTAGACCATGGTAGAATCATCGCTACTTTTTCTCCGATCATCTCGCAGGCATCCGTTCCAAGATGAGTCCACTTTGGCCATCGCCAATGCCAGATACGTGTGGCCGTTGGGTCGACCCAGTTGAGGTATCCTTCATCTTTGGGATAGCAAAGGGCAAAGTTATCCATTCTGCATCATTCTGCCATTTGGATCGATAATTCTGGTAGATCTCATGAAATGATTGGAGCCATCTGCTGGTCCCACTTCGTGTTCCATGCCTTCCTTAGTGATTCCAAGGGTAAATCCTACGGATTTGCCATGTTTTGCCATGTTCTTTGGGACTATCCACACGAGGCGAGTGGAGGCGAGCCATGGAAAACCTTTCCGGAGGTAGTCTGAAATACCAGTTCGTATATTTTGAATCCGTATGTTTAAGTGGCCGGGCGTGCCACGGAAACCCTTCCCGGAGGTAGTCTAAAATACCAGTTCGTATATTTAAAGATCCGTATATTTAAATGTAGTTACCGTACGTTCATATGGGTGTGGTATGGTGTGGTAGTTTGGCATTAAGTTACTATGCAGTGAAGTAGCTTGGCCCCAAAGGTATTCATCGTGGAAACACCGAGGTCCAACCCTGAATACCCTGATCATCTACGAGATCTGACCCATTGGCTGTTGGCTCGGGACTGGGTCCATGGAGATCTTCACATGTGTGCAGTGATGGCGTTGTAGGAAGCTCCCAAAAAATGATGATTTTCAATGAATTTCAGATGTATTTTCATGAAACCAAATCAGCCCAAACTGAATTAACTGAATCAGGACATTATCATGAAAAGTGGTCTTCAAACATATCAGTAATCGTGGTTCCAAAGTCCTGTGTATTTGGGGTTCTATAATGTTCTATATAGGCAAGCCTGCTTGCTGCAACTTGGGGTGTTTTCCATCCTACTGGTATCTCACGACCATGTTCAGCACGCACCATGTTCAGCAGGCAAGTGCCCCCAATTTGGTGAATGACTTCACCCAGTGAGGCTTCCCGTGGAGATACAAACAATTACTGCCCATGTTTCAACATGTCTGAAGCCTTATTTCAGCAATTGTTCTCCCACCACATGTCCCTTTTGTCATCGTTTTGTCATACTATCTCACCCACCACATTGTACCCTTGCTCATCAAGTTTTATAATTTTGTTCCCTTCTCATCTCATTTGTTCAAACATGTTCAAACCGTTTGTTTTTCATGATTTGGCCACATTTTACCCATTTCCCCCCCGTGTTTTGTCACGGCGCCACGGCACCACAGCAGGATCCAGAAGATCGACCGGATGCCGAGCTGCTGCTGGACATCTTGGGCAGTTTTTCCTCAGCGGAAGCACCACCGGTGCTGCCTTTGCCGCCCGGTTTTAGAACGCTGGGGCGGGAAGGTGACGGGGTGGAGGTGGGTGGTTGAACATCATTTTGTTAGGGGATAATAGGATATATAATATGATATAATAGGGTGTCAAGGTTTGATCATTTGAAATGGGAATATCATCCAGAAGGTCTTGTTGATTAATGATTGATAATTATTGTATGTTGGTTGATTGTGACGACTTCGCTGCGACGTCACTAGAATGACGGTTGGCATTTCGGACAGTGTCTACAAATGACCCTATTTCATGTTCGTGAATGAATATGATTTAATATAAATTATCTAGATAGTTGGTGGTTTCTGATTAGAAGTTCACGTTTGATGGTCAGGTACTGTCATTATTACTATGTTTATCATTGATGATCTAAAACGATGGTGAGAATGACACTTTTTGATGATTCTCCAAGATGGACCACCCCCGCCAAAAAGAAGCAAGGCCGAAAGCGGTGCAAGAACAGTGCGAGAAGCTGCGGCGCCTCTACGGAGAGGTGGGGCAACACAGATCCACCGGGAAATATGGTTGGAGTACACCCCAACATAGGATGATGGATGGTTCATGCCAACATGTTCAATACAGAGTAATACAGATGGCCGAAATTGCCGAGGTTTGTTGGCAAAATTTGACCCCCAAGTCTAGGCAGGACAATACCTTTGGTTTTTTGTTTCTACTCAATACATGGATCTGGAATGTATTTGAGTGCGAAAGTCACAGAACGCTTGTTTGAAATCCATAGGTTTCCATAGCACTTCAAGAGCAAAGCCAGAAGTATATATACTGTTAATCACTGTTATATATGCATATATTGTGTATATATGTATATATATATTGTATAGCTGAAAGTAATAAATCATACACTGAGGGTGGTGATTAATGGGATTAGTGATGGAGTTTACACTGTACGCAAACTATATCCCGTATACCTGCGCCAGGGAAGGACCGGCAACAGCCCTGCCAGCCGAGTGCAGAGCCCCTGCGCACGAAGTCGGGTCCCCCAGAATGCTGGGATTGAACAAGTCAACAGTTCCCAACTGTGGATGCCATTTCATGGTAATTTGTCCTGTGGACATGGTAAAAAATTGAAAACAATATGTCGCTATACAATCCTTCCCCGTGTCAAAATCAAGGTTGTACCATGTCTTGCCACATCTTTTGCTGTTGTCCAGGTCAGGAAAATGGCGAAGAAGAGAGGAGGAGGTGAAGTCGCAGCCGTGCAAATCTAGACTTGGGGGGTCATACCTGTGAGATGATGTAGGGTGAACATCCATTTATTTCCCGCGATCATTTATGAAGTGTACCAGCTACAGGCGTGAACCTACACTAAGGTATTGGCCCATGGTTAGATGGTGCCATATAATGCCTTAGATGATTTTCACATATTTTCACAGACGTTTTTTGGTGAGGCGATGTGAGGCCTCAAAAAGGACTCACTTTCCTTCAGGTCAAGGCAGAAGAAGGGACGACAGAATTCCAAGAAGCGGACAGAAGAGATTTGGGCGCAGGTGCTATGGATCTTGAGATGGTTCAAGCCAAGCTTGTCAACTATTGTTTATATATATATATTAAAATATATTAATATGTATATAAATGTAAGCAGATGATTTTAGATTATATAACCGCATGCAACTGTACATAGCCACCCAAAATAGATCAGTTTTGTGATGAACAGCTTTGCAAACAGATATAGTAACTTTCCGGTGGAACTTGAGCCTAGGAATAGGTGCAACAGGATCAACAGGAGGCGGGTCCACCTGAAAAAAACATTAACGAGGTAGGTCCAAGTTGGAGACTTGCAGCAGAGGAAACACATTTGTAGCATTGTACATTGAGGTCACTGATCAAAGCGAGTTCAGGGAATGGAAGACAAGGTATGGTAACCTCAAGTAACTTCCATCGCTCATGTACATAGTTTAGTGGTATTTAATCTATTTTCAATATGCACTATGTATTTATATATATATACATGTATATATATACATATATATATTGTATAGATATATTAGTATGTATTATTGAAACTGACCAATTTTGTATCCCAATGTTTACCCGTCTCATGACAAACATGAGTTTGTTAACTCAGTCAGGATGAACATCACGGAGCCTCCACATCTTGGATGATCTTGGGACACACCCGACATGCCGGTGTGTGAGGTGTGTGAAAACATGCTGTCTACTCCCCAAATGGCAATTTTAATAAGGAAAGTGATTATCAACCTATATATATATATACATACATACATACATACATATGTTGACAAAGCCATTCCAAAACACCAACCACAATTGCCCAAAGACGGAATCTTGTGGTCAGGCAGACAGCGCATGGCCCGTGTGGGACTCGGCGACCTTCAGCGTTGGATCCTTTCAGATGTGATCCCCCAAAAGGATAGAAGGATGAAGGATCATCAAACTAGGGGAATCGGGAAGAACTCGTTTCAATCTTCTTAAGGACTCCTTGGTACAGGAAACGAACATACCTCTGTCTTGGACCTGCAATTTGTCGACTGTTTCTCGAACTTTCAGACAATTGGGATCCCAAAGTTGGAGTTTTCGGCTCAGATCTGAGATCATCTGAGATCTTAGCGGCTCCAAATAGAGTGGTCCAGCATTCCCTGAGAAAATCCATGCATGGATAATCTGTGTCCATGGGATGCGGGTGAAACTTGACCCACTGGAATGTCGCTCATAAACATCTCAACAGATGATTTCTATGTACGAAACGTGTATTTCCAGGAGGCAGAAAAAAAGGGTTGACATATCCATCCATGTTCGATCAAATCGCTAGTTTTCGCTTTGATTCCTTTTTCAAGCCCCAATCCCCAAGGGTCTTCATGTTGGTCTTCATAGCTGGCTGATTTTATCCTCTAGAGCCAAGGCTACCAGCGTTGCGGTGCCTGAGTGGCTTGTCGCAGTTGAGGGGATTTGGGCACGGGTGAACACCTGCGAGTTACCAATGTGAATCTCTATGAATGCGGTTCAAAAAAAACAAAACATAAGTAAAACCCATGAATTCCCATAGTGAGACGATGTGGATGAACATGCATAGCGAAATGTTGATGTGAAAACCAGCGGTTTGTGAGCGGTTTTGATTGATAGCCACCTCCCAGTATCTGCTGGTAGCAAAGTTTGAACTGTGGAACCCTGCCTCTTGGACCCAACCCCGTTCCTGTGATGTTGAGCTTCACTGCATAGTGACCTAGGCCCAGCAGCAGTTGGGCAGCCTTTGGTGTTCAGGATGTGCATCAGGGTGACTGCCGGGTATGGGGGCCATGACAGTAATGTAATCTAGAAAAAAAACATAGGCAACCCCAAACAACATTTCCTCGAGTTTTATGGATGGTGATTTCTATATTCAGAAAACTCAAAAAAAAACCATGGGTCGTTGATCATGGTTTCGATTGCGTTCCAGGTCTCAAAATCAAGATTAATATTAGACCAGCACAAAAAGATCAAAGAGAACCTTCTTGCGAGCTCAATCTTGACAGAGCTCCCTGTACTTTTCCAGTTTTGGGGTTTAACATCACTCAAAATGGTGCCGAGACAGTGGTTTTCACCCTCCCTGAAGTTGACGGTCATAGGACAATTTACGGTAAACCTTGTAGAATTTATTCGGAAAACCAATGAGATTTTCCCATAAACTAATCCATTGCTTCTGGCCCTTGTGAATGATTTGTAGCCATTGAATCAGACAAAACCCATCAAAACCCTGGAACATTTCCCTGGCAGCAACCCCCAAGGATAGAAGAGATAAAAATCCTACGACTCTAAACACGAATCAGGTTTCTATCCTTTTGGGGATTGCTATAAAACTGCAACTCATGGTAGAACCTGCGCCCATCTTTGCCACGGACATGCCATGGCCGCAACGGGCCTCAAGGAGACGGAGCATGACGCACCATCCCCCTGGCGCACCAAGATGTAGCCTCGGAGGGGCAGATCAGGGCCAACGGAGGAGGATTGTCATGGCGATTTTCATGGGGGAGTTATAGAGATATGGGGATATTATTGGATGGGATCTGATGGTGAAATGATATGTATATCCAACTTAAAGATGATTTGGTTTGGCGGAAAATTGGGAATTTAACCCCAAACTATGGCCATCTTAGTAGGGAAGACAAGCCTAGAGGGGGATTAAAGTGGATGAACATGGGGATGTCATCCATCTCTAGTTGTTTTTTCCCCAATCACGGTGAATTTGGGGTGGACAAAGACAAAGCTTATGTTTTTCCAAGATGAATGGATGAACATCCTCAGAGTTGCTCTTTTGTTGTGAAATGTAGGGGAGTCCGGAGTGATTGCTTTCTGATCTATGGCCACCTAGGGAACATGTCATGTGAATTATTTGCTCAAGAGAATGAAAATACCTGTTGTTCAAGGCTGAGATTTTTGTGCGCCAATCTGCGTTGCCCTTTTTGATGGATATTTGTCGTGATGCCAAACAATAGAACATTTTGACGCAGGTTCAGCTTCAGCTAGTGGTCCGTTTGCAGAGTCCGGATGAGTCCGGTGTTTTTCGCCGATACAGTTGTGAAGGTTTGTTTCCCCTCCCTTTCCCTTCTCAGTGAATGCATGGTGTCGATCTACGTTGAGTTGTTCAAAGCATTGCTGGTACACTTGTAGTTTCCTAAAAAGGGATAATCAAGAGAAAAAAACATGTGCAATTGGCAAGTGTCAAGGCTGCAGATTTATGCGGACTCTTTCCTCACGTGAGGTCTCTCTGTGGAACCACTATCTATTTTTTTTTGTCCTGCGATACCCCCTTCAAATGTGGGGAGATGGCCGGTTTCCGAAATCGTATTTTGCGATCCGTAGATTGCATTGCAGGGCGTCAGCAAGAACTTATCTCTACAAGCATGCTCCACCAAACAAGCCTTGAACTTTCAAAGATCATCAAACATGGCCCTATAGCAGAATCTAACAGATGGGTCCGTCTGAAAATGCGGTATATCAGAGTATATCAGTATATCTCCAATTTATGTGAATATTCAAACAGGGAAGATGATGATAATGATGACCAACCAGGTCCCAGCCATGGATTCCAGTGGATTCCAAGGTCTACCTGGCCTTCAGAGGGTGTGGCGGGGGACGACCTGGCTGCAGCCTATGGGGGCCAGGCCTGGTCATTCTGAGGATTCAACGGATGAAAAATGGGGATGGGTCAAGTTACATATGGAACCATATGGATTTACCATGATTTACCATAGTTGACCCAGTTGACCCAGCTCTTTTAGGGTAGGCTGCCAGGGTTTTGACTCACCACCAGATGATTAAAGTTGTTAACTGGTTAACAAGGATGAAACTGGTGGAATCATCCATGTTTTGTTGGGATGAAGCATTTTGAGCTGTACCCTTCCTTGGAGCGCCCAAGGCACCTACAATTGACCTAGAGATCAGAATAGGTAGACGTCAGATGCTAGGGCAAATGATTTGGGGAGGTACCACAGGTACCCAGATGTCAGTTGGTGCAGAATGATGGGGTGCCAATGGTATGCCGATACAGGGCAAAATTGGCGAAGTGTACCCACTACAGCAACAAAAATGTGAGTAATCATTCCACTGCAAGCAGACCATTGACAATGACGTTGACTGGGTTTGGCCATTTTTGTGGGGTCAAGTCGGCTCAAGAAAGGATTGTTTGGAATTGTTATACCATATTCATCCATATTCACGTATGATAACTCCACTACAAAAAGGTGGGAACATGCTTTCATTTTGACTCAGCAACCAGGGTGGCTTTGAGGCAGAGGAGGTTGGCCAGTCCTCTTGGAGTTTCTCAACGTGTCTCAGCCGCAACGTCTTGATGATCAATGAAATGCAATCCCTGCCATATCCCTGCCACAAAAATATTTAGCATATCAAATATATACCACTTAAAAACTCTGGTTTTGGGTATTGGTTCAGGGGGCTCTGCTGGGCCCCTCATATCAAACCCCAAATCCAAATCTAGTCTTATTCGGAAGGCACACATGCCAGTGCCAGCAGTTCAGGTTTTTTTTTGGGTCAAGTAGCGCCTATTCAGTTAAATATAGTTCAATATAGTTAAATAAGTTAAATAAGTTAAATTTGGTTCAATATAGTTAAATATAGTTAATTAAATTATATATAATTATATATATAATATATTTCAGGAGGGTTATTATTTGGGCGAAGGGATTCAATATATCCTGACCTGTCATGACCTGTTCCTTGAATCCTCAAGGCATGCAACTTCTAGTGGCTCTCAATCTCCACGACGTGAGCGGCGGCCGCAACGAGGCCTGGAAACGGAGTTAGACCATTTTATGATATGTTTGATGTTTTTAGTATTGAAACCTATGGTGACTATGGGGTACCCCCATTTTAGGACACCTCCATTTCTACATGTATATATATATATATACAATTATATATATATATATACACATACATGAATGCATACATACATACATACAATCAGTACATGCAAATAGCAAATATATAGCGCTCCCCAGAAAGACACGCAAGAGTCAACCCCCCAGTCAAGTCCAATCCAAGGTAATGGTAAATGTAACTGTTCTATTTATTGGGGGATGTTATGATGGGGCTTTATTTTATTTTGTACTCAATTGAACGATCTCGGGAATTGTCCGTAAATGATCTGGATGTCCCAGTCCCATTGCGATTCTTTGAATACCAAACAGTACTGATGTTTGAACTGTCTCCCAGTCCTTTAATCTGCGGCCGCCATTGATCCACAGTCATTACCGCTGTCAGATCCAGACACGGACGCCTTTGCTGCGCCATTGCCTCAGAGGTTGTTAATGCCCTTCGGTGTTCTGGAATTATCAGCTATGTAAACCGCTGGGCAGCAACCAGACCAAAACCGACCATACCCGCTCAATTTGTGAGAACGTGATTTGACAGGAATGAAAATGACTGGAAAGCTGCATTGTGTCTCACAAGTGGGAGTCTAGGAATTGGAAAACATGTTGTATGTCATTGGAAGAAACGTGTTTCCTGTGGGTGAGTATGCAGTGTATGATCCAAGGATAAAAACACACATACGCACAAGTTTCCCAGCGGGCCCGAAATCGCAATGCTGAAAAAATCTGACCAAGGTGGCCCGAAGTGAGAGAAGAGGCGCGGACACCGGCAGGGTTTTGCTGACTGTATGAGGTTCAGTGGATCTGGATCTCCCAGAGAAACTATGGTAGATTCATCTGAGTCTCATAATCAGACTAAGGATGATTAAAGTAAAATTTGTAGGAACTTCAAATTCTTACTGAGAAAAGGAATGCGTTCCTGCATTTTTCCCTGAACCGTCCGATTCCCAGCGAATGGGATCTCAATCACAGCTCAATCATTCTCAGCCCAAACGAATAGTGAATGCTACGATGAACCTTCCAATGCCATGAGAGGCTCAATCGTTGACTTTAAACCAGTTCCGAGAATGATAGACCCTGGCCACAATTGGGATTGATACTGAAACGAGCTTGTTGTTTGGATCACCCCTATCATTCCTTTTCCGGTGTTCTCTCCACCTGAGGCTTCACTATGGCCGGCACCACCCCTTGAAACCACCGAGAGGCACTGGACTGGTATGGGCTGGTCATGTTTGTTCCAACTATGTCCTGTATAGGTATGGTGGTTTGGTTCATTTCCTACAGTTTGATGAGTCTGACTGTTGAACTGATCAACACATATCAACATGTTTGGGTTGATTCATTCTTTGAACCATAGTACCCATCATGGTGGTGTTACTAGGTTGTATTTCCTTATTCTCTTGATTGGTCCATGTTAGACGGACATTGCGTACTTAAGATGTTCCCAAGTCATTTTATCAATCAGAAAATATGTTCGTGTCGCTATCCATTCAGATTTCAATTTCAATCATCCATTGTCATCCATTCAAATACCGATGCGAATCCTTTTGTTTTGCCTACCAGACGGATCATTTTGCAGGTCTGTTTCGAGTGGGCCATGGCCGACGTTGGCTCCTCAGTTTCGTGATAGCTGGTGAGATACCTGGAAGATGGATACACATTGGAGTTGAGCGAGATGACCCAAGTTGACCCAAAATGTGGTTGTTTTGATTCGGAAAAAAACAAAAAAACACCTTAGAAATCCTTAGAATATTTTCCTGTATCATCCTGTCTTATGAAGCATGGGATTTCAAAGATGGCTATATTTCCATTCAGTGCAAAGACACGCACCGAAGGTCTGTGTGTTTTAGTTAGTGCGACACTGTTCTTACATGAATCAACAAGCCATGTGATAGTGTGAGGCACAGATTCAAGATCCTTGTAGGACAGGATAGGACAGGCAACTGCAGAGATTTGAACACAACCAAGAGTCCACCAAGGTCGGACAGACGAGCTGGGAGTTGGGATGCCCCAGGTGTAGCTGACGCTTGAAGCTTGCCAAGTCGGTTTGATGTGGGCCTAGAATTGTGAGAAACAGGAGGCTGACGCTACACATTTCAATGTGCCATATCTTTCGGATGTTTTTGGTCGGGGTTTACAGTAGGAAGACACTTGATACAATTCCTGGTCGTCCTCCTTTTCTTTGTTTTCTTTGTTTTCGACTTGTTGTTTGCATTTGTTGTTGTTGTTGTTGTTGTTGTTGCTGCTGCTGCTGCTACTGTTGCTGTTGGTAGTGGTATTCTCTTCATAGTTCTTTGGTTTTTGGCAATGGTTGTCTTTTGCGGTGTTTTTTTTCTTCTCCCACTTGTGATGCTCGCAAAACAATTCGCTCCACCCTGTTTTGCGCGGGATGGGTATAGATGATGCTGGGTTTTCAACGACATTTTGAAATATATTTAAATGATTTTAAATGCAGTTCAATCATGTTTTAACCTCAGGTGGATACAGGTGGGGAAACTATGCCCATGAACATCATGAAACATCCATATATCATATATCCATGACTGGTTGGTGGTTTGGAACATGTTTTATTTTCCATATCTTCCCATTGACTAATATTTTTCAAGATGGTTAAAACATGTTAAAACCACCAACCAGATGATATAAGTGTGTGACTATGCTTGAAACAGCCAATCTGTGGATCTGGGGATCGGCTGAGGTCCTCATCAAAATCCTTGGCAGGTTGGACGTCGAGCTGTGGACAGATGGTCAAGCTGGTCATGGACCATCCCCATCTTGAGTAATATAACATCAGTATATACAAGTATGATCAAGTATATATATACACACCTATATATATATAATTATATATATATATATGTATAATTATGCAATACAGTTACTGCATTGAGTCTTGATAAACGGTGAATTCTCCACGTTAATGACAGAATAGCCAAGGAAAAACACGTGAGAGTGAGTGACAAAGTTTGCCGCTGGAGTATGTGCCCGAATTTGAAAGAACAAACCTATCATTCTCCGTTTATCGTCGATTGGATGATGATCTCTCAACTTGTTTTGGGGCTTTTGGGACCCTGCATGGCCTTCATGCCTCGTATGAACATGAGGATCATGAGCAATGAACTACCAGTTTTATCCAATGAACTCTGGCTGACCATAGAAACTGGACATTTGGATTTGGAACCCAGCACATTCGCGGTAGAGATGCTTCGCAAACATGACTTGCCCTGACTTATTTAAGGTTCCAAATCAAAATTTTCAGGTGGCACCAAAGTTGATGGATGATGGATGTCCATCCCTTGATTTTCGGTGGGCATGACCCATCCCCCTATATTTTTGCCACCCCTTCTTTTGATCATATTCGATCATATTCTGAGGGATGAGCCTCGATGTTCATCCACAAACACATTTTGATATTTAAGATCAGGGTATTGACTTAGCGATTTGGGTTTGGGCTTGGTCGTTTCTCCAAATCCGGTGCTCCCCAGCCGATAGATCCCGCCTGACAGCGTTTCGGAAAACTCAGGGAAGTCCTTCCCACAGTCCAAGGGGGCCACAGGCAGGGCCATGGAGTCAGGACCAGTAGGAACTAAATAGGAACTGACCGGACCAACCCTGAGGGGATTGGGGCTGGATGGCTATGGGATTATGGGGATAGATATAACTATGGATAGCAGGGGGCGTATAACTATGGGGTTGTTATGGGTTGTTATAACCATTGGATTTTTGGGGATGGATAACATAGCTACGATACGAATCATTTCCGGCCGATGCCCTTTGGCAAGAAGGTCTTAGCAACGCTGAACATGTAGACAGACTGATCATCCAAGAAATGGTACAAGGACTCCTTCTACTGGTTAGTGCAGTTCCCAGCTTGTTGGCATGAGTCAAAATCGGTTGGGAAAGAAATGGGATGTTTACTACAAGAGAGATGACCTTATCTGCGGTCCATTGGATTTTGACCCATACTCACTCGGATTGTGTATGCTGGAGGTTCCAAACATATCCCCTGCTGGGTCGCTCTTCAGCACCAACGGCAGCAGGTAGCGACAGCCTGGTACTCCCGGCAAGATTGAGCTTCGGCGAGGATGCTAGTGGATGGCATCCCAAGATGTCATGTTTACATATTACTGCTTCAAGACGAAAGTAAATCAGATACCCAGGATGATGATGATGGTGGTGGTGATGATTATTGATATGTTTATTGTTATTATCTGGTTTTACTGATCAAATTCGATGATGACCAGGAAATTCACATGAACTCCTGGCCCCGGAGCGGGAACTGGGAACTGGATACTGTTTTTCGGACGAGCTTGGTGTAAATTGGGGGTGCACAAAATATGGATGGTTAACAGTTAACAGACACAAAATCATCAAAAAAAAACTAGTCCCCTGTGCCCTCGTTTGATTGCCTCATCACAATAATCAGATCGTTTGGACTTGGGTCAAAATGAAAAAACCCCCTAAAACAAGGATGGTTTACTAAGTTTATCAAATGACAAATGACAAGATGTGGCTCCGTTGGTACTTCAACCCATAATTATCCAAGTGTTGATTGGCAAATTCACATGCTTCATGGTTCATACCCCCGTGTTTCTTCATGGTTCATACCCCCGTGTTTCATGGTTGAAGAGTTGAATTCCCATTTTTTCATGGTAACATCTGTTCAATTTCTCCAGTTTTTCATGGTTACATGTTCAGATTTCTCCATGTCTAATGGTTATTAGTTTAACAATGAAAAACCACGAACATGTCTAATGGTTGAATGAGAAAATGGATACCCTCTGGTTATTTAACATAGCCATGGTATAGATGGCCCATAGAAATAGATGGTTTACCTATTAAAAATGGTGGATCTTTCCATGGCTATGTTAAATCACCAGATGGTAAATGGGGAGTTTAACTACTAACATGGGATCGGGTCAATACCTATGAAAATACCATTTTTAGGGGCTTATTCACATCCATTTTAACCCAGCTATTTTGATGTGAACTACAGGGGTACTATTGGTTTTGACACACAGCCACATCCCCATTTTCTCCCCATTTTCCACGTCCTTCCGCCATGGAGCCAGGCCCCCTAGCGGCACTGGCGCCTTTCCGTTCCCGTCGCCTTGGGACAGCACACCTGTGGCCAGCCAGGAGCTCAGTGGATCCTCCATGATCGCCACCAAGGGAAAGTGATGGATTGGAAATACCCTCTGGTAATTTAACCATAGGAAAACCATAGGAAAATGGTGGTTTAATGGGATTTAATGGAATTTAATGGGATTTAATGGGGTATACCCTCTGGTTATGTCAAAATAGCTATTGAAAATGGCCATTGAAATAGTGGATTTACCCAGCTATAAAATGATGATTTTCCATAGTTATGTTCGTTTACCAGAGGGTAACTACCATTATGATCCAGGATGTTAGTTGGGGATAGAACTCACCATCTATGGGTCGGGCGTGGGGTAGAACAAGAAAATTGTTCAGATGGGTGTTGCCCCATGTCATCCCATGGTTTGGGACCTCATCTTCCCTGTAGAAATGGCCAGATGATATGATATGTCCATACCCCATTTTTGTAGGCCAGCCCATCAGGTTTGTCCAGCTATTCCATTTCATCTTATCTCATCTTTTGGTGTAGTAGATATTCCAACTATATCATTATATCATTTATCATTATATCATTATATCATTATATTATATATATATGTTATACTATATAAATACACATCTAATATCAATATCATATTGATTATATATGGATAATTATGGGTATATAATTATATATATGGTGATTTGCTACATCATCCTGTAATTCCTAGGGGGCTCCATCGGTCCATCCAAAAAACAAAACGTCACTTCAGGTCCCAGGAGTTCGGAGAGGGAGATGCCTGGGTCGCCAGGGGCGTCAGGCGAATGGCGGATGGCTCGTTGGGGAACATGGAATATCACCGGATAAATATATATATATATATATGTAATATATAGATCAGATATATATATATATATATGTAATATGTATATATATATATATGTATATCAACCATGTGATATGGATGATACATGATGATACGTATTTTTGGAATATTCAGTGAAGTGGTTTTGAAAAAAAAACAATTTGCAGGAAACCAATCCTTTTGCTGTCAACTGTATAGGGATTTACCATGTAGTTACAACAGGGTTAAATTAATGTATGGGAGTCTCAGTGCCAGGTGCCCAAGCTGTCGCATCTACTTGGCCCAGTGCTGCGCTGGTGCGCCCGCGGTCATACGTTTGTGTTGTATCTGGAGGGGATTGGTTGAATTCTTTTCTCAGATGAATAGGTGTAGTATGGTGTAGTAGTAGTATCTCCTTGTTTCAGTTGATGGTCTAGTTTATAGATTTTATAGGTGATCTCCGGAATGTTCACCTGGAAAGACGTTTTAAACTGGGAGATTTTCCAAGTTTTTGCGGAGATTTCTCCGGAATCTCTTTGAACTTTCAACCTCCTAAGTTGTGGAATTTCTCTCGGTTCCTGGAAAATTCCTGCTGGATTTCCCAGGCATGGCCAGATGATTCAGGCCGGTTGGCTGTCCAGGGGGATGACTTTGATGGTTTCAAAAGACTTTTCCCACTGGTATGTACCCTCTGGTTATGACTAACATAGCCATGGTATAGATGGTCTGGAACATGGCCCATAGAAATAGATGGTTTACCTATTAAAAATGGTGGATCTTTCCATGGCGAACTGTTAGTCATAACCAGAGGGAAGTAATTATTCCATCATGGCCTCGTAGTGGGTCCAAAAATGGTTGGCCCACTGCCATACTGCAGCTTCGTTGGCTCTACCCGCAATGTTAGCAGGCGGTATGGCAACAGAAATGGGGAAACCGCAAAGAAACTATGGCACAAATGACAAACACTGGTTTCATGCAACCATATGGGTGCGTGAAAAACATGTTGATTGATATGATCGTACTCCAACGCCGGTAAAATCTGAACTTCTAAACACCATTTCATTCAAACTCAAAAAATCAGTTTTGGTGAAGTGGAACCCATCCATTTTTCACAGCATCCCAGCAACGCCAAAAGCCCAACACAGGCGTGATCCTTTTGTCCCTGTCTTGTCCAGCAACATGTTAAGGTAGGGTCAAGAAAAACGAACATGTTTTCGGATAGGGACCAATTGTTCTTTTTGTTGAATCCGTAAATTCAAAAACACATGATACTCCCACTCGATTTTTTGAGTGACCAGGCAGTTTTGGCAGCCATCCAGCACCATCCAGCCCAGCTAGCACGATTTGTTTTCAAGCCTCCTCCGATGAAGCCCAAAGATGGTGAAAGGGAGCAGGACCCGCAAAGTTCTCAAGCTGAAGCCAAGTGGGATATTTACTGTACTCAACTAATATCTATCTGTGTCTGTGTATCAGTATCTTCAAAACCATACATCCACTAGGTATATTCATGGATATACATATGTACTCTCACCAAAGTACTCGCAACTTCCAGTTGGAAGCTTGTGATTGTTTGCCACAACGAGCGACCAGTTTCCTGGGGCTTTACATGGGCTGCTGTAGAAACAAACTCAGGAGTGGCATGTATCAACATGACAGTGGGGTATTCAGACACTACAAAAGCATATGTTTATCATATGTCTCTCAGAATTTGTTGAAGGGATGAAGGGAATTTTACAGGAAACACCTATATTTGAGGGTAAAAGCCATGGTTTCCGGTCAATATTTTGCCTGCAACCAATCCATTGTACAGCATAGGATCTCGTGGCACTTGCTGCTGGTGTTGCTGTGTGCCGGACTCATGGGATGCTTTGTGACTCGGCGTTTGTGGGAGAAACACTGGATCTGAACATTACTGGTATATATTATGTATAATATCGTATAATTATATTATATAAGAAATGTTGGTGTACCCGTTTAGCCATCAATTAAATGCGGGTTTACCAGTTTACCATGGTTACCCATCAGAATTCCAATGAAAAGTGAACACGTTGCAGCCCATCACTGATTTTCTGCGGCATGTCCACGAAGCTGCTGCTTTCTGAAGAGTATCCTCCAGCGGCATGCACAACAAATGACCGGATGTTGCCTCAAAACTTAGGGACAAAAGCTTCTTGAAAAGTGTAAGAGCCTCTCCTTTGATCATGTTTGATCAAGATTTTCCCCAACGTTGCCATCAATATGCAGAAGTTCTCCCCTCGCCGCCTCGCCCTAGGTATTTTGGCAGTACGGAGCTACCCATCGTTCCGACTGCTTGGGAGATCAGCTGGAGAAACTGATCCACTTGACGCCATGCTTTGGGGATGGGGGAAGATATCAAAAATTGGGAGACTGGAATATACAAAAATGATCAAAAATGAATATACTTGGTATATATGATATTATATGATCATATATGGAAAAAGGCCAAAGTGATCCAATTTTTAGTTGGATCAGAAGACGAGTCTGCATCACTCTTGCTCAATTTTGACGGAAGAATGCTATTGGCCACAACATTTTTTGGGGCACAACTTACCGTCACAACTTGGGAACCCGTGCAGTGTCCCCTTTCTCAAAAGGGGTCCCATCTTGGTTTGGTGCCAGGTTTTAATCCAGGTGACCTGATTACTGGAGCAGGGTACATTTATCTATCAACAAATGTAGAGAAGACTTGACACAACAGGTACCAACAGGTATTCCCATGTATTCCCCACATTTCCCAAATATGATCCTTTTGCGGTTTCTACATTTCCATCATTTCCAGGACCAGTGCCGTCCAGGATGATTTGGGTACTGATTCTCGGCCTCAGGAAGGATGGAGGACACCTCTCTGATGCGGAGTTTCAGCTGGCCAAGGTTGGCTCCGGGGGTGTGGGATGACGCATTGCCCAAGGCTCATGGCCCAAGGAATTGGTTCATAAGGTGTTCAAACAGGACCAAAAACTCGAATCTCGCTACAAGATGCTACAAGGGGACTCCCAAGTTCGGGGTCTAGTAGGTGGACATCTCACCTTTTCTCCCAAGTTAGGGGTCCAGAGTTGGAATGTTCTGCTCAAGAAACACGTGATTCATATTTATTTTAAGTATTTGGCTCAAGCATGCTCAAGCTATTTTATGCTATTTTGCCTCAAGTGCAGTCCCGAGGTTTCAATTTAGTTTGAATCATGAGAGTGCTCACTGAGTCGTTGTTGCCAAGCCCAGTGGGCACTCGCCTCTAGACAGAAAACGAGCCATTTTTTGGCCGTTGGACCCCTGCAGATGCTTTTCAGTCGCTGATCAAACGTGATATGGAAGCTTTGCTTGACAAGTTCCCAGAAGTCGGCCAAATTCTGGAAGCCATGGGGATCAACTGGACTGCTGAAAACAGACCGGCGGTTCCTCCGGTGCTGAGCACCTGGTTTTTAGGTATGTCCAGCTCAGTGGATTGCCCATCGATGCAGATAATGGGTTGCATTTTGTTCAGATCTTTGGGAAGCTGGCTGCTTTGGGCGAGCATTGGTGCGTTCTCGATTTGTTCGGAATTTTGACCCTGGACTGAAGCGGTTCAAGCACCGTGTTTTCCAACACTGGCTGGAGCTGGCTTGCGTTTCAGCCCCCATGATCTCGGACGAAACACCCATCATACTCCCCAGCATCTTCCTACCCAGGAGACATGAACGGGGTAACGTGCCTGAGTGCAGCGTCATTGGTGATGACTTTGTGAATTCCCCCGGCTAAATAGTTACCTAGCCAATTTTACATGGAAAATCATGGAAACATGTTGCACGATCATTGCTGACACTGGGAGCCCCGAAGAGGGCTTAACATCCCAAAATCTCCGGAACAAGATCAAGCAGCCCTGCGAGTTCGCTTGTCCTGCGGAGCCGAAGTCAAAGGGCCTATCAATGAGGCCTGTGTCAAGATGCTGGCAAAGCTGCTCGCCTACAAGCTTAAGATTGTGAAGTTTCAAAGACTTGACTCAGATAAGCGGTTTTGAAGGCGATGAAAATCACCGAGGAACATTAATGCTTGTGAAAGATCTTCCAGCTTCCGCGGGCAAAATTGTTGATTGTCTACATCGCATGGTCCTTTGCTACAGCGATGACGAGAAAAATGCAGCCTTCGCGCCATCCAAGAGCGCAAAGGCTAAACAGCAAGCCATTGCCAGTGAAAGCACGAAAGCAAAAAAGACATTGGGGTTGCGTGCGAAAATTGCAACCGCCATCCATGTAAATTTCACGATAAATATATGCCTCAAAGGACCTCAGGAACGATGCTTGACATCATTGGATTCATGGAGTCGATGGGGTTACCCATGGTTGACGGAGACCATTGGCTGAATGCTCAAAAATTCACTGATTTTCCCTACGAAAGAGTGTCTCAGCCACAGGCGAAACTGGGCCTCAGCACCGAAGCGCTGCCAGACGAGCCGGCTGCATCGCCGGCAGCGGTGGCCGCAGCGCCGGAGGCTGGGGAGTCGGTCGGTCAAGGTTGATGATTAGCGGTTGATAAAGATTAAAGATTAAAGTGGGTGGTTGATATATGTTATTATATAATTGTTAATTATATTTAAACAATTCATATCAAGTAATTAATATGTCATTATATATACCTTAATTAGCCTTAATTCTAAAAATGACCATTTTGGGGGGGGGCTATCTTTGGGTTGTGATTTGCATCATACGTCAATGGCCGGATCGGGAGGTCTGAAATCAATTCATTTTCAGCCCGAAATGCCTCAGGTCGCAGTGCCAAGTGTGGCGCCAGTTCCTGTCGAAGAGATTGAAGAGGAAGGTGGGGAGTAGATCTTGTCAGCCCAGAATTAATATGGGTGGGCTATTTATTTTTGTTTTTTTTTTTTTCGCGGCAGGTTTTGGACCATCTTTTGGGTTCCTGGTTCTATGCTTTCCTGTTTCTCTGATTTTCTGCTTTTCTGCTTCTCTGCTTTTTGCTTTCCCTGCTTCTCTGCTTTTCTGCGTTTTGCTTTTCCTGCTTCTTTGCTTTTCTGCTTCTGTTTTTCCTGCCTCTCTGCTTTTGTACTTCTGTGCCTTTCTACTGCTACTATTCTACTTTTTCTTTTCTTCAGTCATGTGTTTTTGCTGCTCTACTTCCTGCTCCTTTGCTTCTTTGCTTCCTGTCTTTACCGTCTCTTTGTTTTTCATTTTCTTTTGCTTTATTCTGTTCTGTTTGTATCCTAAATGAACCCTAGAGAGACCCTAGGTGAAACCCAAAGAAACCCTAAAGAAATCTTGATAAGAAACCCTAAATGAACCCTTAAAAAAAAAACTAAATGAACCCTAAAGAAACCATAAATAAACCCTAAAGAAACCATAAACTAATCCTAAAAAAACCATAAATGAAACCTTAAAGAACCTTTAAATGACACCCTAAATGACATCCCAAAGAAACCCTAAACAACACTCTGAAAAAAAAAATGAATGAAACCTTAACTGGCACCTTAGCTGAAACCCTAAATTGACACCCTAAAGAAACCCTAAATGAAACCCTAGATTGAAACCCTAAATGAAACCCTATATTGAAACCCTAAATGAAACCCTAAATAAACCGTAAATGAAACCCTAAATTGAAACCCTAATGCAAGAAACCCTAAATGACACCCCAAATGAAACCCTAAAGAAACCCTAAATCATTGAATGAAACCTTAAATGAAACCCTTAATGAAACCCTGGAGAAGCCCTAAAGAAACTCTAAAGAAACCCTCAAGAAATCTTTAATGAGACCCTAAATGAAACCCTGATAAGAAGTCTCGATAAGAGACCCTACATGAAACCGGAAAAAACCCTAAATAAAACTCTACAGAAGCCCTAACCCTGAAGGAACCCTAAAATGAAACCGTAAAGAAACCCCAAATGACACCCTAAAGAAACCTAAATGAAACCCCAAATGAACCCCCAAATGAAGCCCTAAATAAAACCCTAAATGAAACCCTAAATGAAACCTTAACTTAAATGAAACCCTTAATGAAAGCCTAAAGAATCCCCAAGAGACCCACATGAACGTTTGAAGCACCAAAATGTAGCAAATACCATGCAAATGAGAGGTTGAAATGCCAAAATGTGACAAATATCATTCAAAATGGAAGGCGAACATGGCTAAATGTAGCAAATACCATGCAGAATGCAAAGTGACCATGCCATAATGTAGCAAATACCATGCAAAATGACAAGTTCTAGTTCCAAACTGTTGCAAATACAAGGCAAATGGTACCGGCAAAGAAAGCCAGAAAAAATCCAAAACCCGACGGAAAAAAAACAAAAACTATTCTACATCCATTAATAGGTTCCAACACTGACGTTCCAAAAATGATGCAGAAAAGGTTTGGTCTTAGTAGAAACACAGTTTGGTGTTCAAAATGTTTGAGGTATTTTTGGACCGGGTAATACCATGACACAGATCGAACGAAGTGGAACCCCGTGGTCTCGGTCAAAGCATGTCAAAGCAAGATGTGTCGATGGCCATGTCTTGAATCTGCTGTCGCTCCCATCCCAGAAGAATGGTCAATTCCTACTGGGGCTGGAATGATTTGATGACCGCAGCAAAGGATAGTCAAGTGTGTACATTTCATTCCAGATCCATATCGATCAGATATAGATACCTCTATCAGCCTCTATAATCTTCTATCTATGTGATCACTCATGTATGACCACGTCATATAAATCCATCATGATCCAGCATGATCCACCACCATTTTCAGCTCACATACTGTACCTCTTTTTTGTCCCTGAAGGTGCCACGCTGCTGCCGCGCGTGCCGAATCATCTGCAGGTGCAGCCAGCGAAATGGTACCTTGGTCGAAATCTGCTAAGCATGAAAAACAGTTCAGCAAGAAACCATTGGCGTAGTATACAGTATACTTGTTATATCTTTTTACTGGTATACTTCCCAATCATACTTCCCAATCATACTTCCCAATCAATCCACATTCATTTATATTCATATAGTTTCATTTAGATCTAAAAGGATTCATGGGTCCAAATGGATAAATGAAACAGTGCAGACAGTGGCATCCGTGGCATTCCGTCTCTCTGCCGGGTCCACTGAGGTTTTATCTCCCTGAGGATTTTCGAGAGCTGCCGCTTTTGCCAAAGAGCATTTGGGACAAAAGCCTCGACATGGACCAGTGACTCGTCTTTTTACACATCTTGAATTGCAGATCTATTGAACCCAGACAAGACTCATGGGTGCTCCAATTTTGTTTTTTAGCTTCTTGAAGATGTGTTTAGCTGGTAAATAGCCGGCAGAGCAGTGCCATTTTCGGGTTCCAAAGTTCATCTGTTTGATTAGGTTGAGTTTCCGCTTTGCCCAACCCCACACAAACCCCATTTTCGGTGATGAATGAAGATGATTTGCATAAATCACCAAAAACCCAAAAACATCCAAAAATCAATGGATTGGGGTAAGGGGAAATCTACAGGAAACCATAGATTTTCCCATTAAATATGGGGTTTTCCTGTAATTTTTCCCTTAAACCAATCCATTGAAAAAAAGAACATATTGTGAGGGTCAAAAATCCTATGAGTTGAGTCACCAGCGGGGTCCAGGGTGTTGACCCATAGCCAGGTTGGACTTCCCTTTGATGCAAGCGATCCTGCTCCGCTTGCTTCGAAACGAGACCATCCGGACTGATGGATATGACTCAATGGATAAGGGGACCATGATGGACCATGTACTTTTTTATACTTTTTTGTTAGCTGCAAATCTGTGTTGGGGGGGTTCTGTCAGTGTTCCCTTCAATCAATTCTCAGCAGGGACCTTCACCCCATCATAGTATTAGTCAGGGATGTCAGGGGATCATCATCCGAAACATGGCTGTAGATCAAAAATTAGGAAACAAACTTATTTGAAAGTGATTGGGATGTGAACTACCAGCCAATTTTGGGGGATACTGTAGTGTGTTTGATACCATGGCGCAATCATGGCGTCCCCGGCGACCCGCAGGATCCAGGTGTACGGTGGAAGCATGACCTTTGGGGAAGGCTGTTGTACCAGCTGCCTAATGCGGCAGCGGGATTGCAGTTGGCCAACACAGGTGCCGTGGCAAGATGTGGCGGGATGGGGCCTGGTTGGGGGGTCCAAATTGTCCAAAGCTACGAAATCTATCCCTCAAAAACTATCGAACATGGGGATCTGGTTGGTGGTTTGGAACATGTTTTATTTTCCCATATATTCGGAATAATCATCCCAACTGACTTTCATATTTTTCAGAGGGGTAGGTATACCACCAACCAGGGATAGTACTTGTGGTGAATCTGAATCTCCCACCTTAAAATGGATGGTCGATGATGGTCGAGGTCATTCCCAGATTCTTAGTCATTGGGTCTCACATGACAATGAAGATGTTTCATATGATTCCGTTTAAGGATCCAATTCTTATTGATAGAGGAAAATATAGGAAAAAGAATTGTTGCTGGTTTGAAACGTTGTTTACAAACATATCTGTGACAACCCTCAATGACCCAGTGACTAATTTGGTACAGGTATTGAAATGCTTTGCAGGAGAAGTGACAGGAACCCCTACATGTTTGATGGAAAAAAGACAGTTTTTCTTTGTTCCCTATGAACCAATCCATTGATCCATGTTGGTCCATTCAATGCAGAGATCATGCGCAAATGGGGACTACTGCTAGGTCTAGATCACCAACTCCATACTTGGATGATCATCCTACCACTTGCTGCAATCAGTGTATAAGTAACGATCACGTCTAGTCCCCAAATCGCCTACAAATCACAGAAACCTGAGAATTAGAATCATGTATCTTGGTTTAATAATATGGTCCCCTATCTGGTCAGCTAGAAATGCATGTTCCATTATTTTCACACACATTTTGCCTAAAATATGTTCCACCACTATGCAATGCATGCTGGAAAATACATTTACCATTATAGATGTTCATGTTCAAGCTGTTCGGACTCGGATGGTGAGAAAATTTACATGGACGCCCAAGAAATCTAGATCTCAAACCCATGGATTTCACATCATTTATCCGATTTATCCCCAGTGGATCTTCTATCCAACATTGATTGGTCGAAGAAAAAAAGAAATCCAGGACCAACCCCATTAATTTTCCCCCATGTCTTTCCTCATCATTTCCCCACGGATTTCCTCAGTTCGAAGTCGCAGGTGGTCGCCCGTCTTCGGCAAACCTTTCCCGGCGCCACTATCGCCTTAGATCACCGGGCGCGTGGCGGCTGCGACTTGGAGTGCCCCTGGCGCAAGGGGCGGCCGTGGTGATGGGAAATCCATGGGAAAACCCGAAAACTATGGGAAAATGATGGGAAAACAAGGGGGAACCCAGTTAAAATCCGATGAAACTACCAGGTTCACCGATTGGATGAGGTTAAACTATCCCTACAGCTCCAAGCACCTTCTGAAACCATATTTAATGGGGTTGTTTTTGGGCTCCAAAGACCTTCTCAGTCGGTACTTATATAATCTATAAACATAAATAATCATAAATCTATACTAGAAATTAGTAAACATAGCTTAATCTGAGCCACCTGAACGGAAATCTTTGATGCGTGTCCACTTCTGGTTTCAAGCTTTCTAAGGCTCAGTCGCCCAGCGAAATTGTCCCTTCATCCCATCAACTGATGTCCACAGGTGCTCCTTGCCAGAGATGGTGATGACTTTGAGCGGATCTGAGACTGCCTTTGATTGGCTCATGTTGGACTTCAGCCAAAATGGCGCCTGAAGTTGCAGATGGTGGGAAGCTGTGGCAAGGTGTGACCTGAGGGTTCAGCCTTCCGTAACATTAAACCATAGGAATTTTCCCAATATCTTCAGAATATTAGAATAAAATAATCTAGGACCAGTGGATTTTCCATGGCCGTCTTAGATTAGCCGCTTTGCGGCATGATAGAGTGGGCGGATGCTCAGAAGCTCCAGGTGATGGGCGGATTGCAGGAAGGCGATGATTTCTTGATCGATTCAACCACCAGAGTTCATGGTGATTGTCGGTTCAGGTTGGCATCGGTTGGAAAGCCGAACATCCAATGCCAACCATCACCTTCCATTAATGGCTGGCAACACATCCCATCAGGCAGTCAACACATCCGATGACCCATCCTCCATTTTTAGACACAGCGGTGGACGACCCAAGGTATGGGCCGCAAAACGACCATTGAGGAAATTGTTCGGGTTTGTCACTTCTTCCTCCCAAAGACGTTGGTCATGGCCCCTTGGAGAAGATGGCAGCGGTGGACTATGGTGGACCATTTGATACGAAGTATAGGATGACTCATCCAATATGGCTGAAGTGTGATCAAATTTGGCCTGTGTTTCTTTTTTGAACTCACACCATTGGCTTGGCCAGGACATCCGTCAAGTTCTAGGATCGCAACGGAACCATTTGGATTCCAGTCAAACTAGGTCATCTTCAATCGCGACATGGTGAACAAGGCAGGCAATTATCGGGATAAAAACATGTACGACAACTACAGAGCCGTCCCTTGCCTCTGGTGTGGGAGGTCGGGCTGCTGGATGCAGTGGATGCAGTGGAACTGCGACTTGAGGGCACCCAAATCCAAGGTGATCGAATTTGGTGTTTCATCATACTTCATCTGGCTATGGATCAATACCTATACATACCATTTTTAGGGGATGAACATCCATTTACCAGCTATTTTGATGTTCACCAGGGGGATAGGGTTTTGACCCATGCCCATCTTTCTTTCCAGGGGTTTGCAGGGAGGCTGAGCCACTGAGGTCTCCCAGCACTACACTTTGCCTTTCCTGAACTATGAGGCCGCCATGCAGAGTTTCGTTGCAGCCGGTGGCAACGAGACCTTGATGTGGTCATCCAAATCCCGACATCCCAAATTCTCTGCGCACGCCTATTATGCTGACATGGTCAGCTATTTTTGCCACTGGGTGAAAAGCTTTACCCTCTAGTAAACGTTTACATAGCGAACTCGAAAATCACCATTTTTAATGGGTAAATCCGCTATAAATGGGCCATTTTCAATAGCTATGTTTGTTTACCAGAGGGTAAACAGTTTCCAAGGAGATGAACGATAGTATTTCACCAAAAAATGGCAGTGCGGACACAGCATCGCATGTCAAGTGCGGAAACAGATTGCTGAGGCAACAAGCAGTTGAGAAAGCTCGAGGACGCCGACGGCAGTGTTAAAACTCCAGTGGGTGACAGGGGCGCTGGTGCCGGTGAAGCCACAACCATTGGAGCCCCAAACTGTGAAAAACATATTGTTTAACTCTTCGACATGATGAAGTCTTGAGGTTTGGAGCCCGAAAATATGACTTGTTGCTTCATGAAATTTCATCAAGCTTAGTTCAGCCCTGTTTTGGGTTTGGGGCGGGTATGGGATACCCAGGAGGTTTACACAGAGCTGGACATCTCTGACATGACTCCAACTCTGCGAAAGCCCAAAGATCTTCAGCCTGACAAGGACAAGCTTTGATAAAACTACTCTTATGATCATAATGTGCAAGAGCATGAAAGTGACATATGGCCTTCAATTTGCATCTTAGATTTACAATGTAAACAGAAGGAGAAAATAAGAGAGAGCAAGAGTGTTGTTTGCCTGGGGTTTGGTCTGAGTCTGTGTGTGAAATCAGCAAGTTTCAAGTTTTCCAGACATGTGTCAAGTTTGATACACCCAATGGAGCCCCTGAAGGACTGGATGAACCCCATGCAAAAACAGGTGAACTTAGCCACAATTGATGTGTCACTGTGAAGCAAGATCTGTGGCATGGATGTTGATGCGATTGGTTTGTGATGTTTGTGGTTGGAGATGGCTGGAGACTTGTGAGAAGAAAATGACCAGTGAACTGTATATAATTGTGTGTTATAGCCCCATCATGGTCATGGTCTAATTGGTGGTTTTAAAATGTTTCAAAAGATTCAAAAGTTCAAACCGTCCAACAGTGCAAATGGAATATATAATGATTGGTGCTTGAAACTATTTACGGTAAGCTAAGACATGAGATGAGGATCCCATCGACCAATAACATAGACCCTGCCAGTTCTGGGGGTGGGAAGACTACTTTCCTCTTGAGATGGGTGATTTTCATTGATTTTCAGGGTCTATGTTAATTGCAATGATACTCCCATTCCTGTAATATCAAATACACATCTAAATACACAAGATTAGGGCCCCGAAAATGAACAGATCCAAGACTATCCAGCATGGTTTATGGTTGAGCCACCCAACAAGTGGGAGAGCTCTGGCCCTTGCTGGCCTCAATTAATGGGCCTCTTTGGATGAGGAAAATAATGAGATGGTGGTGATCCCATAGAGCAACCAGCAGGTTACTTAAAGATAATTGAAGCCACCTGTGATGCCCGGAAGGTTTGGATGTTGCCATGCTTGTTGCTAGTCGGTTCAAACATCGTGTACTTTCCATCCCTACACAATGGACATCAGGGGACAATGACCCCCAATTAACTATATATGATATACTATGCCTAGTATATTATATAATATGCTGTATATATATATATATTATACATACATTATACTTGATTTGTTGTGCCATGCTCAACCACCAGCATCCCCGGTTTCTGCCGGTTTTTTTTCGCTTCCAGTATCTCTCCCCCAGGTGCGTTTTTCCTTTGACTCAACACGTAGCACGTGAGCCTTCCAAAGATTCGCCCAGCGAAAGTAGCACGGGGCATTGGAAACTCTATGAAGACAGACACAACAAACCTGGATGGATTTGTACCACTGAGAATCTTGGATCCAACCTGCTTTAAATGCTGGTGGCTTTTAAAGATGTCTTGAAGATGTCAAGAAAATGTGTGGTTCTGTGTAATTCCATGTTCTTGAATAGGTCCTAATGTCGTCGTGAAACAAGTATACATGTTGCATTCCTCGTAGGACGATGATCGGCTTTTCCTGTGGTCAACTTCAAACCATCGTGGGCTCAAGCACCCAAGAAGCCATATCCATGGACTGAATTGGTGGATGAATCCATTTGCTTGCTCAGATATGTAGAGGGTCCCAAAAGATCGTATCTAAAAGTAAGTCATTTGTTAGTTGTTTTTCTTTTAAACTATCATATATATATATACATACACATATTGGAGCCTGTAAGGTTTATTGGACATATTTGAAAGCACCAGAGGTCCATTGCTTGATGAAATCTCCCAAATCGCTGCCCACGGAGGAATGGAGAAGCGATCACCTTCAAAGTCACCTTCAGTGAGCAGCCAAAGCTCATGGTGCAATTCCTGCGATCATACAGCAACATCGGTGACGCGACCTGCAGTGATAGGATAGGAAAGATCTTAAGGAATATGTGGGCACAAAAAAATCCCAGGGTCAGAGTGAAGTTTTCAGCACACAAAGCACTTTAAAGCACTAAGTTGATATCAGTTCCATCCAACCTGAGCTTTCCTAGCGGGTGGCGGATAAACCTGTCCTAACCTGGTGTTGCTTGTTTGAAAGAAAAATGTATCCTTTTATGATTGAAGAGATGACTCCATTTCAACCATAAAGAATCTAGAATGTATAATCCCATCCGAAAAAAAGTTCAATACACCAGTTCAACCATGTTTTAGGGGATTTTCACACATCCCCTCTGGTAAACGAACAGCAGAAGCGACAATTTGACCCTTTTTTTCGTGGTGATTTACCCATGAAAAATGCTGGATCTTTCCATCGGATCTTTCCATAGGCGATGCTGAGATCTTGATCGATAGCCCTTTCCGATGGAAGTGGAAGGGCAACGGTCACTTGGCAGAGGGCCCTAGGGGGTGCGGTTAGAAAAATGCTCAGGTGAACCATGGTTAACCATCAAACATGGTGGTACAAGAATGGATATATCATGGAATTTCATGGTATATCATCAATGACTTGCGAATTCCAAATTGATTTTTCGTACCTGAAAATGCTGTTTTCCCATTCTTAAATATCTTAAATGGATTATGATCATAGTTCCCGTGGGAATTACCCACATTTTGGTGATATCGACACATCAAAACTTTACCATTGAGGGGTCAACCAGAGAGAAGCCATGCCCCAATGACACTATTAGGGCCCCAGCCACGTAGAGGGACCCGTGAGGAGTGGCGCCACTCTCCCAGGATTCCAAGATGGAAAGTTCAAGTCGAAACATATTCAATTAACACACATAGATACACATAGTATGTAACTGCATTCTCTGGTTTGGAGAAAATTTGTGGATTCCAGATGCACTTCACACATTCGCACCTTAAAAGAGCACCTTTTGAGCGCCAGGTAACATGGGAGTCCGCACCAATTTCACACTGAAGGGAGGCTGGAACGAGCGGATTTCCGTGACGCAAAACGTACTTTTCGTCGTGGAAGCTTGGTGATGTTTGGTTCTTAAGTTAAGTTGTTTAGGACTCATAGGACTCATATTTTACCATGGTTATCCATGGTTTGATTCTGACCTGTGATAACCCTGTGAGCTGAACTTTCTTCTTCATGGAATTTCTTCTCAGCAGGGGATTTGTGCACAACCCTGCGGTCAACGTAAAATTTCACCAAATGTGTCCATGATTTCAGGATTCCCCAACCATTGGTTGTTTAGTTAGGGGTCTGTCTATACCCATAGCTTTCTACGCTTTTGGGGGTGACCTTCCCACTGTTAATCAGCCAGGGTTTGACATTTCTTGCAGTCACCACTTTAGTGGCCACCACTTTAGTGAGGCCTGAGCTTATCTCTGGATGATCATCAATTAGTTTTTAGGCATCAGCTCAATGGGAGATTGCGAAATAGTGCGAAATAGTGCGAAGCTGTACTCTGAAGATGGTGGTATTGATCTGCAATGCCCATTTTACTGGGGGATGATCCTTAGGTTTTGAACCCATGGGATTCAATAGGATCTGATATAACTAGAGGTTCCAAATTTGACCCGTGCCCACCTGGCCCAACTCATTCTATGGTCGAAATAGTTACGTGATATCTTGTGACCATGTGAGTCCCAGCCAGCCGAGGTTGACAAAGTGACACCGACTCCGCAAGAGACGACGGATGCCACCGTTTCCTTCAGATTGACCAAAGGACCAAAGTTTAAGATCATTTCTCTGATTTCTTGTTAAGCTGGCAGATGCTGGCAGTGCCACCATGGCTTTCTCTCAAAATGAGGTACCCATAGGTACCCCAATTGAAGCCATTTTGGCGGTATACCGGTATACTCTAGTTTCAGACTCACACGTCTAGCGATAAGCTGTTGACCATGGTGGATTTCAGCGCTCAACTCTTGGGCGGATTGAACCGTGCAAAGATTTCGGTTCTCCATCAGCAAAGTCTGAGGTTTTAAAATTCCAGGGCTTTGCCGTGCAGCTCCACCTAGCCTTTGGCAGCATAGTGCATAGTCAAGCAGGGTATATTAAGAACATTTTAAGAAAATTGGAGTTGACATTAAAGGGAAACCCTCCACATTGCCCTCGGCAGGCGCTGGTGCTGACAACTTTTGGGGAACTGCTAAGAAGGCGCGATTCCTGGCAGTTGGAATGGTAGGTCCCTACCATTCCCCATGTGCTGCAGTTGGATTGTCCAGCTTAGGGGAATACAGATGGATACAGTAATTTATTGTCATTGATTATGGCAGTTTTACAGTAATGGGAAAATTATGATGGACAATCAGATTTGAGATACGCTATTCCCAGACAAACCCAATGCATTCACTAATACATGCGCTTTATGAGGCGATTTTGGCCGCGTGTCACTACTATTTCAATCCCAGCGGCCCATAGATGATTTGACTAGTCATATCCGAACAAAGTCCCGGAAATTGGGAACTCTGCCTAGTAACCTAGTAAGCCCCAAGATCAACGTTCCCATCCTTATATATCAGAACTGTTGAGGCAACACCGTGGACAAGATCGTCCTGGCTCCCAGAATTTTGTAGAGATATCATGAGCCATCCGTGGAGACAGCAGCGGTTTGAAGGGGGTTAAGTATGTCGTAACCAGCCTAGACGCAACATGTGATTGTGCATACTCGTTTACATTTATAATCATATATATTATATATATTATTATATAATACATATAATATATATATATATATATTATATATTATATATATATGTATATATAATATATATAAACAATTATAGACAAGTGTCTACCACAATGAGGCTACAAGTCCATGCAAGTCCTTATCATCCAAACGAGTCCACTCCTGGCCAGCAATGCCCAGCATGTTGTTTTGCAATTTCCGCGGTCGCAAAAAACTTCGGGAACGGCCCCGGCCTTGAAACGAGCCTTGACACTTCTTAGTGTGGTTAGGTATGGTTAGGTTGACTTGTATGCATATTCCTGCCTTCCAGCCTTTCGCAAAAGAGTCTTAAAACATTTATCATCTATCGAAATTGAATTTGCACATCCCAGAAGGTCAATGACATGTATACTGTATACACATAAAAGCAAAATCCTTCGTACATGGACAATCTATATTTTGCATTCATCCTGTCACACATGCACACATCAGCACATTCATTTGAACGTGGATCAAACTGGGTAGATGATGGTAGATGAACATCCCTGAGACAAAAACGAGTCATTTGTGATATGACCAGGGTTGCCTTATGTCGCTTTGGACCCCAGGTCCGAGGGCGAGAGCAGGGACCTCAGGAGGACCCAGGAGGATCCAGGATTCGATGTTGGTGGTGAATTTCACCGAATTTTCATCAGGGATTCATGATGGTTATCCATGGTTGTTCCGTTATGGGGCAGAATAAACAAGACTTATGAAGCATATACAAAAAAAAAGGGATGCACATCCAACTAGGATGCTGTCTCAAGAATCTGGAATTCCCACTTGCTTTCGTGTTTATTGATCAACTAGTCTAAGTACATAGCCAATTTTCATGCACTCGCTCTGCTCATCCGGACACGAACTTACTCTGTGTGTGCACAATTGAATTGATTCAGAACCACAACTTTGAACCGTTGAAGGAATGGTGATGAATGGTGTATTTATAGAGTGCTCCTTTTTGCTATTTTTGACAGATACCCGTACCCAGATCTCCTAGCCATGCAACCATGCAGCCATGCAGAAAGTTGGAAATTGTAAGCAATCTCTACAGACACATAGACTACCTAGAAATTCACAAGCTTTGTACAGAGGCGCTTCTCAAACCAGCCAAAGTCGAGCACCCAATGACCTTAGGCCCTGTGGCCCAAAGCTTTCCATGGCCCGTGCGGATTGAGGACAGGGAGGAACCTGCGTGGGGCATCTCGCCCATTCCCGGTTTTTATGATATGTACCCTCTGGTTATTTAACATAGCCATAGAAAATGGCCCATTTATGGCTGATTTTCCCAGCTAGAAACCTCCATTTATAAGGGTCATCATGGCTATGTTAAATAAGCAGATGGTAATTAATGAGGTAAACCTCATAGTGTACCAGACCCCATTAAGACTTATTCTTGGATACCATTTAGATATTTAGGATGACTTATATAATAGCCATCAAACTGATCGATCATTGAAGATGGTTTCTGGCGTTGTGAATGCCACCCCTAGTGGTTTCAATCCAGGGGTTTTGGTGCAGTGAAATGCTGCTCAGCAGCGGGAAGGGCATGTGATCTTCTGGAAAGTCTTGTCAGCCCTTGTCTTCCGTTTCTTGAAAATCCAGCATTTAGATTCTTAGATGGCTATGAATCAATACCTATTAATACCATTTTTAGAGGGATGAACATCCATTTACCAGCTATTTTGATGTTCACCAGGGGTACAAGGTTTTGACCCACTGCCAGATGTTTCAAACAGAGCCGTGCCGAGTAAACAACTTTCAAGTGCCTCACACTTTCGTGATGGACTCGAAGCCTGTCACACCTCGAATTCTCATCCTTGCCTCATGGGCACTTCCAAATCAAAGGATGTCCCTACGAAGGAAGAAACACAAGAAACAAAAGTTGAGGGATCTACGGCATCCCTAAAATTCGATGACTTTTGCTTGTGACACCCGTGTCACCCATGTTTGTTGGTGAGGATACTTCACATCATCTCCAGATAGATGATCATTGGAAGTCCTTCCAGCTGGTTATAATATATAAATATGCCAATATTATTGCTACATCTATATGTAATTATAAGTATATGTTAATTTAACATCCGTATTTCAACACATATCTGTATGATTATATATATATATGTTACATCTATATTAATTATACAAATATTGGTCCCCAAGCAACTATACCAAAAGACCATGCAAATGGCTTTGTCCGGAGGCCCCGATTTTTTCAACCCCTGTGAGAGGCCCCTTCCGCTGCACCTGAAAGTCCTGCTGCTGGGGGACCCAACAATCTGGGCACATCAAAGCATTCCATGGCAGTGGCTTCCTGCATCGCTTCCCCATCCTGAGGCATCAGCATGGTGCGGGAGCACGGGATATCGGGACCAGGATGGGATCATTCTGTAGATTCAGGGCAACTTCAAACACCGCCAATGAAGATGCTCATATTGGGAAACCATCCAGAATGTCCTTCAATCTATTTTGTTTACTAGATTTAAAGTCTGATCTATTTGACCATCAGATCTATTCCAAATTGTTTGGATTGCTACGCTGGGAGTAGATGACTGCCACAAATGGCTCTTGCCACGGATACATACCTACTGTCCCTCGAAGGCTTGTTTTGTCCAGGATATGTCCATTGGGTGTTCGAACATGTTCAAACAACTTCGGTTGCATGGTCTAACTAGTTGAGTTGGGGTTAAGAGCCTCCTTCCAGGGGAGGGTCGAAGATGAGACTGTTATTGGTGACTTCTTCGTGGAATGCCCCGTTTTTTCTACATCTTTCCAGGTTGTAGTTGTGAATGTGAATCTCCCCATCCAATGGTCCACTGGCATGACCCATCCCCAGATGGCGTCAGTCAAACAGTGGGACAATGGGATGATGGCCCGGATAATCCGCATTTTTTGAAAGAGCCAAGTTTCCCTACTGTAGAGGGTTTAACCCAATTCGAATGAGACTATAAGAGCTTATTATTTATTATTGAAAATTATTGGGGTTATTTATATGTGTTTATGATATTCACTATATTCATTGCTAATTTCCAGGTGTCGTCCCTGATTTTTCTTGACATGTCTGGCCAACGCAAGGCCTCCAAGGCCATCGCCCTGGGGTCCTTTGGCTCAGTGAAAGCTGTGGGAAAGTGATGGAAACAGATGGAAAATGGCTGTAAATCTCAGTGGAAATCCCTAGTCCTACCCAAAATGACGACCCCTATGCATGCGCCTGATTGATGCTTGCGGCCTAGGCCCTTGCTAGGTGATGGCTAGCAGCAGGTTGACGGGTTGGCTGTTTCTGCTCTGCCATGCGCCATGATGCGATATGCTGTGTGGATGTAGACCAGAGTAGAACAACCAGAGTAACATAGTGGAAGTATGTAGAAGTACAGAAGTAAGGGGAAGCTCATGGAAGCTCCAAAATATTCCAAAATCACTTCAAGGTTAGTGAACTCTTAGGATCATGATGATCCCTATGATCACCAGATCCCCATGATCACGTGCAGGTGCTGAGTGCAGTTGGAATTGGAAGATAGCACGAGAGCCAGCCAGGTTCAATGAGATGCTCGTAGGAGTCGTAGGAGTTGGTATGGGTCCATAACGATATCCTAATCTTCAGCGAAATCATGGAAATCCCAACTCAAGTAGGTCTGGGTCCATGGCATTTGTCCTTGGTCAATCTTTTTTTTGAATATTTTTGCAATTTTGACTATGTGGAAACACTGTGATTTTGGTCACCGCAAAGGGTGGCAACTGAGATCTCCAGCACAGTCTTCATTGCAATTATGTTCTGGTTGGAAATGGTCCCAACACCGTCCAGCTTACCACGGCAGTGCCCAAATCATCGTAAATAATCTTAAAAATCTTTTAGAATGGATCTAGAATATATAGATCGGTACTACCTCAGCATTTTGCACCATCGCTGGTTGAATCTGGTGGCTCTCCTTGGAGTTTCACCCGGTATCACCCCTTCGCTTCGCTCGTTGGCGTCGTTAGCTCCTTCCGGCTATGCTGGTGGTCAACCCGTGCCGCTGGAGGGGAAAACACCAGTGGGATGTCAAGCAAATCTGGGGGGGTAGCAAGATCCATCAAGAACCCCTGGATACCCATGGTAAAATGTGAAATCATCATGTTCCAATGTTTTGCTAAATCGCCAGAAAAAAAAATGTTGGTTCAATCGTTCAGTCGTCCCTAATTTATGGGCAAACCCGACTATCACAGATGGGTGATTCACCAACAAACATAGGATCATAGAGATACAAGATAGATTAAGATAAAATGGGGTTGTGGTTGGATGATAGATGTTTGTGGTTTCAAAGGGTCTGAAGTCACCAATATTTGTGATGGGGCCACAACCACCAACCAGAGAATATGAGAGTTGGCTGAGGATTTTGCAAGCTTTCCCGGTGTTGTGCCTGGTTGTTATAGCAGTTCTACAACTAAACGGGTGCATTTGCATGAACAAAACTGAAATCCATGAATACCTCTGACTCTAGCTTATTTTGCCTGTCCCAATGGAAAGCTGAGAAACATGACCAGACAGCCAGACACGGATTACAACGTATTGCAACAACAGTGATTTGTGTCACATTGTCACTGTCCACTGTCAAGGAAACGGATTGTTCACTTATCTGAACTGCAGGGTACTCGGAAAAAAGCATAACTGCAGTAACTGCATCATTCTTCGCCAGGTTTTTAGTTTTAGCCTTTGCCATGGTCCTTGCGATTTCCACCATTTCCGAGCAAGTTCAGAAGGTGCCTCGGTTTGATGGTGGGAAGCCGGAGTCGTCATGTTGGCAGTTTAGGTGTCCGGCTGGAGCGTAGATGAACGGGTGTCCTTGAACCACGGAGTCCTGGGGCGCCAAGGAATATATAAACAAGCACGTCTAGTCGACTGTCTAGTGGCGAAACTTTCACACTTCGGATATCTTCGGATGTAGTCACTAGAGCCATCAAGACTCCTAATGGGATCGTTAAGCGCCTCGTCAACTTGCTTTTGCAACAAAACAGCAAGCCTGAAAAAGTGAAATTGGTAGTGTAAGGTGGCAAACCCCGTGCCAGAAAAAATACACCATTTGCGCAGGTCATTGTGGATGGGAAAATACTATTTCCATGCATTTCCGGGGTTCACCACATGATGAACCTTTAAACTCTAAAGTCAGGATATCAGTCCTACATGATGATTGGTTGATGGTCATATATGGTATAGGAGTTATAGTATGTCACACTGGTCATGGTTTTGCCCCAGACATGGTTTAAGGGGACATTTTTATTGGAAACCCCTATCTTTGGCTTTCCCATAGATTCATTAGATTCCCAATCCAGTGACTTGGGCTTACCCTCTGGTAATTTGACATAGCTATTGAAAATAACCATTGAAATAGTGGATTTTCCCATTGAAAATGGTGATTTTCCATAGTTATGTTAGTTTACCAGAGGGTAACATCCATCGACGAAGAACTTGCCAGCAAACGATCAGAGGTCAGCGGTTGGTGTTCCCGGAGTTCTCGGCGGACTTCCCACCGCGAAATCGCTCGAGAGCTTTCCGCGGGCGAGGAGGAGGACAGCCAACTCAACGGCTGTCAATCTGGGTCTGAAAATGGGGGCAATTTAATTGTAGCATAATAATAGAATAGTACATCTATAATAGTACATCTATAATGATATAATTTCATTGTACCATAATACAATACAATATAATAATAGTGTAGCCTATTTCTAAAGAAACCCATTTGAGCCATCTGGCTTTGTCCTGAACTGGTTCATCGCAACAGCGGGCCCACGGGACCACAGTTGTTGAGGTACCCAATTTAGGACACATACCAACATAAGGTTGTGAAGATAGATATAATATAATGATATATATACATGAATATACAACATCAATATACATGATGTTGTACATCAAAGACAGGAAATTATCCCCAAGTGTTTTATTTGTCAACCATGCTGGTTTTATCTCAATAGGTCCGACACAACCATCACGAGGATATAATGGGGATATAAGAGGATATACAACCAACAACTACCAACGATATGTTTTGAGATGAACATGACATGTTCAAGGAAACCAAGGCAGACGAAAGCAGTGATTGAATGTTAACATGCATATATGTAGAGACTCTTATGTCATTCAGTTGCTGGGCGGCTGCTTGGTGAACCAAAATCCAAATGATGGCCGTGGATGCCGGCGAATCTCAGCATACTAGTATCATGGAACTTGGATCCCAAATAGCTGCTAGCTTTCTGGCTACATTTCCCAGTCCCATAAATAGAGGGATGCGCAGATCTAGAACTTCTAGAACCTGTGTTTCTTAGTGATATCGCCCAGAATTTGAGGCGAATTAGGCCAGAAATTACTTGTCGGCTGGCACTTTCATATATGATATATGTTTTCCCCTTTATATAATATGGGATTATGATTTCCAATGACTTCTAGTTTTCAAGCAGGTGGCTCAACCACCACATTGCCCATACACTGCAACCACCAGACCCCTGCGCCTCTGCGAAGGGCACAGTTTTAGTCGAAGGTTCGGTGCTGTCACAGCGTGGAACATCGGGGATTGGTCCAGGGGAAATGATGTGGCAATGGCTCTGCCATGACTCATGAAGTAGGCCTAAGTAGGCAACGGCGTGGTTGACGTTCCGGGATATGTTTACCATTACAGACTAGGAAGATGCAGCAAATGCTTGGTATTTCCATGTATTTTCTACCGTTTTTTAAAGGACAATGTTGCTATTGTAGTTCCATAGAAGGTCACGTCGTACAGAGCGTCCCAGTGGAATTGCGTTCAGCATTGTTGTTGGCGGTTTCCCGCTTTTTGCAGCCAGCATCTGTTGCAAAGCTTGCCAAGTGAAATCCATGTTGTTTGTAATTTCATAAGATACAACTCCCGCAAAGCCCATAAAGCGTTGGCTCGTTTGTCGTGGTCATGGCTAAGCAGATTGCTTGACACATGCTTTCAACATCGTTCTATGCTTTCAATGTCTTTCAACACAGTTTGCAAAGGTCCTCCATAGACGCCAGGGGAAGCGGGCTCCACAAGTTCCAGATATGTTGCCTGGAAACCCAGAAACCCAAGCTCGAAAGGTAAAGGTTGAGGCTGCAACGGACACTTTAGAAGTTTAGTAAAGTTTAGTAGTCAAAATATGTCAAAATGACCACAAGTGATTCTTTGTTTTTGGATGCACCATTTTTGCAGAAATCCAGCTATCCCAGTCTCCAGTCTAAGCACTGTGCATGTTTAGAAGTCCGTTTGTCCGTTTTCCCAGAAAATCAACCCATTGACAGTCATGAACCAGGTACAGCCCAACTATTACTGAGGCTGCACCTGCTCTTCTCTCTCTGAGCCTTTTGGGCTTGGCCTTTCAGCGGCAAAAAAGGGAACCCAGCCATGGCTGTCCACAGGTAGGTTGCAAGAGTTTCCCACTCAACACACACTGTGCATATCATAGATGTATCAGATAAGATCTTTTGTTTCGTGATTGGGGTACGGGTCCACCCACATTTTTTTTTCATTCTGCAGCTAATGGGAAGGTCATCCCGTGCTTGGGTCAAAGGTTGTCTCAAGGGAACTCGGTTGATTTGGCAGGGGCAACTACAGCAAAGATACTGTGCTAAAGGCACAGGAAACGGTCCACATGCAATAGATTTTCGCGGCTGAAGCATCTAGCTTTGACGCAAGATCAGAGATGGACAGCTTTGTTGTCAGAAGTGGTTCATTTGTGTAAGTAGCAGCATTCAATGACTCTTGTGCAAAGGCAAAGGACCTGAAACCAGCGGATGAACACGGATGAACAGGGGTCTTGATGTGTCACAGCATGTTTTGATGCAACACAATCGGCCAAAAGGGCTTTCTAATTGGAACTTTTATAAACATCCATTTTGGGGTTTGACAACTTTGCACATTTTTGAACCATACCCAGATGAATTTGGAAGCTGTGGGAAGCCAGTTTCATTGTGGTAGCTGCACTTAGGCCACCTGGTTCTTGACGACGAGGCGGGGATTCTCCAAAATTTTCCTCCAGAAAAGGTTATTTTCTCACTGCCATCTCTGATTGGGACTATGGCCCTATGGCTTATCACTGTGGGTTTACGACACTATCATGTGTGGCCATCAAAAGAACATGTGTTTCACTGCCAGGTACTTTGGTGCCTCCCCTTCCAGAGTAAGGCCAGCCGACAGACTGGGGTAGGGGCCAGGGTACTGTATGTACTCAGATGAGATTAGACTTAGTAAGAGGTCAAAAAAGTCAAGAAGGCACAAATGCTGATTTCTTTCAATTTTATCAAGATTGCATGGGGGAGCCCTCATTTTGAGATATTCCAGCCTTACCCCAAAGTGTGATATTATGATATGCATGTTGATTTTTTCCATGTTCACTGGTTGAAAATGGTTGAAATAGGGCAAACGTCTCAGCTCCTGATATGCGGGTGCTGCAAATTTAAGCTCAGCATTGGTCTTTTGATATGCAATCGGATGTGTTGCAGATCTGATCAGGTCTGGTTGGTGGTTTCAAGTTTCAAATATGTGTTTCCAATACGGGTTGATGATCCTAGTTTAAAAAAAAACACCTTTTTTTTTCAGGTGGTTCAACCAAGAAATCATCCACGAGGCCAGCAGATGAAGTGGATGAATGGGGTGTTGGAGGTGGCTGGAAGCAGCAACAGGCCCAGGGGAATGGTGCCATGGGGTGCAGCGGGCTTCCATTGAAGTTTGAGTCCAGATCTTCATGATTTAAGTCTTTTCCATGCTCTGAGATATTTCCAAGACATGGCATTGGACAAAAAGAAGTTCAGTTGGACATTGATTTTGGGTCCAGGGGTTGCTTCCTCCATGCCAATGTGGAGTCGACGTGGAGGGAAAGCTCCCCATTAACATGCGTGTTCCATTTGAACACTACAGTAACAAAGATTGATTTTCCTGTCAGAATTTACTGTACAAGATTCTTGGCTTTGGCCTTCCCAGATTTACATCACGTTACCACGTTTGATTACACTTTTGGGTCACCTCTTGGCTATTGGGCCAAGAGGATTGGAAACCAATCCCACGGGTTTTTCCGAAACACCGAGAGAGTTATCTCCCCAAGTTGCCAGTTACCAGAATTGGTGCGTGGTTTCCAACCTTCAATTTTCAACTCAAGTGGGATGAAAATGATCCCCAACAAATAATTTAAATAGTTCTTGGGTGGCTCAATGCACGAAAAACCACCAAGTCATGGTACTGGCTCCCAACAGAAGTTTCACTTCATCCACGCAGGTGAAAGGCATCATTCAACAGCATGGCATGTACGGTGTGAGTCTGGGTGGTTGGCTTTGTCTCGAGGCTGGGCCCCTGGGCGGGGTGATATCGGTGATATCCTCCAATCGATGGATCTCTAAGGGGAAGGCATCAAAACCAGGGATTTCCTCATCAAACGTCCAGAAATGGGGTACCAATATACCAGCAAATTGCCATTTTGCTGGGAATATGAATTTCAAACATTGGATCTTGGGAAACACCAAAATCGATTCTTTCCAATGGTCCGTGGGTGGATAAGGCATCAGCAATTGAAACGGCTGGTGAGCATGTTTCTGTTGGGTTGGAGATGACGTAATTACCCGAAATTATGTGTTGACCCAATAAAAACCCCAGATTACATCTTCTCAGTGAATTTATTTCAGGGCATACCGTGGTTTGACGTTCCACAATGAGATACGTCCGCACAGAAGAGACTCTGTGCAAGCACTAGCACATACAGGGGATGTCCTTGCAATCATGCTATCATTTTCATCCGAAACAAACCAAGTCTAGAGAGTATGCTGTTTGGTGGAATCCAAATAGCGGTCAGAAAATTGCACAGGACTGGCTCAACTCTGGCCGACATGGAAGCGTCTTGGCAAAGTGGATACCCTGTGGTAATCTGATCTGACGTGCTCGAAAATCTCCGTAGTTATCTAAAAAATGTCCACATGATCATATATTACTCAGTAGAATTAAGATGAATTAAGATGAATTAAGTAGGTCAATGGATAAAAATTGATGGATTGTCCAAGATTGTCCTATACCGCTGGGTCTGGGTGATGAGATTTCAGAGGATCGAACAACCCAAAGGTTGGATGCAGTGATTCCTCTACTCATGAACTGGCCGTACTCCACCTTAGAGCAACCCCAAACAGATGCAGAAAAGTATTAAAAAGTATTAAAAATCCCCCAAGAAGCAGTATTAAAATGTATAAAACAGTGTCAATGTCCTGTTTCCACTACTGTTTCCACAAAACAGGGGAGATGATGGGAGATGCTGCTGTTGTTGTTGGGAATCCTGGACCATTCTGGATCAATCCGAGGTGAGGTATCCACCGTGTCACCACCTGGGCAGGGTCAGTGCTTGCCTCCACTGCTGAAGCATGTGCCAAACTGGTCATCTGCCTCTTGGCGTGCCAGGGCCTGGAAGGATTCAGCATTTATAGATATTATTAGATATTTATAGTCACCTAAAAGATAGGAAAGCATGGAAATTACCACTATTTTGGGAAGGATGTTACTTTTCTGCATCTTTTTGGGTGGTGGCTACACCACATTCATTTTTTGCATAGTTTTTGCGTGGTTCAATAGGTTCGCTGCAAACCCTAGGTTTGCCCACAGCGAATCCCACATATCCTTTGACATGCTCAAATCCCTTCGTAGGGTTTAAGTTTTTACTTTCCAAAACAACAAACCCTTAAACCCTAAAACCTAAAACCCTAAACCCTAAATCAAAACCCTAATTCCTGAAATCAAAATCACTGCGTATAGCCAATGTTTTCCTTCATCCTCTGGTGATAAGTATATCATATTGTTTGGATGTGTTGTTTGAGTGTGGGCGAACCCGGGGTTTGGAGGGAATAGGTTTAGCCACAAATGGTAAAAGTCTTGCAGAGTTTTTCTTGTGGTATGTCCCAAAACCTAGAGTTTATCAAAATTGACAGGAACATTATTGGTTCACTTTGTGGAGTTGGGCGTTGGGCCTCAAGGGTTTGTTCGCGTTGCTGTTCTTCCTGCAATGAAGTGAAACATGGACGAAAGGCCAAAAGATGTGAGGCAAAAATAAGTAAAGACTGGCCTGAAAGGCAGACTACCAAAGGGACTTCCGGAAATGGAATACCATCTCCACCTGGAGCAAGTTTGAGCTTCTATTAGGCGTCAACATCCAAAATTCTTAGTATTCACGTGGGGTCAGTTTGTTTGATTGCGATATGTACTGTAGCATGTTTGTGTCTTATGAATTCTTAAAAGGTTGAGGGGTGCTTTTCTTTTATACCACATGTGTACAAGGGAAAATGAATGTGATAGCACAAATCAAATGATTTCCCCTTTTGAAACTCCCCTGAAACCGTTCCTTGAAAACCACAGGAAGGGCTGCTGGTGAAGGAACTCATGGACAGCTATGGCACCTGGGCTGCATGGGCTGCTATTCCACCAGTGAAGCCAAAAGGGAACTTGGGGAAAAAACGACTTTTGCAACATACACCTGGATTTTACGATCAAAAATACGTACAATGATGTACAATGGGTATATTATGATGCTGGTTGGTGGTTTCAACTATTCTTCTTGCGAGAACTGGCATGATGATCCCAATTGACTTTCATGTTACGGGGTTCAAACCACGCACCAGAAAACCATTCAATAAATTGGTCGCTTGTTTGCTGGTCTCAACTAGTCTCTCGTGTCGTGTGAGAAGACATGGAATGGTGATATAGGATGATTCGCAAACGACTATATTTACATATGTATTATGTTTTCCGTCATATTATATTATTTGACCTTGTGTGTTGTATGTATGATGTGGAGGTATGTAACAAATTACTTTACTTCGTGTGATCCCCACCATGACATTTATACATTTTCTTACTGGCAAATCTTCTGGCATTCTATCTGACATATCTTCTGACATTCTATTTGGCATTCTATCTGGCATATCTTCTGGCATATGATCTGGCATATCTTCTGGCATATCTTCTGGCATTCTATCTGGCAATTCTTCTGGCATTCTATCTGGCATATCTTCTGGCACTCTATCTGACATATCTTCTGGCATTCTATCTGGCATATCTTCTGGCATATATTCTGACATATCTTCTGGCATTCTATCTTACATATCTTCTGGCATATATTCTGACATATCTTCTGGCATATCTTCTGGCATATCTTCTGGCATATCTTCTGACATATCTATCTGGCATATCTTCTGGCATAATTTTCTGGCATTCTATCCGGCAAATCTTCTGGCATTCTATCTGGCATTCTATCTGGCATATCTTCTGGCATATTATCTGGCATTCTATCTGGCATATCTTCTGGCATATCTTCTGGCATATCTTCTGACATTCTTTCTGACATTCTTTCTAACTTTCTTCTGCACATTTTTTGTCCCATATCTTCCTACATGAGGTCCGGCAGGGAACACTTGGCGTGGATACTCGCGGTTGAGGTCCGGCAGGGAACACTGGGCGTGGATGGTCGTGGTTGAGGTCCGGCAGGGAACACTTGGCGTGGATGGCCGTGGTTGAGGTCCGGCAGGGAACACTGGGCGTGGATGGCCGTGGTTGAGGTCCGGCAGGGAACACTGGGCGTGGATGGTCGTGGTTGAGGTCCGGCAGCGAACACTGTGGATCGCGAGTCGCAGTTGAGCAGGAGGACGAGGAGGACAACGAGACGAGGAGGACAACGAGAGGAGGAGGACAACGAGAGGAGTAGGACGACGAGAGGAGGAGGAGAGGAGGAGGAGGAGGAGAAGGCAACTTAGATAAAATCTAACAACCCTCACCTGGCAGGTGGGGAACAAAAATACCTACACATACTGTATATCATTGTATACAGTATTTATATATATATATGTATTTATATATATATATATTTATATTTATATTTATATATATATTTATATATATTTATATTTATATACATATGCATCAACACCAATACTTTTCATGGTGCTCTTCCACTAGTAAATATTTGTTGTCACGCTTGCTTCGAGATGGACCCTCTGTTGATTCAACACCTTCCCAGACACATGGACAAATTTGGGGGAAGGTGGGTTCCATGGATACCGCCAAGAGGAACCATGTTGATTGCCAACCCCACCTCCACTGGCTCATCAAATTCCTCGTGCAATGGCCATCAACTTTTTTTCAATGGGGGAATGTGGCTGGGGGCTAGTTGAGGTCGCTTCAGATCAAAAATCCATCCCGGTACGAAATCGGTGATCACAAAACCATCAAAACCAATATTGTACCTGGGGTTCCCTGGGTGCCACACCAAACTAGTTTGTGTTTGCTACAGTAATGTTTGTTCTGCAGATGGTCCTAATAGGTGGCATGACCCACGCCCAGCATGTGTAGGTCAGGGACCGTGCTAGGCTGACTGACCAAGGTAAGGACTATGCTATCAAGGCAATTTCCGCATATAGCTCCCTGGCATGACATTTTTGGAGGGGTCGATTTTTTGAGGATTGAAGATCCCAGCTGAAAGTAACTTGGTAAGTGGATTATTGCAGTTGATGTTGATGTAATTTGATCGCGATTTTGGAACCCTCAATCTCAGGTGACATTGACAATGTTTTGCTTGTGACTCAAGGTTCTGAGAATTGGCTCAAGGGAAATCTTACAGGAGACCCAACTTAACAGATATTAAGGGATGGTCGACACCATGCTTTCCTGCGTATCTTCCCTTCCTTTCATCACTTCAGCAACTGTCCATGCTTCTGAAACTACCATTCAGCAACTATAAATTTTCTGGATGATGGGGAATCTGATGATAAACCATGATAAAACACGGGATTTGGAGTAGCCTCGTTTCAGACAAACCCCTTTGCCCATGGTATTTTTTACATGTTATTTATCTAGCATTATCTACCCATTTCTGGTAAGCCAGTGCGGCTGTTTGGTTTTAGATGAAATCCACAGCATCGATCAAAATCATATACAGTATATACATCAATATCTTCAGATGTGAAATCAAACCACACACGATTTCAAACCACAGCAGGTATTGATTGTGAGGATCGTATGTCAGCTTTGATCTCAGGAGCTTCTTTCGTTTCAGAGAAGGCCAGCCGCTTCGTGGATGCTCCAGCTGCTACAGTATGGAGTTTCAGGGGACCAACGATGGTAACGTATAGAGACCTGTGGTTGCTTCCCATCGTCCAAAAACAACTGGTTGGTGCTTTTAGATATGTTTTTTTTCATCTTACTTGGGACCCCATTGAAGAGCATTTTTTTCAGGGGATTGAAACAATCCAGCGGATAACTTGCAGTAGATCAGCTTCACCTACGCTCCACTTCGAAAGGACCTTGATGAAATCGCCGCCAATGGTTTGAAATGGGCCACTTGGACGCCGCATCCCTCGTTGGCAGGGTCAACTGAGTGTTCGAGGTACCTAGAGACGAAAATGGAAGCCTTGATATATAGTTATACTATATCTATGTACCGAGTCTGTACATGTGTGTACTGTATTATATATTTATGTATGTGTATATAATATGTCTCTGTATATATATATATATATACATACGTCTATGTAACATTAGACACACAATACCACAACAATATTTAGATATACGCATGATACATTATGTGGATCAAGCTGCCAACGTCCTGCCCGTGCCACCGTGACTCAGGTGAGATTGCCATTGTCCTGGGTGACATTTGCAGATGCCTTGGCCAAGATCTACCCAGACGCTCGGTGGCTTTCATGTGATGTCCCTGGGATGATCCAAATGGGTTTTCTATGGCCATTTGATAGATCCATAGTCGTTGTTTGATCCATCATATATAGAATGTGATAACCTTATTAAACAACCTTATCAGACATTCAAGCGTTGTTGATGACATTGTGTTGAAAGCCCGGGGAGGATTAACACATTTAAAAAAATACACCCATTTGGAAATGATTTATTTTGACCGTGGAAAGGTAATATATAGCCTAAACAGCTTTCCAGTTGGGGCACAATTAAATTGTGTGTCCAGGTTCAGGTTTCTGCGGACCTCGACCGTTAAACAGTTACACAGTTTTTCAAGATAGCGCCTGGGGTTGACTAGGAGATAAAATGGTGCTGCTACTGTGGGTGGACAACATTGGGACCAAGATCCATGTGTATTGTGTCGACTTAGACGCTTTCTCTCTGGCAAGATCTGCAGTGTTCAGTTGTCAAGAGTTGCTTTCTGGGTTGCTGTGGTTTCAACTGTTTATATGAGTTTAACTATATTTTTTCTGCAATCTAATGTTCCACTCCACTCATTTTTCAGAAGTTTTCCTTGAAGATAGATTTGACTGCATAATATCACGTGGGGGGTCGCGCGCCAGGCGACCTACGGCCAGCACGACCCAATGAATGACATGGTCATAGTGCCGGGGACCCATGGATTGATATGGATTGGATGTGACCAATGGATTGGTTTAAGGGAAAATCGTAACCAGAAACCATGGATTTTCCCATGAAATATGGGGGGGGTCTTGTTAGAATATGTTAGAATGATCCTTAAACCAATCCATTGATATTCAGATCCATTATGATCCATCATTAGAAATAGCCAGTGGAGTAAAATATGATAAAGAAAAACTAACAGGTGGGTTGGAAAGCACCAAAATAATACCAACCGCCATCAGTCAGATGTCCTACTGATTGACTTTTGAGGCCGGATCCTTTCTGGAAGGCCGGGAAGGGGAAGATAGGCAAAGGGGGGTGTTTTGAGGCCATGATGGACCATCCCAACATAACTCTGGTATAGTCACGGTTGTACTTGGGGATGCATCCATTATGGTTAGGAAGTGGTTTATCACCCAGAGGATATCAGAGGTGTTTCTTAAGCCATGGGGGGATCCAAAATCAAAACAATGCTTCTGGGATCCCCTCATGGCTTAAGAATGTCCCAAATGAGGATCTCAAGACATGTGGGTTTGCTTCGGCAAACCATGGGATGATGGAATGGGATTCCGACTGTTGAGACTTATACATAGGCCTCATATTGGAACATATTTGAAGAATCATTTTCCGTATCAAAAATGGTATAAACTGACATATAAAATGGTCATGATGAGTCATGAGTCCATGGCGCCTGCACGGCGCACAGGAGCATGCCTTCTTCGTCACGGTGCCTCGGAAGATTTTGCTGGACTTCATCCACAAGGCGCAGCGGCGCAGCGTAGAGGCTGTGATGAACCAGTGCTGGGAGGATCATCCCACGAATCGTATAGAACCAGTTTAAAATGTACGAAAAAGCTATGTTAACCTCCAAAGAGGCGCAGAAAAGTTTTAAAAAAAAACATCCAATCCTCAAATTTCGTGGTATGGGACTTCTCTATTTTTGTTGACGTTTGCCATAAGTGGGATAGAAACCCAGGTGTATTATGGATTTATGGGATAAGTCATGATAAGCCCAATTCCTTGAGAAGTTGAAGCTGGATGATCCTCGTACAGCCATAGCTTCTCTGATAGGAAATGACCATTGAGCCAGCCAACGAAACGGGGCTCTTGCAGATTATTTTTCAATTAAGCAATGGAGGGTCTCCATTGGGTTCCATTGCCATGTTTGAATACCATGGCAAACCATTGATAGCCATAATCCCTCCATGTTTTCTATAAATTGAGGGATATGAAATATACCCCGCTGTTTTCTTGCGCTTTTTTCAGGGTGACCATCATGTGGGACCATAAAGAACATCACGAGGAACATGTAAAACTGGCTCTCTCCTCCCCAGGCTCAAAAGAGAGGTTTGAAGGTTCTCTTGGCTGCTGGGACCGATCAACTGGGAGTCCAACCTTTTTTTGGGACATCCTACAATCATACCAAAATTGCCTAAATGGGGAAAATGATGATCAATCATGGATGGTGTGGCCTGTTTTCTGACAAAACCATATATCAAGATCGAAGATATATCAAGATGTATTGTTGATGAGACAAGGTTTGAGAACGGACAAGGCATCTCGTCACTTTATCATCTTTGAGACTGCAACCGGACCAAGACATGTCACCTGCCAGACATGCAGCAAGAAATTGCACGATCATCTCCCTCTCCCAAGGAATCCCAAGGATAATTTTTCCAGGCTGGGTATGGTTGAGGAATGACCAGTTCATTCCTGTTGGTTGATGGTGAAAATGGCGCCCACGTACTAATTTGATTGGTTCAATGGTGATGGTGATTATAAACCTATCCAGCACGGAACCTCTATGAATTAGCAACGGTGATGGGTACATTGTGGGTACAATGTCACATGTTGGGCCATCATCTCGGTACGACCACATCAAGCAACCCCACGAATTCAATGATCCCATGTTTTTTTTCCCCAGTGACCCCAGTGCAACCCAGTAGGGAAAAAAACGTTTCAATACCATGAAATTAGAAAAACGATTCAATACCATGAAATTGCTCCATTAATATCCATGAATAGTCATCAATAATCATCAACAACCCAATAAATAGGTTATATGGTTATATAAATGAACCCCATTCAATATGTTCCCATAATTGAGGATCAAGATGTTCCCATCCGTTGTCCCAGTCAAAAACGGTCCCACGGACCAAGCACGACGTCACGTCGCCGGGCTTCCCTCAGGACATCCACAACTCTCCAGGTGGATCCCAACGGGGAACCTACAACGGAATTTGGCCTCTGGAGCCCATGTTTTGGAAGGCCGAACCACTGGCTTTGAACCACTAAAATGTGAAGAAAAGATGAAGATAGATGAAGTAAAATCATAAAGAATCCAACAGAATCTATAGACATAGAATCCAACTAACTTGAGAGGTATCTAAGGTATCTACTATTAAACTTAGCTACTCATGGTTAATCTATGTTAATCTATCAGTTTGAAATGGGGGGGTATAGGTTAGGTAAACCTTAGAGGGGGCGTTTGATATTTGCCCAGCTACAGATCGATCGATGATCGATGCTGATCGGATGTCTAGGATTGGCCATGTTTATAGAGCTGGAGCTGTCCAGATGGCCCGAAGCCCAAAGATCTTTTAAATTCAACCAATCATAAGCTCCTAATGATCTCATGATTCAAGAGAAAATCCATGTGGTAGAAAATATGGCATACCTGGTTTCTTGCTGGGTTTAGCACATGAAATGATGGCGAGATCAGAGATATATGATATATGGCCATCTGGGGAGGAACTTGGTGATGAGCTATGGAAAGTCCACAAGTCTTGCTGACCCACTATCCAGTGTGGTGAATTGGAGAACATGTTCCAGAAAACCAGACCCAAGCCGTGTAATTCACCGGTTCAGTGGCATCAACTTGTGTGTGTGTGTGTTCTTCTGAAAGTGAGTCTATGTGTATATATATACATCATTAATGTATATGTGTGTAATATTGTGTAATGGGATGGGTCAATAGCCATGCTATTCTATGATTTTATTTGAATTTGGCGGATGAACATCCATACACGAGCTATTTCGTTTTGAAAGCGACGTGGGATGCCCCAAAATTTATGGCCATGGTTCCATGGTTCGGGAAATCATGTTCTAACCCACTGGATTTTGAGAGTTTAAATTTTCAGGCACCCCCAAGCATGTTTCTGAAAAATCGATGCACATTCCAAAAAAACATTGGAAGATGATCATCTGCACCGCACAGGCGAAGACGAACTTAAGCCCAAGGGTGCCATTGACCAAGCTTGGCCTCTTGATTGCCGAAGAATCTTGGTGACGTTGGTTGGATCTGGTTGATGTTGGGATCCCAATTGACTCGTATTGTGCGTTGAAACCACCAGAAGTCGGAAAGGCTGACTGCTAGATGATCATGGTGTGGGCCTTTTGCTTCTTTTCATAGTGCGACTTGCCAGTGTCAGAAGGAAATTGAAACATGCAGAAAACATTGGCTAACTAGGACACTCTGCGGTAATCACTGGAAGCGAAGTTGATGATTGCCAGACTCCCAAATGTCATAGCTGACTCCAATTGTGATCTGGCTTTGAGTGATTCTTTGTAGACCAAGTAACTCACAGATTGGCTGGTCACTCTTGAAATGAAGCCATCTAGTGTCTTTTTCTGGCCGGAAAATTGCTCAAAATTCACAACCTGATAACCATCGAAACAATGAACCATATAAAACATGGCTCTGGGGAGAAACTGGAAGTGTAAGTCTGCACCAGCTTCAACTTCCTGGAATTTCCTAGATGTGTTTTGCCATGATGTGGATTTGTCCACATATTGGTACCCCCCAATTTCCAATGATGTATCAAGTTATCTTCCTCAAAAAGTAAATTTGGGCATATATATATATACATTATATATATAATAATATATATCCCTGGAATTTCGACCGAACCCATGTGTTCGTTTGATGTTCCGGCGCTTTGTTTCCATCGCAGATGACAATAACCCCATCTCGCAGAAAGAATTTTTTTTCAATGATAAGGCATGATAAGACAATCCTTGGGGTACTCCAGCAGTTGACCTGGATGGTTTAATACTAAAAAAATGACCACTCCATTGTGGTCCCTTCGGCCTGAAATTTAGGCCCCATATGGCTGAAACTTGGTACATCTTGGTACCAATGACCCGCAAGTGTTGGTCATCTTTACCATCAAGCCATTTTGTTTCATTGTTATTGTTATTGTTATTAAGACATCCATCCTCGGGACAATAAATTGAACCGTAGATATACCCATTTGATTGGGATATTGGGATGATAACCTATGGATACCCATGAGGAGATGATTCATTGGATCGAGGGCTTGGAGCCTGAGCTACGCAGCTCCTTGGCGCCCGAAAAAGGTATCTGAAGATGTTGGATTTACCAGATTTACCATGGGATTTACCATGGATTTTCACATCAATTTATGACTTTTCATGGGGGAACATGGTAAATCTTTATCCATCATTTACCATGGGATTTTCACATCAATGTCATTTTCATGGGGGAACATGAGGTTCTTAACCATGACATTTGGGTAAATGATGGCGATCCTGGCCTGGATCACCTGATATGATGGTTGCTCAGATTGATGGGAGCCAATGGGATGCTGAAACATGGCGTGCCTCAAAGCCTCCTAGGATGGATAATCGTTCAACTTTCTTGCTGGCCAGTATCTTTTATATCCCAGAAGTGGTTTCAAGGAACTGTTGCAAGTAATTATTTATCTGGCAAGTCCATTGCTTGTGTGCAGATTTTCCCTTAAACCAACTCAGTGAAACACAGGTTTGATGGTTGAACTTCCAGAAACTATACCAGCGAATTGACCAAATGGCTTTGATATTGGATACTGGCGCTACGTGTAGTGAGGATTTATTGCACCTGGTGGCTATCTAGCTGCATCCATATTCACCACCATCCCGGTTAACGGCATCATGAAAGCCTTTGAAGGTCGACAGCATAACATATTGGTGTATACATACAAAACATTGCAAAACTGGTGTGTATTGCATAGCAAAGTAATTGTTTGTTTGATACAAGTGTTACATGTCAATAGAATAAACATACAATCACAATTTATATACTGAAATTTCTATAAATTATAATGCACCATAAAAGCCTTGGCTGCATATCACCAGGACGGCCAACTGTGGAGGTGTCCTTGAATGTAAAGTTGACTTCAGGACCCCCCCACTATTGATCTCCATTCCAATCCTCAGGATGATTTGATATGTATCCAAAACTCACTGGTCTCTTGATGTTTTTTTCTCTGTCAAGCAATCCTTTGCTACACATCACGATGGTTCAAAATAGTTAATTAGACCAATACCCTATAAGAGACCAGATGTGTGGGCCCATTGGTTTCTCAATTTTGACCCATGTTCGCCATGTCCACAGAATGCTTCCGCCAGGCGCAATCATGGGAGTTTGCTTAATGAATGAGCCCGGCCATATGAATGCCCTTTCGAAGCTTTGTTCGCACTTTCCGACTGGGCTGGTGGACTGGGAGGGACATTCTTCATCGTCACTACAGTCAGTGCATCATGATGTCCTTGGTAGTGACACGGTGATGGTTTCAGCGAACCCCAGTCAGCATTTTTCAAATCATAGATATCCTTTTCCTAGTGGTTGGTTGATTGATGGAGGGGAGCCGCGTTGAACAACTAATCAGTAAATTATCATAATGTTACATATAAACGACAAATGGTATATCAGACTGGCCGCTCTTTAAAGCCAAAATGATCGACATTGAATCGACATTGCCAGCCACCACACCTGGGCCATTCGGGGGTGGACAAGCACCGAGGCACCCCTTCGCCGACGAGGGCCACATCCTTTCCTGGCTGGCCATCGCTGCCGACATCTATCGAAAGTCCACTTTGCCCAGGTCGCTGGGGCCCTTGGGAGGAAGGGCCCCGTGTGAGAAAACCCAGAAACCAACATGAAAAAAGCTGGAAAAAGATTAGTTAAACAGCCAGACGACTTTTCTAATACGAACATATTCACATATTTGATCCAATGGTTTTGTCCGCCTCTTGCTGAGGGTTCTGCAATGATTAGACGGTTAGACCCACGGTTAAGCAGGCAGAATATCAAGTTGTACATGAGCCTCATCCACACGGCCTTCAAGGTGAGATTTGCAGATCCCGGGCTGGATGTGAATGGAGGGGGCTGGAGATTTTATTGGTAACGCTATGCAGGAAATACTGGATATGTCCCATAAGATATCCAGAATCCATGGGATACCCCCATCTGGATATAGATGTTGTCATAGGACAAATGAGGTTTTAATCCTGGCTTCGGGGATGCTGTACCCAATTTGCAGAACCCAGATTGTACAAATCGAGTGGCGAATGAAAAGTGAAAGGTTGGGGCTACTTCATGCTTCTTCAGCCAGGTAGACCAATGATGCACACGTCAGATTTAATGTGATCGCAGCAGAATGGTTCCTGCCTTTGTATCGTGTTTTCCAGTTGAAGACAATGTATCCCAGGCCATCTGCCAATCTAACAGCAACGTATCCTCTGAGAGCAATGGAAGAAGCATCTGCAAAAATTCTGACATGAGTTGACGGGAATGTGGAATAACACTACATGGGTGTTTTCCCCTATGCTACCGGTCCAGGTCGCACAATATGAGTGTGTATATATTATACATATGAATATATACATAATGTTGGATGCTGATTAGTGTCGGCCCCCCCGCAAAACTATTCTGAGACTCTCTTTAAAGTTTTTTTTTAGGTACCAGGTACTCAATAAAATTGGATCAATTGATTTCAATTGATTTCAATTTACTTTCAATTGATTTCAATTTACTTTCAAATGATTTCAATTTACTTTCAATTGGTTTCAATTTACTTTCAATTGGTTTCAATTTACTTTCCATTGATTTCAGTTTACTTTCAATTGATTTCAATTGATTTTCAATTGATTTCATTTGATTTTTAATTGATTTCAATTTACTTTCAATTGATTTCAGTGATGTTCAATTGATTTCAACTTACTTTCAATTGATTTTCAATGGATTTCAATTTAGTTTGAATTTATGTTTAATTGATTTATCAGAAAAAAAAACATAGGAATCTCACAGAAATCCCATAGAAAGATCATAGATATATCATGGAAATAGCATAGGAACCACAAAGAAATCCCACAAGAATCCCATAGAATTCCCTCAGACATCCTATATATAGTAATCCCATAGGAATATCATAGAAACATCATGGAACTCCCATAGGAATCCCATAGGAATCCCAAAGAAATCCCATAGAAACATCATAGAAATACCATAGAAATCACATAGGAATCCAATGGAAATCCCATAAGAAGACCATAGAATTCTCATAGCATCCCTTCAGAAATCCCATAGTAATCTCATAGAAATATCATATAATATAGAAACATTAGAAATATCATAGGAATCCAATAGAAATATTATGGACATCCCAAAGAAAATCACATAGAAATATCATAGAAATACAACAGAAACCCCATAGGAATCCAAAGGAAATCCCATAGACATACTTTTGAAACCCCATAGGAATCCCACAGAACTACCATAGACACACCTTTAGAAACACCATAGAATATCATAGAAACACCATAGAAATTACATAGAATTTCCATAGAAACTTTATAGAAATCCGATAGAAACGCCATAGAAATCAAGGAGAGGATGCCAGGAGAATTGAACTAAGTAAGAGACAAATGCTATAGCAAAGGAAAGGAGAAAAGGATTTTGTAAAAATAATTCACTTCAAAAAAAAGCTGGACACAATAGAGGACCCCCACAACAAACATACTATTGAAGATCAAGGTTGCTCATGGGCTACCCCCTTGAAAAATTGTTTGAGTGCAGTTTTTTAATGGTGTTTTAATAAGACCTCCTATATTTTGGGAAATTAGGCATTTTGAGAAATCCAAAAGAATGGAAATAAGAAAGTAAGATAGAAAAACTAAAGGAAATGAAAAGGAAAGGAGACACGGATTTTGGAATTGTTCACTTCAAAAAAAGCTTGACACAATAGAGGACCCCCACAACAAACATACTATTGAAGATCAAGGTTGCTCATGGGCTACCCCCTTGAAAAATTGTTTGAGTGCAGTTTTTTAATGGTGTTTTAATAAGACCTCCTATATTTTGGGAAATTAGGCATTTTGAGAAATCCAAAAGAATGGAAATAAGAAAGTAAGATAGAAAAACTAAAGGAAATGAAAAGGAAAGGAGACACGGATTTTGGAATTGTTCACTTCAAAAAAAGCTTGACACAATAGAGGACCCCCACAACAAACATACTATTGAAGATCAGGGTTGCTCATGGACGACCCCCTTGAAAAATTGTTTGGGTGCAGTTTTTTTGGGGGGGGGTTAATAAGGCATCCTATAATTATTTTTTGTTGTATGTTCAAAAGTATGCTGCAGGTATTCATTAAATAGTTAATCAATTATTTTAAATAAAATGAAAATATCCAAAAGCGAAGAAAACACTATTAACAAAAAATGCTGAAAAAAATAAGCATCAGAAAAAAATACATAGTAGTGGACCACCCAACAATTCCACTGAGCCAGAATTATGTTGGGAAAAATTTGACACAATAGTGGATCCTCATACTAATCGGCGTACAACATTATATATATATGGTGATATGATATTACATTATATCATATATATACATATACATACATATATATATACATATATATATATATACATATATTATTATATTGATATGATATGACATTTTATCATATATATATACATATATTATTATATTGATATGATATGACATTTTATCATATATATATATATATACATGTGTATATATATATGTATATTATGTGAAAATGATATATAAAGATATCATGATGGAAACAGTTCCATCCCCCTGGGATGACCCTTAATTTGCCGCGGCAGAATGAAGCGCAGATGGCGATACCTTGGTACCATCGGACCTTTTCCCTGGAGGAACGCCTTTTCCGTGTGGTTTCTACGAGGGTGAGGCTGCGCTGAGTCTGTGAAGTAGCGTCCCAATATGTCCCAATATTGGTGGAATGGTGTTGTTATTTTTGGTATCATTATAATCTGGTTGGTGGTTTGGAACATTTTTTATTTTTCCATATATTGAGAAGAATAATCCCAACTGGTTAATATTTTTCAGAGGGATTGAAACCACCAACCAGTAATTGTTGTGTCTTATGTGTATAAAATAGCGTGATTCTTTTATTGTGATGTGTTATGTATGTGGTATGTATGCGTTGTGGATGTGTTATTTGTTCTGTATTGTAATTGTTCTAATTTTTAATTTATGACCAGTATTTTTATTGACAGAGTTCTGAGATCAATGATTATGATTTGTAGTTCTTCGGATCTCAGCCAATTCCCCTTCTCTGACATTTTGTATAGTTTTATAGAATTCTTGAAAAACATGGTGGTTTCAGATCGTTCCGATTTTCTATGTTTCCTGAGAACATGATCCCCCTTGACAGTCACTTTACTTATTGGGATGTGTGCCACAGTGCCAGGAGAGAAAAACTTGGCTGGTGGCCGAACTCCATTACTACCAGGACGCCTCAGATGGGAGTCAATCAAATATAGGGATTGAATTACCATCTGGTTATGACTAACATAGCCATGGAAAATGGCCCATCTATAGATGGTTTACCTATTATAAATGGTGATTTCCCATGGCTATGTTAATTAACCAGAGGGTAGATCAAGGCTTTGGTATCCCCCAAAATTCATATCCCAACACAGTGATAGATGAGTGGCACAACTCGCAAGCTAGTCTCTTGGGTAGTTTAGATCCTTCACAGATCCAAATAAACCCAACAATATCCAACAAAACATCTCCAATCTTACCAGCCACAGGTTTTATAAGGTATTTATAGACCATTCCCATTTAGAAGGTTTATACATGTTTATACCAGTGGGTGATACTTCAAGCCGGGTATTTCCCACACGTGAAAACGACGGGCCGATTTCCAGGCCTGGAACGGAGATTGCGATGGCAGCACCAAGTGGGGCGCCAGCTCGTACCAGTGTCACTTGGCGCTGAGTAGGAGCGACCTGGCAATGGAGAAGCTGTTCGGAGCCACAAATGGCGAAGATATGTATCATGATATTATGTATATATATATATGTTGGTTTAATGATTTTATAAGGAAATATGTCGATACAATATTGGATATTAAATACTCCAAGAGGCTTTGTATGACATGATTTTGCATGTAATTGTATGATTATACATATATATATAATTATCGTTAACATAATTAGTTTCTGCAACATCCATTTTTGGTGACCCATACCCGGTTGGTCAAAGACGATCAAGGTGGTGAAGCCCGCAGCAAAGGCTGCAGATGGTGGTGGAAACGGTCACCGTTGTCTTAAATGGGGCAGGCGCCAATTGTATATGGAAAATTATGATAAAAATATATAAAAGTTAGATTTTAGGCTGCCTTATTTTCAGACAAAACCATTTGGACCTGGTAAATCATGGGGAACTTCAGACTTCTGTTCTGACAGAGTTCTGAAGCCAAACCAAATGAATTGAAAGGCTGAGTTTGACCATGTCCCCACGGTCCGGAGGTCAATATTGTTGGTTGTACATATGTATATATATATATATATATGATTATATATGTATATATAATTTATATGTATATATATACATATATACATACATATACATTTGTATACATACATATACATTTGTATACACTTACATGCACATATATATAATACAATTACATAGATACATAGATACATAAGTGGATAGATACATAGATAGATAGATAGATTAAATTAGATTAAATTAGATTAAATTAGATTAAATTAGATTAAATTAGATTAAATTAGATTAAATTAGATTAAATTAGATCAAATTAGATCAAATTAGATCAAATTAGATTAGATTAGATCAAATTAGATTAAACTAGATTAAATTAGATTAAATTAAATTAAATTAGATTAAATTTGATTAACTTAGATTAAATTAGATTAGATAGATAGATAGATAGATAGACACTGGTAGATAAATACAGAGATACTGGTAGATTAGATAGGTAGATAGGTAGGTAGGTAGATAGGTAGATAGGTAGATAGATAGTTATCACCCTAAAATGGTTTGCTTCATTCCCAAGTCTTGTTACTTGTCCCAGGGCCATTTGGCGCCTTGCTGACATCAAGTTCTTTCCCAAACGGTCATGGGTAGGGACGCGGTTGCTTTCAAATCTTCACCGTTCATCCCCCGGCTTCACATGAGAAGACTTTGGAGCTTGTAATGAATTGGACAATGAGATACTTGGATACAAGCTGAGACACCGTGTAATTTCTCACAGTACCCTCATTCATGTACACTGTACACGATACCTTATGTGTCCTGACGTTCATGTTCGATCATATATGCATAGGGAATAGATACTTTTTCATACATATTCAAGCCTCATGCCTGTAGATATACGTACATATATATATATGTATATTCGATAGGTATCTGTTTTCATGGTTGAAACCCATCCACCCCTAATTGACATCTTCGTATCTTCGCTCGACACCCTTGGATCTTCATCGCAGGCATTGCAGCAGGTTGTGCGTATGGAGCTGCCACTTGGATGGACGGGGACCGTCGATGAAGGGCAGCCATTGCGCCGGTGGTCTGGGGTTGATATACCAAGATGGGTTGCCCAAGAACGGTGGAATTAGCTCCATGGCAAAGTCGACACCGAAAATCAAGTTTTTAAGTTTTCCGGGGCAGGCAAACCCGCATATTTACATATATATATATATATCCATCTGAAGGGGACGGTGATACCCCTGATGTTCATAGGGTTTTCATATGTTTAAATACCTGGTAAAAGCCATCCGTAGCCTTTCCTCATGATCCTTGGATGCCCACCCGCAGGTTTCAGGCGTTCTACCATGGAACCTGTGGGGTTGGGATCAAAACTGCGTTTGGAGCGCTTGATTTTGACATAGGGCCAGACCCATATCGGCTAGACAAATGGGTGGGTCTGTGGGACGGTCTAACCTGGATAAAGCAGGATCCCAACTTTCTTTTTTTCATAAATGGGATAGTCATCCGATTTTTGTTTTCAGAAGAAGAGTCCCACTCTTCTTGCCATCCCGTCTTAGAGGTGTTCACCTCATGACTCCATGACTGAATATAGTCAGGCCATGTTTGCGATTAGTCCAACCAACTTCAACCAGCCATCCAGCACTCCCGGAAGATACCCATGTTTCATCAGAATGAGTTTGGCTGGCCACTCTGAACTGTTTGACCCATGGTAGCCATTGATTCTGATGTTTAATCCTGCGTTTTGCCGTTTTCTTCGCCAGCCTGCCAGCACAGATATGTTGGTTGACTCAGTAGAACACATTGACATGAATCTTGAATTTAGTGATGATATGAGGTAAATTTAGGGCAATGTCTGGCACAGGCAATCTTGACGTATGCGACTGGGCAAGTTATATATTTTGGTATGTGCATACATGCATTATATTACATATATACCATGTTATATATGCTTTAACGTATTTGTTTATCTATTCATGTATTTATACATTCATATATGCATATATACGTATATACACATATATATATATACATATATATATATACAAATATTATTATATACATATATATACACATATTATTATATACATATATATATATATATACAAATATTATTATATACATATATATACACATATTATTATATACATATATATATATACAAATATTATTATATACATATATATATACACATATTATTATATACATATATATATATACATAATTATACATATATATACATACATACATACATACATACATACATATATACATACATATACATATATATATATATATACATACATATACATATATATATATACATAAATATATACATATATACATATATACACATATATACACATATATACGCATATATATATATACATATATATATTTATATACATACATGTATACATATATATATATATACATATTTACACATATTTACATATATATATACACATATATACATATATACATATATACATATATACATATATACATATATACATACATATATATATACATATTTACACATAATATATATATACATATATGTATATATATATATACATATATGTATATATATATACATATTTACACATAATATATATACATATATGTATATATATATAGATAGATATGATTGATATATGCGTATACACTTGCAATATTAATGTGTGATGCATGTTTGACACAAATGAGTCAGGACATGTGCGTATTCGATAAGGCATGACTGTTGATATGAAGTTTTGGATGACAAACAGTTTGTCGTGTACATCAAGACAGGGTAGAGTAAACATAGATGTGGAAAATCAACTATTGGTAGACTATTTCCCTTGAGAAACCATGGGTTTTCATGAGTTTTCTACATTTTTTGGTATGTTTACCCTAGGCCCCTAAACCCTAGGGCCCCTAGGGTACCCAAACACGACCCGAGGCATCAAGTTTCCGGCAGCAGTGGGGACCAGAGACACAGATCGCCGTGAACGAGTTTTCTTTGGCCACCTTTTCGGAGATCGACTTTGCCTGCAAGGACTTGAGATTTTTTGTTGCGAAATTGGCAAAATTTGCAAAAAATCGCCGAATAGAACATGTTTCAAAACGTGTTCTAAACGAACCATTGGTGACAATATCAGGCTATATTACTCCACTTGATGGCCACTTGTAAGGGAATGTAAGTGCAAACAACATCAAACCAACTTTTATGCAATTTTATCAGCAGTCGACTCAACATGTCTATTCTTCTCGGATATGTATCCCAGTCCGTCAGGAATCATCCATTTTGACTAAGGGATTATCAATGATTATCCCATGTATAGCTAGGCCGTACCATAGTTTTTCACACCAAGCGACTGCAACGTGCAGCCCGACTGCAACCATCGGAGTGGTCACACGCCAGGATCGTGAATTTCTTGTTTACCTGCTCAGCGTGCAGCTAGCAACTTGGCCAATGGGATGGATGTCGTTCATTGTTTTGGTGGGGAGGTTCTCGGAGGTTGACCATGAAACTGAATTGGCAACAAAAAACAAAAAGGGATTGTTGATATTCATGGGATTTGCTCTGGTAGGCTGAAAAAAAAAAGACAGGGACCCCTGTTTTGATGAAAATGATGAGCAGGCCAACAGGTTCTCAAGAACAAGACCGGAGCCCTTGTGTTCATGTGCCCGCCACCCAAGTCATATCGTGGACATGTCATATAAGGGTATGGCGCAAAAAGACCGGGGGGAACCACAAATTTAAGTCTATTTATAGTATCAACATGTATTACAGGAAACGTTTTTTTGGAAGCGCTTATTGGGGTACCCAATTTTGACCTATAGCCATATATTGTAGTATAGACATACGATGATTTCCTCCCGGGGTGTCAGAAGGGATAATTGGTGCATCAGCAGCAGCTGCTCAGCCAAGGGAGCATTTCAGAAAGAGGGTTTCCAGACGTAATTTTGGACTTGGAAAACGTCCTTGGCCTATGACTTTGAGTATCCCAGCAGCGATGAGAAGATTTGTTTGGGAAAACCTTGGTGAAGGATAGGTGATTTTTTTTTAAGTATGGATGGCGGTACATACGGCCTAGCCATTTGTTTGGCAGCGTATTTCAGATTAGCTGTGCTTCTCCATCGATGGAGCGGTGAAGTCAAATCATTCATCCAGTGCTGAACCCATCTGAACCCTACAATCGCATCTGTCAAGGGAGGAACTGATTCAGTTCAGCAGAGTATAACAGAGTTGGTGCTTTCAAGCAGACTTGGGCAGGGATCATTTTTTTTCGATCTGCAAAGGCCATGGTTTTGGTGGTTTTTAGTATCAGACCATCCAAAACTACTGCACGGTCTAAGTTGACACTGGAAAATCCATCATCTCCGCGGTTGTCAGGCCTGGATGGAGCTTGAAATGGCTGTTGGGTTTAGAAGAGACTCGGAGCAGACAGCGGTTTCAGGAGAATATGGCACCTCCATACTATGTGCAATGAGACTAAGGTATAAGATGGACCATATAAAATCATATAAATACTTTACTTATCTTTACCATTTTTTACCTGATAGAGGTTGTTTCAGACATGATTTCGAGAAAAAAACAACATATTGGCAAATGGTGTGACTAGTTGGTGCAATCTTCGCGTTGGTGCACCACCGAATGTATGCATTGGACCAACCTTTGGAATAGCCATTGCATTGATACCAATTTGCTGCAAAATGGCCTCACCCAAGTCCCTCTGCAAGATGTTCTATAGTTATACAGTGTTATACAGTTACCCGGAAGAAGATAGAAAAGTGATTGACCATCATTTAGTAGGATTATAATAGGATCATACTGTTCCAATCTTTTTATGGTTTGCTGTACGTATATATATATATGTATTTAACTAAGGGATCCCAGCCACCAAGGTTAAAGATTCGAAGATGTGGTGCGGTTCCACGGTAACAACGTAGAGTCGGCAATGGCCACAGCGACATTCGGAAAGCCATCAGCTGAGTTCCCATTTGTGGGTCACGCTAATCTGGTAAGTAGATGTAACTAGTGGATGTATCTATATTCCCAAAATTGTACTATATTTGGCTATATTTGGATCTCTTGCAGGATTTCATAATCGTTGAGCAACATGTTTTCTGATTGGGTGTAGATACTCTTCACTTACACGTTTCCGCAGGGCGCACGCAGATCAAAAATATGCGGGATATGTTTTTGGTTTTTAAGATGACATGTTCACTGTACGTATGAAACGCAGTTTCAATATGAATCATGAGGCAAAAAACTGTGATGATGTGTTTTGCATTGGGAATTTGGGGACGATCTTCTTTTGGCATTTTTACAAGGAGGGTGAAAGCACCAACCTCACCACACAGGGTTCCGTAGTCTTGCAAACATGAACAGCTCTGCAATCAAAATTACCCTGTGGCAATTTACTTGGCTGGCAATAGACGAAACATTATTCCATTGCGCACTGGTTGCCAGAGCATCCCTCCTAACAACTCCTATGGCCCTGGTTGATCCGCTTTCTCATGAACCGTTCACCATGATGTTTGAAGAATTGAAACCTCGCGTTGGTTTTGTTGTCAATCGAAAACAGGGACCAGATGAAACATGTTGAAACATGTTGAAAGCCTGTACCGGAAATGTCCGGTGGCTGTCCGGTGGCTGATGGAGCCAAGTTGCTTAGTGATGATAAAGTGCAGCGGGCACTTTCAAAGTGAGGTTAGGAAATCTTCCAGGTCCGCCAGCTTTGGAGTTGTTCAACACTTTGGAGCAAAGCTATTTGGGTATGGATCAATACCTATTAATACCATTTTTAGGGGAATGAACATCCATTTACCAGCTATTTTGATGTTCACCAGGGGTACAAGGTTTTGACACACTGCCATTTAGCTAATTCCCAACCAAACGACCATTTTGAGAGATTCGATTCTATTGGTTCATGTTCTTTTTGGCATGAAGGCACGATGGTAGAAAAGGATGTTGGGACATGACAGGATGGGGATGGGTCACATTTATTGACCCGCAATCATGGATGCCTTGTAGTGCCTTAATACTGCTGTAAAAAATGTGGATCCGTTGGTTCTCCATCTTTGACTCACATCCGCATGTCGATTCCATGTTGACACTTTCCGATGGACCACATTCCGCGCACCTGGTACATCTCATATTCTGCAGATCCGCTAAGGCTTAGAATTGAAACTCCAGTTTGATGGTGATCCTGGAAGACATCGTAGTTTTTTTTCTTTAATTGTGGGTTATTGCGGATAAGTCGGATAAGTTCTATTCGAGTCTTTCTTGCAGTCTCTTGCTTCGCAACGAGACTGCGAGTGATTTTCAACTCATCCGCTGCATCTCCGCTGCTAAGCTGCAGGAGATGTTTGTCAGCACAGCAGGGACTCCAGCTGTGCTGTTGACCAAGAGTGGGGACTTGCAAGTGAAACACATGTTTTTTCCTAACACACCTGTGCTTTTTTTACATGTAAAGTTGATATGTTTTGAAAAACAAAATCTTGTTACTGACATCTACTATGCACTACCTTTAGCCTTGCTGATGAAAAAAAATGATTGGGGCCGGTCACTGATGAACCATCGCTCATGGAATTTAACAGGTTCACACCATATTCACTATTGACTTACAGTAGAATGCCTGGGGACATTGAAGTTGAGTGTGAGCTTAAGGTATCTAAGACTCGCGGCGCTGCATGAAATTTGCTTGTCGATTTGACCACATGCCTTCAACAAGCATTATATATATAATTATATATAGATTTCATGAGATTTGCCTTGATTAGCCTATGTTTTTAATGGTGAGTTCCCATGTCATCGATGAAGAGGTTGCAGTGCATAACCCCCTGATGAATCCAGTGAATCAGGGGTACATCCCCATTGGATATCTGAACGGAACAACAGAACAGCGAGACTAGCAGGAGCTAAAAAAGAGCCTGTAGTGGTGCCATGTTCGACTCTACAGGTACTTCAAGAAATCTTCAAGAGATGTTTGCAAGAAAACTACATAAATCCATTGAGCTCATCGAAGCGACGTAAACGTCGCAGCACCAGTACATTTGGTCCATCGCCAAAGTCCCTTCTCATCGACGAAATATGGTATACCCGTATACATGTGCAGAACCTCTTAGAGGAACCGATGCACTGTAGAACGGCTGGCGACCTGGCGCAGCAATCAAGCACAATTCAACAAGAGAAATGGTGTTGGTCTGAAAAATGGTTGTAAATGTCCCTTCAAAGTTGCATTCTTGAAAAACAATGATGCACCAATGGATTTGGGGGTATGCTATTTTTAGACAGACCCAAATGCTGTTTATTTTGAAGATGAAGTTTAGCCTCAACATTCCTATCATTCCTGTTGGTTCGGCCATCTTGTTTGGTCTCATGATAGCATGCGATAGCTTGGGACGATCTGTCCCGAAATGATGGGTTCTTGTGAAATAGGACCATCGGTCTTGAAATTTCCAGCTGGCTAGATTTCATTGCCTGGCGCTTGTTTCGGTGGTGAAAAGATTAAGAATCCAAGAAAGGCAGCCTCATAGTCAAATATAGCCATCAAGCGTCATCATTATTGTGTACCAAGTGCTCAGAACCCATTCAATACCTGCAATCGTCATCAGGCAAACGGAGCTGTCAGACGTTTGGTATGCAGTTGAGATGAACCAAATTCAATCACACTGAGTCAAAGGTATCCAGAGGCCATGTCTTGTTGCAGTGCGCAACGTGAAGTGAACCGGCCGTTCGGAATGTTGGAATATGTCGGCATGTTTGGTTTGGCCAGGCTTGAACTAAGGAGTTCAAGGACCTGAAAGGATCTTTCAGCCAAACCGTAGAAGAAAAGTGCTGCTTCCTCTGAGTTTGGCAATGTTTTGTCCCTGACAAGACTCCATGATCTCCATATATCTCCATGGTTTTGACACGTGATGACACGTGCTGAACTTCGAGGCAGCAACTCTTTGTGGTCTGGTGACTCCAGTGACCCTGGTGGACACGCCCCAAAAAAGATGCGGAGCTGCTGTTGAAACTGGCTTTGGAAAGGAACATCAGGCACCCCCAAATTGATCAAATTGACTGCTTAATCGTCATGTTCCTACTATATATTTGGATCATTTTGGATCTATTTGGGGGGTAGGTCTACCCATTTTCAGACACATCTGGGTCTTTTTCGGGGACCATCCCCCTGGGACAAGTGAGTGATGACAAAAAGGGCGATGGATTTGGTACCTGAAAATGTGGTTAAAAGCCTGAAATTTATTTGAAACCCTACCACTGGGTGTGGACACGAGCTTAGGTATCACTCTTTGGATGCTCAATCCCGACTTATGTTTTAATTTTGTCAGTATTATATTATATATTTATACAGACGTTCGATATGGTTCTACGTGCAGCTCATCGGCTTTCAACATGTTCAGAGGAGTTCTCAGACTGACCTCTGCAAAATTTGGGAACGGGTCCAAAGCCACTATCAGATCCCAACCAGCGACGGTTTTGTGTTCGGATTTGAGGATGTTCTTCCTCAGAGTTGCGGGGATGGTAGATGGGTTATGGCAGTGCAAAGAAACGGCTGACTGGAAGATGATTTACCTATAAAGACAGGCGTGTCTTTAGTTTCTCTCATTCCCAGCTGGTATCTATTGCTCAGAGTGGCGGAGACTGTAGCTCTGTGATAACGTCAACAGAAACCGACTCTGCATAACTCTGCCTATGGCCTAGGGTTTATATCCACGAGCACCCCATGTGTTGGAGATTTCGGGGCCGTTAGATGGCACTGACCGGAGTACAATCCGCAAAGCTTCTTGTGCTCAGAGCAGAATCAACATGCAGAAGGGTTGCCACAAACGACCGCTTGTAGTCCTTCAGCAATATTGCAGATCATGGCCCCCCATTGCAGACCAAATCAACCTCAAGAATTGAGATGTTCAAAGGTGAATTGGGATGGTTATGGACCATTTAAACGTTTCCAATCCTCAGTCGGATTGCCAGACCCTGCGACTGTTTTGGCTATTGGGATTCAAGGGTTCAAGTCACTTTTGGAGGGACTGTGTGCACAAGATTTCAATTTGCGTGCCCCAAACAAAGTTGCTGCTTACCCTGGCCCCCAATTTTCGTTCCAGTCTTTGGTGGCCCTGAATTATTTGCCCCATCTTCAGTGGTTACATACCTATCATACGTCTTCAAGCCATCTACCAAGTATTCGAAGCTATATATAAAATTATATAAACAGATGGTACAGTCATTATACCATGGCAAAACCATCTCATACCCCATCCGACCCCTATCCCATTGTTGGGGCCTGAGAGACCCCACTTGTAGCGGCAAACGGCCTTGGTTTGATTCTCCGCAGCATGGCACCCAACCGTGACAACCGTCGCCGTGACCGCAGCAGAAGCGACCGAAGAAACCGCAACGGTGCCTCTGGCATCTTGACGGAATTTGGCGTGTTTTTGCGTTGGTCTGCAAATGGAATACTGTACCCACTAAATAACATAATGTTTCATATTAATTTGAATGGTAAGTTTAGGACAACGTCATTCGGAGGCGGTTATCAGTTTTACCAAATTATGGGTCTTATGACCTAGTTTGATAAGGTAGTTGGTATGGCCAAACGTTTATTGGAGTCCAGTCTCCGCTCAGGAAAAACGCAACAAGATGATCGCGCGAAGCAGAGGTCTGCCATGTCCTTTTCAAAGTCCTGCATTTACCTTGCAGCAATCTAATCTGACAAGGGAAAATCACGGAAAATCACAATGTTCAATATTGTTAATAGGTAGATGACAAACAAATGGGTTTTCTTTTACACGGTTTGCTCGCTGGAGGGTAAACAAATCAGGGCTTCATTAAAGATTGTGAAACTATGTGAAACTTATACCATTTACTGACCATTTACCTTGCTAATCTCCAAGAAAAAGTTTGAGCTCATCAGCAGAGTTGTTTAAGTTATCCGTGATGATCATGAAGGTGAGATTTGACATAACTCCGATGTCAACTTTGATGCTTTTTGCTTATAACATGATCATCCTGAATCATCCTGTGCCAGGTGTAGTAGCAGCAGCAGCCCTGCCAAGGCGGCGACGGGAAAATCCATCGTGGCCATGGGCCCCATTACTGCGATATACTGGGGATTGCTTGGGGATATGATCCATGGCCGCCACGATTTCTGGAGAAAGTCCTTGGAAAATTCGGAGCTTCAAAGGAAACATCTTGGGAGGCTTGTTATGGCCAGGTTGCGGAATCATGCAACCTACCAAGTGAACCATGAGTAGAGCAATGACTGTTGGGTTTGGAAGATGAATTTTCATTTGTTTGATTGTACTGGAGATGAGTTTAGCATAGTTTATCCGTCAGGAAGTGGAAGCAAACATCAATGAAACAATGATAAACCATGTGTGTTTACTATATTTATATATACATGGTACTGTATAAGTGGCCTGCACTTCCAACTAGAAATTGTCGCTTTCTACTTGGGATGATGGACTTTCTTGACTTCAAAAGGAGATCTTCCCAGGTTACCGTAGCCGCCGTAGCCGCAGGCCGTCCCAGCTCCGGCTGAAACGAAGCCGGCGAAGAAGACCATCGTGGAAACGGCCACGGTGCGCTTTGAGAAGCGGCCCTTTGGCATGGCTCCAGCGAAGGAGGACGGCTGCATGCTGCCGTTGAAGCAATGGGGTGTCGAAAGTGTGGGGAGTTTTTAAGCAATTAGATTGGGGAGAGAATGATATTGAATGTATGCAAATAAATTGCAAAATGACATGGCCAAGAATATGACATAGGTTTGTTTACAAATGAGGTGTAGCTCCAAAAAGCCAGTTGTTTCAACAGAAAGTACCATGTTTGTTCAAAGAAAGTACCATGGTGTTTCAAAAAAGTACAGTAATTCAAAGGCATCTGTACTTTTTTGATGTGCTGTCCTATTTTTGCTTCACAAATCCCTATAAACATCTATAAACATCTATAACATCTATAAACATCTATAAACATCTATAAACATCTATAAACATCTATAAACATCTATAAACATCTATAAACATCTATAAACATCTATAAACATCTATAAACATCTATAAACATCTATAAACATCTATAAACATCTATACACATCTATAAACATCTATAAACATCTATAAACATCTATAAACATCTATAAACATCTATAAACATCTATAAACATCTATAAACTATGGTGTTGGGATTGGGTTGGTGTTCGCCACTAGGAGAAGGGCTACATGGTCGAGAAGGTGGCGGAAGGCAAACCTGCAGCTGAGGCGCCTGTGCCAGTTATCCTGGAGGGATTTCCTTCCATGTTTGGATGGCTAGCAGAGGGAATAGATCAGTTTATGTAAAATATACGTATTAATATTGTAATTATGTATATTATATATATATATATGTTTTTATTATTATATCTCCATGTACATAATGTAAATAATATATATATATATACATATAATTACTTATATATATATATATACACATATATATGTACATATACATACATATATATATATATACATATATGTACATATACATACATATATATATACATATATATATATACATAGATTTATATACATATATATACATATATATATATACATATATATATATACATACATATATGTATACATATACTGTGTAATATGTATGTAATTATGTACATATATAATTATGCTTACATGTATAAAATATCCACTGACATATTGATAGGGTTACACAACATCAAGTATTGGGATCTTGTAGAGTTGAGTACGCATTATGATTGGGAAGGGGAATTCCCCTGAATCGGTTTCTCTAACTTTGAATTTCACCTATTTGAGAGCACTTGAGAAGTTGTGCTCCCAATTGATCTGGTTTTCATGGTACAGGAGGATCATATCAGTTCCTTTCGAAAGAACAGGTTGAAAGCACGTGAGGTTGATCAGACCATCTAGTTGCTGCGGGATCTCTGTGTGAACATGTGTGCATAATTCTTCATATATACGTATACCTATAGATGTAATTATATTATATATATACTGTATGTATACATAATATGTATACACATCAGATTGTTATACCTCTACCCAGCATTTCCCAATCCAACTTGCAATGATCCGCCCACCAGGCCGGTGTGGACGTTGGGTGGCGCGTCCTGAAGGTGTCGGGGCAGGATTGCAGTCAGAAGTCGTCGGCAGAGATTCAGGCGAGGGTATGGGAGAAAGGGTGTGTTATGATAATGTTTTGTAGGTAATATATATATATATATGGCTACCTATATATATATATCATTATATAACCATTATATGATGGAGTTTATAACTACCCCTAGGTATATTTATGCATGGAGGATATGTATGCAGATAGGTTTATATATATATATATATATACATATATACATATATATGAATGGAGGAATACTTCATACCCATCTCAAGATTGACTCTCTTGCTGAGTAGGTATCTGATTTTGACCATCACAACCAGCATAACCTGTTTGGTCATCGCAGGAAATTTGGTTCGCATCCCAAAGCGGGCTACCAACTTCACAGAAATCGGGCATGTTTATTCATGGTTTGGATCTGAAAGTCTATCAATCTATCATAGTCTATCTAAACTTGAGGGTGAGTAATGTTGTGCCTATCTGAAATCCTGCATCAGATACGTTAGTGCCCGTGGTAGTTTGGGCCCAAACACACCCAAACGGTTCCTCTTCAACATGTGCGCATTGGTCATGCCACCTTGTGGCACCATATTTGGGAAAAGGTCAACCAGGTGACGCCAACTTGATCCTTGGGATCATCCACAACTCCAAAAAATGGGCGGCTATAAAACTAACCATGATATATTGGCGTAATGAAGATCAGCTAACAGGCGGTCCGCCAAAGGTTGCTACGTCCTGGGGTGGCCTTGGTGTGAAGTCCCTGCATCGAAGAATTCCAAGGGAGATCACAAGTCATGCACTTGGGAGTAACGCACATCCAAGGATGTATGGATGAGAGTTTCAAGAGGTCCGCGTGTCAGTGTTTACACACTCTTTTGCTTCAACTCTTTTCATTTTCAACTGTTAGGCACTCCCTGCCCTGTCGGCAGAATTCTTTGATGATTATGGTCTGTGCCACTTGTGAAAAAGCTTGTCTCAAAATGCCAAACTATCCAAAATGATCTACATGTATGGTAATTTTAATATGCGCAAAAATGAATGAAGATGATGACCAACCCTAGTTTCAAACAAATCCAAATGCTTCTAGGGTGCCATGGTCTAAGTTTCAGGCGCTCCTGAAGGAGGTGTCACTGCTACTTGGCAGGGCCATGGCCAGTGTCACTGGGGATCACTGGGGAACAATTGCAAGTCTTGGCGTGAACGATGATCCAGGTGTAGCTGAGTAGTTCGTGGGTAACATGTAGAAACAGTAGCTGAGTAATGTTCAGACGCACCGGAAAGCCGACTTCTTCCCCAAGGCCGGTGGAAGTCCAATTTCAGAAGCCGGAGGAGGACAGGATCGTGAAGTTTTGCAGACCTTTGCGGATGGATTATACCATTGCATCCATCTGTCATTTTCATCCTAAGTGAAACAGACCAACCTTCAGGGCACCCTGTGGCCATTTTGATCACCTGTCATTGCAAACGATACACTTTGGAACCTGCAAAATCCACAGCCCTTTTCTAAACTGAAGACTGTACTCGGAGATTGGATGGTTGGTGATGGATTTGGTGTCATCCAAGCCTTTGTGCTTTACAGGAGGCGCTACCCAGCAGTGAAGAGGATGAGAACAACATTCAAAATGTTCGTGCAGACCATCGGAGACAACATGAGGCCAGGGCAGTTACTGAAGAGGAATTCCAGCACTCACCACGTGCATCACATGTAATTAACTGTTGATACAGTGATACAATGTAGTAGTAATGTAATACCAAGATGAAGGATGTTTGGATGAACTGTTGAGATTGGAAACCCTACTCACTTGTGTTCTGTTTGGTTTCTCATGGTCTTTGCTTGGCTGAAAAAAAAACTTAGTTGATTCAGTAATTCAAATGTCGTCAGCTACGACCTGCGTGTGGTTTCAGTATCCGCTTGAGACTGACCATGCTGGCATGAAGTGCAATAGTTAAAAAAAACCTCACAGGTGCTCACAACTGGGGTCAGCAACCCAGAAAAAACAGCCCAGCTAACTTTCAGCTAACCAGCTAAAAGATGTTGACTGCTATGTCAAGGCTGCCTTGTCAAACATCGACGATCTGCCAGTGCATCGGGACCCCGAAGAACTTCCAGAACCGATTGCGTCCTGGCGTGCTTTGGCCAGATGGGTGGGGTTGGGTGAAGTCACTGGGAAACTGATGGTGTATGACATTAATATGTTAGATATTGTCAGATGGCTTATAGCCAATAGGTTGCAGCAATGAATGGGACATATCATGTATTGACAGTGAAATCTTGGCTGGGTATGTTTGATATAGGTCAGATTGCTGGCATTGTGGAATACGCTTTTTTTTGGGCAGGGCATCTAGGATCAGCCATTTCTTTGGGTGTTTGGATGTGGGTCAAACAGGTAGATTTGCATGTCCGGGTGGTGAACCTCCCATGGCTGTGGTCAGAACTCGCCGAGTTGGTCAGTTTGCCAGGGAAACAGAATGAATAATTAATGATCGTCTATAATATATATATATACATATATATATTTATTTATTTATTTATTATGTGCATGCATGCATGTATATGCTTCTATATGCTGATTTGATCTTATTTGCCTATTGTGTATACATTTGTATACGTTGCGCATATGTATAGGTGTATGCGTTTAGAGGTACATCCACAATCCAATGGCAAATGAGGGCGCCACCACTGCTCGATCAACCTGGAAGGTGATGCTTGTGAGAGAAAACTTTTGAATGCCTCCTTAGTCCATAAACTGCAGCCTGGCACTGGAGAGGGACCGGATTTGAAGGACTTTACTGTCACTATAAATGATGGTAAGGGCAACCACCCCAACATCACCTGATTTCGGGTTGGCGAGGTTGGTGAAATCTGATTCAGGCAGATTGGTGCCTGATTTTTTAGTGGGGAGACTGGTACATCCACACACTCTTGCTTGGCTGGTCGTTGTGGCTGTAGGAGTACATACAGCAAATGCCCAAACTACATATTTCATTGAAATTCATGAGTTGGACCGTCGAACATTCCATGACGGACTATGAGCCTTGATCTGGCAATTCTGACTGGGAAATCTTCTGGTGGAGTGAATGAGATGTTTTTGAATGCACCAAGTCTATCCATCCCCTGATGGCTCAATGGGTAGCCATTCAGCACCAACTCCTGGTCGCTTTTGACGTTGAAGCGAATGCTTTGAGGATGATGAACCCCAATCGATTTGCATATTCAGAAGGCTTGCGAAGAGGAGAATTATCAAGAGTATCTTAAAGATCTATCTTAGGGTATCTTCAACGGGACAATCACCACATATTTTCGATTTTTTTCGAACAAGGTACCCAGCACTAAGGAGAGGTCCCAGGCACTCGTCACCGAGGCATGCAGCTGGACTGAAACGGCCCACCCTGATCCAGCGCCATGCTGTGCCAATCGTGGGACACCAGGAACACTACGACCTGGTGGCACAAGCTCAAACAGGTCCGAAATGGTGCAAAGCACAGCAGAGATTGGGAGAGATATGGAGAGATCCATATAGACCTGATCTGTTACAGGTTGGAAGGTTGCATAAGGTTGCTGTATCTGTTACTTCATAAGACCTGATCCATATAGAAGCCACAGAAACTCCAGGTTAGAAATTGGTGGAAGCGAGGTGACAACATTTCAAGTAACCAACTTTGGGTTAGTGCTGAAGCTTCAAGGGTTGCTTGATCTGATTGGTGCTGTTTCTTCGTTGCCGTTAGTGACTTTGGGTTGACCTCTGCAGATGGCATGCCACAGCTGTGCCATGCTGTGCCATGGCCAGGCAGTGGCAAAACCTTTGCCTTTGTCATCCCTACGCAGCCCGGATGACATTTACACAACGGGTATGCCGATATGCCAGAGATGGATCAAAATCTATCAAACATTTGGGGCAATCAACATCTAGTTACCAGCTACTTTTATAAGAAAACCAGGGTATCAGCGGTTCAGACCCATACCAGCAGCAGAATCCCAATGATTTTCAATGACTCCTGGTATCCCTGGGTAAATGCTGGAGAATCACCACTATGGTACAAATCATCAAAAACAGAAACGACAACACGAGATCATCCAAGGATCGCCCGCTTGCTGTTGCGTGGTTGTCCAGCAAGACCTTTCTTTGCCGGGCCAACAGCACAGGCGAGTTGTCCACAATGATTGGTCGGTTATGGTCGGTTGGTTGTCCATCAACATTGGTGGCAGACGAGAAAACACATATTACACAAAGATTATGATTGTGGATGGTCTCAATGTTTAAAATCATTGAACAAATCGCCAGTAGTCCATGTCCAACAAATCATGAGGACAGCCAAAAAGGACTCCTGTAGCATCGCGCGTCGCCAGGGCTGCCCAGTGGTCCTGGTCCTATCTCCTACCCGGGAACTGGCAATCCAGACCTGCAGTGAGATGGAAGTCATGACCAAAGGGTCTGGAAGCCCAACAAAAAATAGGGCTTTCATGGGCTTTCCATCTCCAATAGCTGCATGGTTTATAGGAAAATCATGGAAAATCCTACTAAAATGGATGATTTGAGGATGCCCCCATTTGAGGAAACCTCCATTTGGTCCCCATGAGTTGCTAAAAAACCCTTCTGTGAAAACATCCCGAAAAGGCGGCCAGAATGGACGATAGTGAGATGGCAACTTACCCAAAGATTCCAATGTGGGGGGGTGTTTAATCTTGACATATCTTGACCCATAGCCATATTTGACAATTTATAATTTGATGTCAATGATATACTTTTTTGAATCTCGCGATCATACTATGCATAGGACAATCTGGAGGCTCCGGCTCCTAAATTCTATGGCTCCGCGATCTTGTTAGTTGAATTCACTGAGTCACCGGTTGCCCCCATGTCCTGGTGTCCATCATAGACCCTTCAAATACCATCCTTACCTGGGTCGGTCATATTTCGGCCTTGGGGATCCAAGATCATCACTGGGATGCAGAAAAGGCCAACCTCCAAATCCGCAATGGGATTTGCTGCATTTTTGCGTCTGAAAGTGACTCCCCATCTAGGAAGAAAGATTCTGGATGGGATGCATGTGATTTACATGCATTCATCCGAATAAACATTTTAAACGGTTAGACTGAATATGTGTTCTGTTTGTATATGTATCTGCATCCACTTCAATACTCACGAGTAAGACGCTGTCAAGTTGGCCCTTGCCAAGGTCCAAGTTGACTCAGTTGCTTGGTAGGAGCAACTAGAGGTTCCGTTGAAGTTGGCTGAGGAAGGTCTGTATATGGATGTGTTTGAAAATTGTGGCATCCCTATATCTAAAAGTGAATTGCCATTAGAATTGAATTACCATATGAATTGAAAGCGGCAATTCCAATAGAAAATCAGGCAACTCCCATTGGAATTTTGCCATTGGGGTCGGCCCCTGGGAAGCCCTGGACTCAATGGGTCGCATTTTGCCATGTAGATGGAGGAGGAAGATATATTTGTATATATTTGTTTTTTTGGGGGGAATTAGATGGAATCTGATGGAATCTGATTAGATGCAAAGAATCAGATTTGAACCACGATTTTAGTGAAATCAGCAGACTGTTCTGTGTAAGTCTCACCCTGAAGCGGTTGTTTGGAAGCTCCCTTTGTTGCATGGTCTGCTGACCGTGTTTGGATGAACCAAAGCCCATTTTATAAATGATGGTCTCCTAACCTTGGGTGTTGCATTTATGTAGTAAATGATGATTGTAGATGATGGTAAGGAGATCATCCAACAAAAATGTGCTGTTCCAGTCCCAGTTTAATCATTAGCACCCAGTTCCAATATATTTATTGGTGATTTCCCAACGAAAGCTGGGTGTTTTTTATTGGGTTTTCCCTGAGGATGAGCATCTACGGTGGGGAAACCATCAAAGAAAGCGCCAAACGCCTGGAAACTGCGCCCATCGACATCATTTGTGCCACACCTGGTCGTCTCATAGCACTGCTGGACGAGACAAAGCTCCCTGGCTGCACTGGCGAAATGGCGATGATGGCGAGAAAAATGGCAGCTGTGGATGCCTCTAACGTTTTGGCCCCCCAATGGGTTGAGGTTTGGCCGCGACCAGGTCACTAGCAGGTCAGGGATTCCAAGGGTCTCTTCTTTGGATTCCTCACATTGGCATAATTTTTGCAGGGGGAAGCAAACATCAGGTAGGAGATGGTCAGGAAAATCAATGTCAAACAGGGAGATTTCTCCGTTACATTTCAGGAATCTAGAATTATAGGACCGGATAACCCCACATGCTAACAACTTCTCCAGACTTAGACTGAGCACAGAAAAGCAACAAGGGAAGAGGAAGTATGAGAGTGATGGAGGGTGATGTATGTATGTATGTGCATGTACAGGTAGAGGCAATTTCTCAGTGAGTGAGTGAGTGAGTGTGAGTGTGTGAGTGTGGGAGTGTGGGAGTGAGGGAGTGAGGGAGTGAGGGAGTGAGGGAGTGAGGGAGTGAGGGAGTGAGGGAGTGAGGGAGTGAGTGAGTGAGTGAGAGTGAGTGAGTGTGAGTGAGTGAGTGTGAGTGAGTGTGAGTGAGTGTGAGTGAGTGTGAGTGAGTGTGAGTGAGTGAGTGAGTGTGGGTGAGTGAGTGAGAGTGAGTGTGAGTGAGTGTGAGTGAGTGTGAGTGAGTGAGAGTGAGTGTGAGTGAGTGTGAGTGAGTGTGAGTGAGTGAGTGAGTGAGTAAGTGAGTGAGTGAGTAAGTGAGTGAGTGAGTGAGTGAGAGAGAGAGAGAGTGAGTGAGTGAGTGAGTGAGCGAGCGAGCGAGCGAGCGAGGGAGTGAGTGAGTGAGTGAATTGTCCCACGCCTGCCTTGCAAAAGAGGCGGAGACCAAGGGACGCCAGGGCGTACATCCGACCCCTTGGCAGTGCACATTGTCCCACGCCTGCCACGCAAAAGAGGCGGAGACCAAGGGACGCCAGGGCGTACATCGGACCCCTTGGCAATGCACATTGTCCCACGCCTGCCACCCAAAAGAGGCGGAGACCAAGGGACGCCAGGGCGTACATCCGACCCCTTGGCCGTGCACATTGTCCCACGCCTGCCACGCAAAAGAGGCGGAGACCAAGGGACGCCAGGGCGTACATCCGACCCCTTGGCAGTGCAGATTGTCCCACGCCTGCCACGCAAAAGAGGCGGAGACCAAGGGACGCCAGGGCGTACATCCGACCCCTTGGCAATGCACATTGTCCCACGCCTGCCTTGCAAAAGAGGCGGAGACCAAGGGACGCCAGGGCGTACATCCGACCCCTTGGCAGTGCACATTGCCCCACGCCTGCCACGCAAAAGAGGCGGAGACCAAGGGACGCCAGGGCGTACATCCGACCCCTTGGCAGTGCACATTGTCCCACGCCTGCCACCCAAAAGAGGCGGAGACCAAGGGACGCCAGGGCGTACATCCGACCCCTTGGCCGTGCACATTGTCCCACGCCTGCCACGCAAAAGTGTTGTGTGAGTGAGTGCGTGAGTGAGTGAGAGAGAGAGAAGAGGAGTGCAGTGAGTGAGTGAGTGGGGTGGGTGTGTGTGTTTGTGTGTGTGTTTGTGTGTGTGTTTTGTGTGTGTTTTTGTGTGTGTGTTTGTGTGTGTGTTTGTGTGCGTGAGTGATGAAGTGAGTGAGTAGTGTGTGTGTGTGTAGTGTAGGTGTTGTGAGTTATGTGTTGTGTTTGGTTTAGTGACGTGTGAGTGAGTGAGTGTGCGTGAGTGTGAGTTTAGTGAGTGTGTGTGATTTATTTTGAGTGAGTGTGAGTGTTTTGAGTGAGTGTTGAGTGAGAGTGAGTGATTGAGAGTGCGTTTGATTTAGTTTTATGAGCGATTTAGTGAGTGAGTGGCGTAGTTTTGATGTGAGTGAGTGAGTGAGAGTGAGTGAGAGTGAGAGTGAGTGAGTGAGTGAGTGAGTGAGTGAGTGTGAGTGAGTGAGTGAGTGGAGGGAGGGAGGGAGGAGGGAGGGAGGACGGGAAGGAGGACGAGGAGGAGCGGATACAGAACTAAAAACAAAAACCCCACACGTCAATGTGGGGAATAATCTAGAGAAAAGATGGGGCTCTGTTGACTCCTTCGAGGGTCGAAACTCGTGACAGTCGTTTACGCACTGTCCCAGGATTTCTCTCGCGTATGTACAGACGGTGATTTTGGATGAGGCGGATCAGATGTTGGAGCAACGACTGGTGACCTGCCTGCAAGCAGCCAGGCAGTGGGGCACTGGGTCATCCTTTGGTTAATATCAGGTTGTGGCCATGGTATGCCATGGGATGCCCTGGGAAAATAGACTTCCACCAGCCAAGTGTGTAGGTATAGCATACCCCCCACCAAGGAGATCATGTGCGCGGATATCTTGGTGGGCCGAGATGCTTGGCTTCAGTGATGTGGGCTGTAGGTTAAGACGGTTAAGATATGTTAAGATACAGAAAACATCAGAAAAACAGGCCTTGGACCCCCAGATGAACCAATTTTTGTGGTTTCTTTAGTTGAACCAAATTGATGTGGTAGACATTGGTAGACTACAACACCAGGTGTCCCAGCCCAGGATATGCCAGCACCAAGTTCGGGGCGACAGACACTGCTGTTTAGCGCGACCATCCCACAGACACCCGGCATGGGTTTTTTGGGGCAGACGTGGTGATACTGCGTCATAACAGGAGACCCAAAAAAAAAATAAGAACTGGGTATAACTGGGTACAGTAAACATGGGTGGACTAGGTGACTAGAGGAATACTTGGGTATATACGGTAATTATATATACAGCGTTTTAAGATGCTTTATGATTAAACTGAGACCAAATGTGGGTGTGGGTCAAGAACGGACGGTTGAATGCTACGAACAAAGTTGTGGGTCCATTGGTGTCAAAATTCTGGCCCAACCCATACTCAAATAAAGCAGTAAGGAAACATCCCCAATGAATCCGATACCTCAAATTACAAAGTTCGTGATGCATCACATGAAGAGGCCAGTCAATGGAGTGGTTCTTTGCAAGCAGCGTCAGATGTTAAGGAGCCAATACTCCACAATACTCCGCAAGAAAAAAGACATGTTCGAGTTTGAAGCATTGGGCTTGATATTAAACTTGCGTGTTTTGTACCATGTGCAGAGTAGCATCATCTTTGATGAACATCCACCGCCTGCAAGGAAGATCAAAGACATGTGTCCACAGATTCTGCGGGAGAAGTGCCTTGGTTGTCAACAGATCTTTCATGGGAAAGCTGGTCCTTCTGTGAGTATGTAGCTTTATGTAGCTTTATGTCGAGAGCTTGTGAATTTTTGGGTGGGCCTAAGCCAATTCCGTTTTTGCGAAATTTGATCTCTTGCATGTTACTGATTTTTCCTACAGGTAATGTAGTATTCGAGGCAATTGAGAGTGAAATTGGTTCCCTTATTTGCTACTATCCGGCAGATTTTCCAAATGTTGGTATATCTTGACACGAAACCCCGACAGGATCTGGGTCACGACCAGAATTTGAGAGGGAAGCACTCCTTGGTTTGGTGGACTTGTCACAAGCTAAACCCTAGCTGGGTAAGTAGCGGGTTCATCCCAATAAAACTTTAACAAAAACTGACTCGCATTGCTGCCAAAGTAGTACCCTCTCAACTCAACAGCCCACTGTCAGATGGCTTTGTTCATCCGAAGTTGGTTCATCCCAGGCGCACTGCCCATCTGACAATTGGCTTCTACGATGATGACAAGGGTGGCTCCTGTGACAGCATCACTCAGCCGCTTGGCTGTTCAGTGGTGCAGCTACTTTTGGAATTTACTACATATTACTACAAGATTATAAGAATTATGGTAGACCCTCATATTTTTCAATAAGATGCTCAATTTCTATCAATTGGATGCCTGCAGACCAGCGCGGCGTCAACGATGAGTCTCTGGTTCTTTTCATCTCCGGAGGATCATCGAGCTGGTGGAGAACTTAACATGAACTTAACTAACAATGTATTGTCAATGTATTGTCAATGTATGATAATGTATGTCAATGTCTATTTTCAGATTTGACGATGTTTGATATGTCTGTGTTTGTAGATCATAAACCGTCATGTGGACCACGGTACGAATCGTTACGAATCATCCATACGAAGTCCATCATCCCCAGGCATCCCCAGGCATCCCCAAAACGATAGGCTCTTGCGGTGGTCACCTGACGAGAAGGATCGCATCGGGGAACTCATTCGAGCCTTGGACGAAAACGTGTTGCGGAAAGGGGGAAAGTTCTGCAGACACCATAGCAACCCAACCAACATCACTATCACCAAGAGATCCGGGGAATATGTCCGGCATCTTAACAGCAAATGTTTGGGGATGAAATACGGAGCTTGGAACCAACCCAGAAGATCTACCAACATCCTGTGGGTTTGGAGCTGGTGTTTCCGAATATGTGTTTCATTCCTCAGAACAGGATGATCAGGATGGTGATCCCAAATCCCACTAAACTTCACTAAACCTCTGGATTCGGGATGCCAGATCAGCAAAGGGGGCTAGAGATGGGCGTAGTCAAAATGTACCAATTGAATCCAATTGACCTACCTAGACTTCATTGCTGTTGGTCATAGATTGCTCCGACGGCTGCACACATTCTATTTCTGTACCAAGGAAATCGTGAGTTTGTACAGTACAGTATAATAAATGTGGCCATGTCCACCAACATGCCTGTTACCTGTCGGAATGTGCAGAATATGTAAAAAAAAAAGTCTAACATCGCATATTGTGGTTGGTCCATTGGTCGACGCAGCAAATGTTCAGGGGACTATATAATCCATTGTGACCCGGCCTGGTGATGCAGTTAGCTGGAAATCCACTCCTGGTCGGTGTGCTGCCCAAGGTCTTCGCGACATCTCAAGCTGGAAAAGTGTCCATGTAATATATACATCCATGTGCCCGATGTGCCCGATAGATACCCACTCAACCAGTTTGGCTGAAGATCATATCTGTCAGTAATGTATTGCATTGACACAGGTATCATAAATAAATCACATCCTTGCGTCCTAGTGTGTGAACCCCTTGATTGGCTAAAATGGCAGTACTGTTTCTGGAACATCATTCGATCCCTTCCCGATTGTAGTACAACCCCTATGTCTATTGTGACGTCGAAATCGGGTACCAATTGACCCACATGCTAAATCAAAAATTGTCGGTGCCAGTGTTTGACCCTGAGTGAACCAATCTTTTGCCGCTCGCTCCTGCCCGGCCTAGGAGACCTTCAGACCTACTGGGACAGGAAGAAGGGAAGCTGGGCTGCAAAAACCCATGAGTCGCGCATTCTCCACAATTTGTCTAGATGTTCAATGGGGAAGATGATGATGCACCTTTTTATTTTAAAGGGTGTGTCATATCAATGTATTACACAGTTGAGCATTGACCAATTCACCCTCTGGTTCTTTGTTACTGAACGCAGGGAGTTCACTGCGGATAACTTCGACCATTCCGATGATTTGCCACGTGGGTTTTTCCCATCTTTTGGCCCTGCATCAACATCACCCCACTTCTGCCTTCATTTTCGGAAAGTCTTATGGTGTTTCCAAAAAAACAAAAACACATCCCATCACAAGCGGTGCAACCTGCCACAGCTTCGCGCACTTCGTGCCCCTCGAGGCCGTGTGGTGATCTTTTCGAATCTGCGGCTGACAGCTGACAGCTTGGCTCATCAGCTGAAGCGTGAGGGGATGACCTGTCGCCACCTGCATGGCAAGTTGGACCAGGACCGGGGCCGGATGTGTGTGGTGGGACTGGTGGTTTCAAGTGTTTTCTGATGTTCAATCTGTTTCAAACCCTAAAAATCCGCCCGCACCGAAGGTGCTGGGGCGTGATCGTCCGGATGGCACTCGTAAAAGGTTACAGGTTTACCTGGGGGGGGGGTGGCCATTATTCGGCCAAAACCTCCTGTTTTTGATAGGTCGTGACGCTCGCCTTCAAAAAACACTGTAAAAAACAGTACGGAAGACACCTGTTCGTGAACGCGCCCGTCCAAAATCGGCAAGCGAAAAGTGTAAAAACCCCGTGTTTTTCAACTTTTTTTGACCTCAATTTTTTGGTTTGCAACATCTTTTTTTGCGGTTCCGCAGGTGGCCTGGCCCGGAGGCGGATTTTTGAGTTTTTGGACCCGTTTTCGGACTGATTTTCGTCGTTTTGTGATAGCAGAAACACTGTTTTCTGCATGCTTGACGGCTAGCTTCAAAACTTCCAAAAACCTCGTAAATTACGCTGTTTTATGTTACGGTGTGAATGAAAACATCGTAAATACCAGTGTTTTTTGACGGTGGTTAAAAAAACACTGTAAATTACAGTGTTTTTGGCCACCTGACCCTCAAAAACCATGGTATTTGCAGTGGTTTCTGCTTCTCACCGCGCAAAAACACTGTAAATAACAGCAATTTCGCCGTTTTTTCATGTTTTTCGCTATTTTTTGAACTGCGTTGGTCCGCTATACATGGCTATCAAATTCTTCGCGTTTTTTTTCCGACAATCAGTACTTTCGGATGTTTTTGGTCTCAATGGCCGACATCATTGGCAGTTACGAGCGGTCGCGAAGGTGTGAGAACAACATCGTTCAAACCGTGGCGGCCGCACAGGGGTTCTTGTCGCGGAGCGACGGCAATAGAAGAGAACAATGGCAGTAGAAGAGAACAATGGCTGACATCATTAACAGTGTGGACCGTTCACTCGATATGTACATATATATATGATCTTTATATATATAGATATATCTCTGCTGTGTGAGCCCAACGATGCGGTGCGGGCGGTTGCCGTCGCGAAGCGACGTGAATATATTACAAATTGATTACTTCTATGTTCTTGGGATCAGTTGGAACATGCTGAAACCATCAACAAGATAGTGGATGTGGGGGAGTGCAAACCAGCAGAAAGGGAGCTATCGATGATGGGTGAAGTCATTGAGGGTGCCAATGGACCTAACAAACATCGATTTCGAGGTCAACCCATCCCTTGGGTTGGCTATAGCGAGGGATGTAATTGGCATGCTTTGGGGGAGAATGATTGGATAAGCCTAACTGTTGAGAAGCTAGTTGGCCAGGATCTAAGCTAATGGGCGTTATTTTTGTGACTGGTTTCGTCGAATGTGGTTGATGTTGATATATGATATGTTGATCGGTGATCCGTGCCAGCAAGAGGATGCTTATATATGATGTTCCTCTCCTTAAGTTTTTTTGACAAAACCGCTGTTGCTACGTAGTGTTCTGTTTCAATTTCTCTCATATTAAGAAAATGATCACAACGTCCTGGTTTGCCAAGATCAATGATAAACAGAATATTTGCTGGACGATCAACAATATTATTATATCAAAGAAGATCCTCATGATAACGCCATTGATGGTTCACGCTCATGGTTATTTCAAAGGCGTTGTTGATTTTATACGTACAATTACTGTATGGAGAATATACATGAATCTGAATATGCCACTTCACTAATTAATCCTACTATACTTTGATATATAAAATTGAATGCCGTTAAATAATATGTCATTTATACAAAAATACATCAGTACATACCACTATAGTCACTATAGTTTTTTCTTTTGACCGCCAGGAAGTGCGAGAAAATGTCTTTGACGGATTTCGCCGAGGTCATGTCCAGAAGATGATCCCCTGCAAGACATGTTGATGATGATTATATATATATATATATTATGATTATATGGTTCAAAGGGCTAGGTATACCATCAACCAGATATGGTGAAAAAAAGAGGTTCAAAGCGCTAGTTAATTAACACTATTTAACCATGATCATGAAGCTATAGCCATGTAGCCGATTTATTTTGAATCTGACTTGGAGATCCGTCCAAATGTGGTACCCATCTTGACTCCACCGGGTCTCCAAAGTTCGGCCTCCCTGGGTGGACAAAAGTCCATATTCATCAGTCTCTACTATCTTTTTCGAAGCATTCCCAGGGAATGATGGGAAAATGATGGGAAAATGATGGGAAAATGATGGGAAAATGATGGGAAAATGCATATTATGGTGAATTGGAGGTGGTTCAACTTGAAATTCGATCAGGCGACTTCGACATCTTGGTGGCCACCAACGTCGCGCCCAAAGCTTAGCGGGAGTTGCCGAGGGAGATGGGCCAATGGGGATGGATCACAAGGTCTGACAGCCCCAGTTCTGCCTATCCATACCTAATATATGGCTATGGATCAATACCTATTAATACCATTTTTAGGGGAATGAACATCCATTTACCAGCTATTTTGGTGTCCGCCAGGGGTACAAGGTTTTGACACACTGCCATATCCTACTATGATGATTATGATGCCATAATCATTTAAAAAAAGCGTCCTTAGAAGGAGAGTACACTTCACACGGCGGTGTCACGATCTTCCAGGTCGCGCGGCTTGGATTTTCCAGACGTCTCCTTGGTAGATCCTGGGCTGAAGCCGTGGTGGCTAGAGAAATATTCCAAAATGGCTTTGAATAGAGGATTCATGACTATTCACTAGTCATTTTGGGGATGTGAACTAGAAGGTAAGAGACGGAAATGATCCATCCAAATGATTTTCGGTGGGATGTCAACTTCAAATTTGTTGAAGCCCCCGTAGATAAGGCTCAACGCATAGCTTCATTCAATTCAAAAAAACCTGTCAAACCGTGGCATCACTGTCGAGATGTGTCATTGGAAGTACTCTCAGTAATTAGCCAACTAAAAATTCAGCTTCGGTGACGAGTAGCCCCTGCTTGAAACTTTCTATGTTTCTGCAATCGCACCCAGCATAGCTGCCTAGCTTTGGCTCAAGGCTCGGGTTTCTGATCGAATCCGAGGTCCAATTCAACCTACCCGACAACATTGACGTCTACACCCACCGCACTTCGGCTCAGCGTTCAGAGGCAGTGACCATGGACATTTGCTGGTCATGTTTTTCAAGGGTCTGCTGTTGTTGTTGTTGTTGTTGTTGTTGGTTGTGGTTGTTGTTGTTGTTGTTGTTGTTGGTGTTGGTGTTGGTGTTGGTGTTGGTGTTGTTGTTGGTGTTGTTGTTGGTGGTGGTGGTGGTGGTGGTGGTGTTGGTGTTGGTGTTGGTGTTGTTGTTGTTGTTGTTGTTGTTGTTGTTGTTGTTGTTGTTGTTATGTTTTGTTGACTTGTTGATTTCTGGAAGTGTCATTCAGATCTGATGCCTTAGCCTATTTGGGGTTGCATCATTTGCTGAATGTGTATCCATTTGTCAACTTGAGGGTTTTGAAGGTGGCGTTTTTCAAAGATAACAAAGTGCACCCCAAGTGCTTCCCCATGCGTTAATATTCTGTTGTAAGAAAAATAGGAAACCACATCCACCTACCACTTGCTCAAATCTATCCGATTATCCCATTCCAGCTCTGTGCTTGGCGCGGAAACTTTATGGCCTCTGGCGTGTTGCCTCCAATCAGCACCCATGGCCAGAGCAGCCGCCACTGGCATTACTAATGTCAATGATGTTTAGTGTTTACATTTTAAAACGTCTAAACGGTCACGAAACGACAGAGCTGTTCATCCCTACTCAGCTGATTCAGGGTAATTCACCCAATTGTTCATTCAGCTTGTGATGGTTGATACCTCCATGTTCAATTCACACCCCTGTTGGTTAAGCGTCGAAATTCTACAAGATTTTTCCAAGGTGTGGGGCGAACTGGTCGCATCGGCCAGGCCAGGGTTTTCCGCGGGCCGTGTTCTCCAAAGACTAAGGAGATGGAACTATTGATTCTATACCATTTCCATACCATTTCTGCACCATTTCCATTATATTGATTCATATGTTGCTTCTTTGTCGGTTTGGAGGTTTAATTAGTTTAACTATACATTAATGTACTCAGCAGTCACGTGCAGTTGAGGGCTGGGACCGGATATCGGAGACAGCGCAGGTGGGTCATGCCTTGGCTTATCTGGGACCGAAGGATAAGAAGATCGCTGCGAAATTGGTGGAACTCTGGCGGAACGTCCAGGGGGATCATGGCGGATCATGGCGGATCATGGCTGGTTGTTTTGTGATGGTTTGTGGCTGATATTGGAGTGACCATTTTCAGACAAACTTACATGGGGATGGATCAAAACTTAGAAGATTACAATATATATGTGTTTACATTATTGTATATTTATATATCACATATTTGGAGGGATGGACATCCATTTACCGGCTGTCTCGATGTGAGCAGAAGGGCGCCAGGGTTTTGACCCACAGCCATATCGCTGATGGCTGGTTTTGTGTAATCAGATGTAATCTGTAATGAAGAGATCAAGTACTAAAGCAGAGTTTCGTTCGGGGATATGTCACATATTTGAGAGGAAGCATAATATGTGTCCCCAGTGCGCGTAAGCCAGGGGTTCTTGGTAAAAGAAAAAAGTGTGTCTGTATATTACACATATATATATATATGCACCCATCTCGCATCTACACATCTACACATCTACACATCTTTCATCTAAAAAGATAACATCTAGAATCTACACGTCCTTTCTTTTCCTTTGGATGTTCCAGTTGTACATAACATGATCGACACGGGAACTGTTTCATGGACTTATATGGACTTGCATGTGGCAGTTTCCCTGGAACTTCTCAATCTGTGTGCAGTGGATGTCTGCTTCAGTCAATTTATATATACCCTCTGGTAACTAACATAGCTATTTGAAAATGGCCATTTATAGTGAGTTTTCCCATTGAAAATTGTGATTTTCCATAGCTATGTTAGTTTACCAGAGGGTATTATACGTTCATGTTCCCATTTGCACCCATTTGCAGTATTGAAGACACCGCGCCACTAGCGCCACTGCCCAGGAGTTTCTGGAGCTCAACAAACAAAATGTGCCGGACAACGGGCAGGGCGGGCAATGGGTTGACTTTTATTTGCCATGGTTCTAAGTAGATACTTGTGGCATTGAAATGTTTGGTTTCTGCGGCCTGCACTACTGGAACAGTTGCAACCTAAGAGATGAGGTATTCGTTGCTGGTTGCAGTCTTGTGATAGATTCCATTTCACTTCACAGCTACGCAGCTACCTGTGAGATCCTGCCGCTCAAAATTCCCCACGTACAAAATATGAAAATTCTGGCAGCCGGCAGTTGCAACCCTAGAGCGTCACCCCGGACGACATCACCAAAAGTGATGGTTAGGGAACTGCCCAAAACGAATCAATTTCAGGTTGGTGAATCATATAAAAATACTATATAATTCTATCATTATTCTATCTATACAATTATATACACGCATACGTACAGAAATGCAGCCAACATGAATGGTACCTGGATTCACACCCACAATGGTTCCTTCATATTTTCTTCTTTTGCTGCAGGACTACTTACGGGACATGGCCATCAAAGCTGAGACCTTGAAACATCGCTACTGATGGAAATTGATCCATTGAAAGCGGCGAAGATCAATGAGTCAAAACAAGAACTGCAATGGGTTTTGAGTCAAGTGAGTGGCAGTGGATGATTGATTTGTCCCACATTCGTTTCTATAGGTTGAGGTGGTTTGTCCCACCCTGTAAGTTTGATCTGGGGTGAGAGACACAAGTTACCCCTCCCCGGCTATGCTATGCCAGGATTGATTCTGTATCAGCACTTTGACCAGTGTATTGGGCAGCCGTTGGATTTCCACATTGAGACGAAAAGGTTTTCCTTACAATTTTGATTGTCTGTGTTTCCATGCCACCGTCAAAATCTGCATCATATACCCAATGGTCATCAATCCGTTGATGGGGTGTTAATATTGCAAGCGTAAGGAATAATGGTGGGATGACCACAAACCATATACCATCATATACCATGTTTTGACGTACATATGTTGGATTGTGTGCGGGTAACTTGGATCCACCCATGGATTCATAGACTCCAACAGGACCATCCAACCCATGTCCACTGGAGTTGGGGGTTGAGATCTGCCACACCAGCCGCTGCAACTTGGATCAGCATACTTCGCAGCAACCGTTGACAGAAGCTGAATTTATTCCAGTTGACTCCAAATTGTGAAATAGTTTGTTCAAGAAGAAAACCAACTGACAGACATCTATTCAGAGACAGAGAAGAGAGCATGTTACTGGATTCTGAAATTCGAGCTCGAACAGCACAACAGCTTGGGTATGAAGTTCATGAAAGTTATAGAACTTCCCGTAGCCGTAGCCGTTGTGGCCTGTCAGCCAGCATGGCTCTCATTGCAGATGGAGGCAGAAAACTGGAGGACATCAATGGCGGTCGCTTAAACAGATGGGAATCCTTGGGTTACTCAGCCTGAAATATATCGTAGTTTTTGTCGTTGCAGATGTTGGATTCCTTTTACCCATGATATATCATGATATGCCGTCATATGTGATGAGATATGATGAACTCCCATGTCGATCATGTCGGTTTCCGGCATCACCAGAACCCAGTTTCCAACCTGGGAGTTTCCAGATGTTTCCAGGAGTACAAAGCTCGCGAGTCCATCTATATCTCCGCCTTGGTGAACCAAGAAGCCGAGATGTTGCGCTTCAGGCCATCGAGGTTAAGGGAACAACTTTTCGAATCCGTCAGGGCAAATCCATCATGGCGTTTTGTCAGTCTGATTTAACCTCGATATAACATGATATAACTGGATCAAATGGATTGTTTATAGATGTTTATTCCCGTATCAAACAGTGTAGACTATATATATATGTTTATAATGTTTATAATGTTTATATACAATATATGTTGATATGCTGCTAAACACGATAAAAAGTGCAAGAAATGTTGGGCCACAGCCCAGTTATTCAGGATGATTCGGTAGAATCAACTCGGATGCTTATTGACGGTACAATTGAGGTGGGCCAAGAATCAGAGCAACACATTTTGCACTGGCAATAAAACAATGTGGGTCAATAAAACCGTCATATTACTGGTATGCTCAATTCAAAATTCAGGTTCTTGCAAGAGTTCTTTCAGTTGACGTGGTGCTGTTGAGATTCAGGTTTCATGGCTGTCGGCTAATGTTGCTGAGTAAACCTGGTTTGGTCAATTCATGGAGAAATTTCTGGCCCCGCTAAAGATTGAATTCGTTATGAATCGTGTTCTCGTTTTGTTTCGCTGTTAGCAGAGTATCCAAGTTAATCTTCCCAAGTGTTTTCTGCTCAATAAGAATTCACCTGAGGATTATCTATTTATTGAGTATCAAAAGATTATTTATTGAGTATCATGCATTGATCGTTATTACTTAACGACATTTAACGACCTTCTGGTCATCAATTATAATATAGTTATTAAGATTAATCAGTTGATCATCCTTTTGATGCAACCCCTGTCTTAATTGTATCCCCATCAATTATTGACGATCGTATGATCATCATCTATATCCCATTTGATCATCAATATGGGTGTTTCCATAAATGGGGGACCCCCGATAGCTGGATGGCTTATAATGGAAAATCACATGAAAATGGATGATTTCGGGGTACCCCATCTGAGGAAACCTCCATACACGAACAATTGTTCAGATCTGTTGGGGATGTACCCAGGTCTCTGCTTTTCCTTGATGTTTTTCACCCTTCCAGGGTTTCCTAAAATGGAGGTACCCCTAAATCATCCAGCTATTGGGGATCCCCCATTGATGGAACCCCCCCATATGATCATTTATCATTCAATCTGGGTCAATTGCAACCACTTCACGTCGTGACCTCACTAAAACACCATGGTGAATAAGGAGGGAACTATCCCAATATAGCCATTGTTTTAATGGTATCCCCATTAGTAATGATCATATGATCATCTATATCCCATTTGAATCCATTTAAGATACTGTAATATTGATATACCATAATACACCATTAATACACCACCTGGTTGGTGGTTTGGAACATTTTTTCCATATACTGGGAATAATCATCCCAACTGACGAACTCCATCATTTTTCAGAGGGGTAGGTATACCACCAATCAGCCATTAATACACCATTAATAGACCATTAATAGACCATGAATAGGCCATTAATACACCATTAATAGACCATTAATAGACCATGAATAGGCCATTAATACACCATTAATAGACCATTAATAGACCATGAATAGGCCATTAATACACCATTAATACACCATTAATAGACCATGAATACACCATTAATAGACCATTAATAGACCATTAATAGACCATGAATAGGCCATTAATACACCATTAATAGACCATTAATAGACCATGAATAGGCCATTAATACACCATTAATACACCATTAATAGACCATGAATACACCATTAATAGACCATTAATAGACCATTAATAGACCATGAATAGGCCATTAATAGACCATGAATAGGCCATTAATAGACCATGAATACACCATTAATAGACCATTAATACACCATTAATAGGCCATTAATACACCATTAATAGACCATTAATACACCATTAATAGACCATTAATACACCATTAATAGACCATTAATACACCATTAATAGGCCATTAATACACCATTAATAGACCATTAATACACCATTAATAGACCATGAATAGGCCATTAATACACCATTAATAGACCATTAATAGACCATGAATACACCATTAATAGACCATTAAGACCATACACCATTAATAGGCCATTACACCATTAATAGACCATTAATAGACCATGATTATAGGCCATTAATAGACCATTAGAATAGGCCATTAATACAACATTATATACCCCATGAATAGGCCATTAGACCATGAGGCCATTACTTACCATTAGACCATTACACCATTACACCACCATTAATAGACCATGAATACACCATTAATAGACCATTAATAGACCATTAATAGACCATGAATAGGCCATTAATACACCATTAATAGACCATTAATAGACCATGAATAGGCCATTAATACACCATTAATACACCATTAATAGACCATGAATACACCATTAATAGACCATTAATAGACCATTAATAGACCATGAATAGGCCATTAATAGACCATGAATAGGCCATTAATAGACCATGAATACACCATTAATAGACCATTAATACACCATTAATAGGCCATTAATACACCATTAATAGACCATTAATACACCATTAATAGACCATTAATACACCATTAATAGACCATTAATACACCATTAATAGACCATGAATAGGCCATTAATACACCATTAATAGACCATTAATAGGCCATTAACACACCATTAATAGACCATTAATAGGCCATTAATACACCATTAATAGACCATTAATACACCATTAATAGACCATTAATACACCATTAATAGACCATTAATACACCATTAATAGGCCATTAATACACCATTAATAGACCATTAATACACCATTAATAGGCCATTAATACACCATGCATAGGCCATTAATAGACCATGAATAGGCCATTAATAGACCATGAATACACCATTAATAGACCATTAATAGACCATTAATACACCATTAATAGACCATTAATACACCATTAATAGGCCATTAATACACCATTAATAGGCCATTAATAGACCATGAATAGGCCATTAATAGACCATGAATACACCATTAATAGACCATTAATACACCATTAATAGGCCATTAATACACCATTAATAGACCATGAATACACCATTAATAGACCATTAATACACCATTAATAGACCATTAATACACCATTAATAGGCCATTAATACACCATTAATAGACCATTAATACACCATTAATAGGCCATTAATACACCATGAATAGGCCATTAATAGACCATGAATAGGCCATTAATAGACCATGAATACACCATTAATAGACCATTAATAGACCATTAATAGACCATTAATATGATCATCTGGATATCATTTTTGATCCCATGTTTTGGTGGGTCAGGGCCCTGGCGGCCGAAATCATGGGCGCCTACTCCGACGTCTCCAGCGCGGCCCTGCGGAGCCCGGGCGGCCGAGACGGTGGTGAATTGCCGGGAAAATGGTGACTTAAGTGGCAAAAATGGTGACTTAACCATGGAACATGGTGATTTAAGATGATTTAAGGATGGAATATGGTTATAATATGTTATAATTATAATGTGATAAACCCAACGCCAAAAACCATCCGCGATGAGTGGATGAAAAACCATCCCCACATGGTGGGTTGATGTTTATCTGAAGGTGTATTTTGAATAAACATGTCAGATAAGTGCCAACAAAACTAGCATGTTTGAAGGTATTCAAAGGAAACACAAATTGTTAAATATGGGATGGTTGATGCTTTCTGGGTTTATCACGTGATAAGGTTATATTTTGTCTATACCGGAAGATCCGATGAGCATTTCGCATGTAGGGGAATGCGGCCACAAATCCATTAAGCGACCTTTGGAATTGACAGGAGGTTCACCATTGAAGTGCCTGTTTCAGCCCATCATCACTTCCAAGAGTGCCCATCACCGGCCTCGATCTTCCGAGGTTTCTAGGTGAGTCCAGATCGTCCATTCCC